AGAATAACCTATGAAATTACAATGACTAATTTACATTAAACTGACACCAAGTCATATCTAGAAGATACTGTATATGTTCCAAGATAATTTGCAATGTGCAATATCTTTACATGAAACTGTCAAGTTTCTGTATTGTAGTGTGTAATATTTATGGTGTATTAATTATTGTTGTTGTGGATGCACCGTAAGGTTTGCTAATTCATTTCATTGTATAATATACTGTAAGCAAGGACAAACAATAAAAGGAATTGAATTGAATCCACAACAAACATAACATTTTGTCAGTCGTTTCTCTTCCTCTAGTGTTGCACAGGACAGCCTCGCCCACACTCCAAGCTCATTGAGCCCAAAAAGCAAAAATTGACAAAAAGTGATTTTGGATTGATTGTGGAAGCTTAAAAAACTTTGAATATTGTACAACAAATCCCTCAAGTTCAATCTGCAAAACCATTTAAAGGATGCCGTCTGAAAAAGCATCCATAACTCATTAACACATAAGATATGTGTTTTGTGCTGTGAAGTTCTTTAAAGACAAAGCATACACCGCTGCAGCTAGTATGAGCCTACTGATAACCAGTACACACTTTTTACAGTAACAGGCCTTCATTACATCATTCAGAACTATTCAAAACTCTGTACATATGTAATTTATAGTATAGACTGAGTATATAGTATTATGAACAGCAGTCTGGGGCTTAAACGTGGATCAATAAGTCTTAACTGAGACTAATCATACTACTGAATCGCTCAACTAGAGACCCTTTTAGGGTATGCTCTGATTGTGAGTATTACTATATTATACCATCTTGCCCCCCTTTAATGAAGCAAATCCATTTCTTGCCAGACATATTATGATCTGGGTGATGGACCCTCCTGTCCTAAAGGTGACAGAGACTGCTTAATCAACTGATTTCAACCAATAAAATATTAACGAAATAGGTCAACAGTGTGAATATTATATCTATTAATTTATATATATATGAGTAGAAACAACACTAAGTATAATTTAAATATATATTTGTGAATACTAGTATAAGTTTTAGATAATACATATTATCTAAAACAATTATATACATTGTTTTATTTTGATTAGATATAGATACACTCACCTAAAGCATTATTAGGAACACCATACTAATACTGTCTTTGACCCCCTTTCGCCTTCAGAACTGCCTTAATTTTACGTGGCATTGATTCAACAAGGTGCTGAAAGCATTCTTTAGAAATGTTGGCCCATATTGATAGGATAGCATCTTGCAGTTGATGGAGATTTGTCACAATGCTCCCGTTCCACCACATCCCAAAGATGCTCAATTGGGTTGAGATCTGTTGACTGTGGGGGCCATTTTAGTACAGTGAACTCATTGTCATGTTCAAGAAACTAATTTGAAATGATTCGAGCTTTGTGACATGGTGCATTATCCTGCTGGAAGTAGCTATCAGAGGATGGGTACATGGTGGCCATAAAGGGATGGACATGGTCAGAAACAATGCTCAGGTAGGCGTGGCATTTAAACGATGCCCAATTGGAACTAAGTGTGCCAAGAAAACATCCCCCAGACCATTACACCACCACCACCAGCCTGCACAGTGGTAACAAGGCATGATGGATCCATGTTCTCATTCTGTTTACGCCAAATTCTGACTCTAGCATCAGAAAGTCTCAACAGAAATTGAGACTCATCAGACCAGACAACATTTTTCCAGTCTTCAACTGTCCAATTTTGGTGAGTTTTGTAGTGGATATGAGTGGTACCCGGTGGGGTCTTCTGCTGTTGTAGCCCATCCACTTCAAGGTTGTGCATGTTGGGGCTTCACAAATGCTTTGTTGAATACCTCGGTTTCTAACAAGTGGTTATTTCAGTCAAAGTTGCTCTTCTATCAGCTTGAATCAGTCGGCCCATTCTCCTCTGACCTCTAGCATCAACAATTCATTTTCACCCACAGGACTGCCACATACCGGATGTTTTTCCCTTTTCACGCCATTCTTTGTAAACCATAGAAATGGTTGCACGTGAAAATCCCAGTAACTGAGCAGATTGTGAAATACTCAGACCGGCCCGTCTGGCACCAACAACCATGCCATGCTCAAAAATGCTTAAATCATCTTTCCTTCCCATTCTGTCATTCAGTTTGGAGTTCAGGAGATTGTCTTGACCAGGACCACACCCCAAAATGCATTGAATTGGCATGTGATTGGTTGATTAGATAATTGCATTAATGAGAAATTGAACAAGTGTTCCTAATAATCCTTTAGGTGAGTGTATATAAAAAGCAAGTTATTTATTTATTTATATAATTAAAAAATTGTACATATAAAACAAATATATATATATATATTCTACACACACAGAAATATATACTCTCCTTTTGCAAATATCAAATATATATTCACAGCACACATGTAAATATTAAGTGACGTTAATGTCTAGTTTAGGAGACACGCTGTTATAATGTGACTTCTTTATGTCTGTTATAAATAAACTCGACTGGCTGCCTCAGATGTCCGGAGGCAAATAAACAGCTCTATATCCTAGGGCTTTTTGCACAGCCTCTTCCGCTGCAGGAACAGAACTGCTTCCTCTAAATCTGTTTATTGCAGAGAGGTGATGGGCTGACGTAAGCCGCTGTGGATGGACAAAACAAATCACCCTGCCATTAGGCAGAGAAAGACAGGACACTCCCTAGTGGTGCCAGTAACCATACAGGGACCAGCATCAGTGTAACACCATGCCCGTCACGGCACAGTGCCCCAGGATGAGCGCACATCCCTGTGGACCATCAACCAGTGGAACCAGTCATGTTGTCCATTTTAAATGACATCATCTCTTCCTTCAATATAAAATTTGTCTGCTGGTGGTCCTCCATTGGGATACTAGTTTATATATTTAGGGATGGTGATGGTGCAGTGGATAAGACACATGCCTTAGATCTGAGAGACCCGGGTTTGAATCCACTGTGTGAGACACCAATGTGTCCCTGAGCAAGACACTTAACCCCTAGTTGCTCCAGAGGTGTGCGACCTCTGACATATATAGCAATTGTAAGTCGCTTTGGATAAAAAGTGTCAGCTGAATGAATGTAAATATATATATATATATATATATATATATATTCCCCTATTTTCCATTTTTATGCAGTTATTCTCTATATCAGTAAGCTCTGTTTCTGAACTCCTTGAAACGCCTCGATTGTAGTCTTGAGTTTTCTGCCGGGAACGTACCTTCCGTACCTGATTGAACGTACCTGATTGTAAAGTTTTAGTAATTTTGCTGTGTTTGTCATTTTATTAGTTTTTTTTAAATATATTTATATATTATTCATATATACGTATATTATTCATTTTCATTCATTTTTATTTCAATTTTAGTTACTTTAGCAGATCAAGTGAATATATTGTGTTATTTTACATAGTCTTGAGTATGGTGTCTGCTAGAATGAGTTTTCATGATTGAATGTTCAAAAAATTATTTCTCATATATTCTATATTTTTGCAGTGCACAATGTGCTCTGATTGGACGGCAAACACTCTGCACAAGCAAATCAACAGGACTTCTTTATTTTTTTATTTTTTTGCATATGCCTTGGGTGCCATTATTTAAATGAGTAACACTGTGAAGGTACGTTCCCAGAAGAAAACTCAAGGCTACAATCGAGGCGTTTCAAGGAGTTCAGAAACAAAGCTTGTTGATATAGAGAATAACTGCATTTAAAGTAGACTTTGTGCTTTATAACATTGCAGACATTTTTCATGTTTAAAATATAATCACACACTTGAAAATGTAAATGAAAATGAGAATTGTTGCCTTGGCAATTAGCTGAAATAAAATGTTTTTTTTAATATTTTTATTTTATTTCATTTCAGGAAATGGAACTGTTTTTATGGTTTTAGTTCTAGTTTACTTTAATAGGCTTTGTGCTAAATGTGGACAAACAAGAAAACAGGTCTCACTGCATCCAATTGTCGGTGTAAAGTGTTAATACAGTAGGAGTACGAACGGACGGCGACTACACTTTTAAGGTAATCAGCTAACCAAGCTAGTTCTTTTTATTGCTGCCGTAATGTTTAATATAAATATCTAAATGTTAGCGAGAAGAAGATAAAAAACTGTTTGATATCAATTTGCTTATAGAATGGACTTCGTTTATGCTCATCTTTGCTCACTCCTTTGAAGGCAGTAAAACGGCTCTAAACAAGCACATACAAAAGACCTGAACCGAAAGCTATTCGACCTGTTTTACAAAATACAGAAGTTTGTGTGTATAACCCCCATAAACATGCTTCTAAACAATAATTTAACTAACACCTTGTGAAAATAGCACTGCACTATCCCTGTATAAGAAAACACCTTGTGGTGATATGACTTTTCTTCAAACTAAATAACTGTAATGCAATAATCACCATGTAAGTTCAATAATACCAGAATAAAGCTAATATTGAAATTCCTACATTGCCTCTCAAAAAACCATTTAACAATGCAAAAACATTTCAGAAACCCTTCAAAAACAACCAAAACGAATAGAGCAATATCTCTAGGCAAATACGATGCAGACAATAGAAATCATCAATAAATCAGAGTAGACTGCTATAAATAAGGATCAGAATGATCCTTGCTGGAAGTGAAGTAGCTCCCTCTACACCCCATTACACCTCTAAAGTATCAGCCCGGTTGTAATATTGGAGCACAGGCCAGACCCTGTACATACAGACCAGGTCTGACTGCAGGCTAGATTCCCAAACATCATTTATCTATGTACAGGACCTTCGCTACAAATGACTGTGCTAGGGTCAAGCAGGCCAATTTACTTCTCCACTCAGTTCCGCTGAGGTTTTTGTCAACGACAGCATTAACACAACAAAACAATTGGCTATTTTCTTTTTCATGTCACAGCCCATGGCCATATGCTTTATACTGTATACTGCTTTCCTTTGGTTTAATGTTTGTCATTTAGGTAAATACCATTCAGTGAGTCGCAATTTGAAGAATATTTGAACTTACCCCGTCAACACGACAACAAAATCCATAACATTCCACCCATTGCGGAGGTAGGAGCCTTTATGAAAAGCAAAGCCTAGAGCGATAATCTTGATCCCGGCCTCGAAGCAAAATATTCCGATGAAGTAAGGTTCAGTGTCATCCTGTCATGAGTGAGGAGAGACACAAGTTATTCATACAAATTAAGATTCAAGATGTAAGTTTACAAAGAAACAAAGTATAAAGACGAACATAAATCTCTCAGTGGCAAGTGCACTGAATATTTTACAACTTTCATTAAACTGTTGTTCTTCCACCGAACACTGAAGCAGCACAATACAGTAAAATAAAGCAAATTAAAGTTGGAGAATGGGGAGCCTTTCACTATTCTATATTCTCAGTATAACTATTCAAAGCAAATAGCTTTAATAACAGAGCATCTAAAAAGTGCACATATTCAATACCCTGACTGTATGGAAGTAAATGACAAATGTTGAGACAGAAATAAACTTTTAAATTATTATAGCATGTACACGTTTATAAAATCTCAGAAGAAATATACATGAAAAGAATAACACAGAATGTTCAAAAATAGTTTTAGCTGACAAGTCAGTTAATTTTTAAGTTTACTGTCCTCTTTTATTATATAGACATGCAAATGTCAATCAAATGTCAAGCACCAACAAAGATCTGTGGATCAATTTAGGAGGGCGGTTAAAGGATTCACCGTTGAATGACTGACAGCAGCTCACAAAGGATTGATGTGTCTGCTAAATCAATCACATAAATGAGGGCTTTGCAAAATGTTGACCTACAGTAACAACTGCTACTTACAAAACCTTTGGTGAAACAATAAAAAGTTTCTAAAGTAAAAGCTGTCCACATCTGAACAGAAAAATTCTAATTTTATATATTAATGCTGCAAAAGAGACAATGGTGCTCAGAGGACTATTATAAAAATGCGGTGAGATTAATGAGTAAAAGTCCAACTCACCAGCCGCTTTGACATGGGTGTCTTGTCTAAAGCTGGTAAATGCTGCTCTAAGCCCAGTACAATGCAGTTTGCTATGATGGTGGCGAGAATCAAGTACTCAAATGGAGTGATGGTGTTAAGGAAAGAGTCCATGGGATACAAATAGTTAGACTTAATTCACAGCAATAACATGATCATCGAAATCAATAAAGAGCTGTATAAAGAACAAATAACTTAAATTTAGAGCTAATATTCATTTCATAGTGTAAAATAACAAGAATTATTGATAAAAATGACCTCACTTCATCGCAGGCACCGTATGGCTCAGTCAAGAGCTGTGTGAACTGTATCATTCCACACAAAGCTGCTGGTTAGTCGGGAGGAGGATAATTATTCACTGTGGCACTCTTCTAAACACATTTGCGACACACTAGTAGACTCGTAGTCTGAGCATAAAGACATTATCAATAAATGGGGGAATTTCATGAATTATACTCCCTTGAGTGCTTGAAATTGAAAACTGACACATGAGAACTGGGACAAAACAGGTTTTTGTATCAAAAGGGTATTTTGGATTCATTTTGTTTATATGTTTGGGTAGCCTACAGTTTCCATTTCCCACAGAATGTGATTTTCAGCTCAATCTAATTGACTCAATCACTTTAATTGGAATAATTTCACAGGAGAGGTTGGCAGGTGAAGTTGCGAGACGTGTTTTGTTCAAGTATCTCAATAGTCGATGATTAACAATGGTTTGCTTGATGAAAAAACTCATTAACTGTCTATGACTACAAAGAGAAACTGGTCAACTGGTTGATTTTTTTGTTCTATCTATGTTGGCCTTCTAATATAAACAATACAGCAAATTTGGAAAGCAAATGTGAAGCCTGCTGCAAACAGAAACATTTGGCCAGATATTGGTAAATAAGCATTTAAAATGCGTTAAATTTCGCTTTGTTTACTCATTAAGTTTTAAGTTAACGAAAACGAAATTCTAATCTTTATTCTAGTATTCAGTCTCCATCACTAGGCTATCCCCTGGACGAGTTTTAAACACGTAACGTTATGCGTTTCAGCACCTTGGAGAGCTACTAAAACAGCCCATATAAACACTTCCACCACGTCAAAGGAAAATGCTCAATTTCGCGAAATCATTCAGATTCGGAACCATCAAAATTTGAGGACTGTTGATAGTGCCTCGGAATGATATTAGCGCCCATAAAGTTTAAGCACTAAACTGTTCCGCTTAAATTGGCTAGACTATCAACTTTATTGCTTTTGGACTGTATCCTGCCACATAAGCTTCGAATGCATTAACGCACAGACTAGCAGGTATATCTCAGTTACTTCATGACTGGCTGGTATTCCCAGAGGCAATTCTCCAGAGACTGCACAGCAATTTAGGCAGCCCAATGCAAGAGCTGTTCTGGTTGCCATGAGCGACGGAGACCGAGTCTCGTTTCCTGACTGAAAAGAATCAATACCGCAGTGACTGGATGTGAAAAGGACAAAAACAATAAAAAGTCAAGATGTAATTTCACGTCACGAGACTTAGAGAATATTATATACCAAGCAACGGTGAAATACATTTCCCATGCTAATCGAAAATACAATTAAAGCTAATCTGAGCTATTTTCCGGGAACACGTATTTCGAAACCAAATAACTGACCCCTCTTGTAGCGTAATGTTTGCTTAATCAGCGAGACACCACCCTGCATAGCATTTCAATCCAATAAGAGTAGCTAAATGTAACTGAAACAACTTTTACATAACTAATTTTGAATAAAACTACATCTATTTCCGCCAAACTTTTGCAAGCTTATATTAATAATAAATGTAAAATAAGACTGATAGGTGAACCCGAATTACTGCTTATTACAAGTAGGCTACAAACTGATTTTTTTTTTTTTTTTTTTTTTTTTTTTTACTGTCATATTATTTACACAATACAAATGCCTGTGATTTGTATAAAGGATATGGCCACTCTGTTATTTTCTTTGCATATTTCCGAATGATATTATCTTCGCTGAAGATGAAAAGGGATCTGTTGACTGTTAAGCAGTTCTGTTTGACCGGTATTGGGTTGTATATGGCCATTGTCCGGGCTCTTTGGGCCATTGTTTGCTTATAGACCCTCGGTCCGGTCGGGGGGCCTGGCTGCCGGCTGGCCCCTCTGACTGGACCCGCTGGAGAGCCACCACCACCTCCATACCGGGTCGGGAGATCATCTTCGAAGCGAGCCATTCTAGAAATGCGCAGATTTGACTGTAGAAATCCAAATTCACATCAGACAGAGTGTGAGTTAGAAGCATCACAACGCGCGATGTAGTCCCAGCCACGAGTTCTTCTCATCCGTACAGGTCTGGCATCCACAAGAGCTTGTTCAGCCAGAGTTGCTTAAAGTATTCCAGCCATTCAGAGCACATCTAAACGCATCTCTGTTATGAACTGAACGCCAGTTAAAGTTTGTCGCTCCACGTTACACAATCCATCAAAAAGCGACCGGTCATTTCCTATGGAGATCCTTTTCACGCCGCACGCGAAGGATTTAGATAATCAGCCATGTCATGAAATAAGTCCTATCGGAAAAAGGTGCCTTTATAACCTGTGTCGCGTTTGAATGGAGTCAAGCCCACAGATTGTAAGATCCTGCTCCCCTGCGCGCGATGCTGTTGCAGATGCCTCGATGTTTTCCTCCGATCTTGCCTGCACTCTTCGCTCTAACAGATGATAACACGTGCAGTCCGTCGCCCTCGTGCTTTTATCGTTTAAATGAAAACGAGCAAAGGACATTAACACCTTTTTTTCCACTCGACCGTAGCCTGGCGATGAAATCTTAACCAATTTCTGCAGCCGCTGGTTCTTCTGAATCAGATCACGTGACTGTGAGGCAGCTTGTCAGTGGCTCCACCTGTACCGCTACAGTACAGTCTCCATGGCACTGGGGCAAGAGGGGGAAATACAGCGTGTCCTCTTCCACACCCCAGCAGTTCATTAAAACAGTTACTTCAATGGGTTTAATGGCTACTTTAAAGCAAGTTAACAAGAATCTGGCACATCATATGATGCATCGGTGCATCTGCATTTCACACAACTGTAAACAGATCGTTGAATTAAAAAAGGGTGGAACCGGTGTCGGCTGGGGTAAATCAGGACAATTATCTCGTGACTGACGTCTTTCGGAGCCTGTTCGATCTATTTCAGATTTACATTAACCCTTTAGTAGTAGAGCTGAAGCCTATTCTTCTGCACTAGCCCGTTTTTTAGATATAGTAATTGCATCCCACATTCCCACGGGAATTTCTAATGTTTTTTTTGAAAGGAGGTTTCGATTTGACTACATTTTGCTCTACGCCTACTTGCTTGATCAATCACCTTTGTAGCCTACTCCTTTTTAAAGCACACATACAGTGGATATGAGTTTAAGATATGGCTCCATGACATTAATGTGGTGGAACAAAACAAGAAACTTTTTTTTTTTTTAAATGTGCTTCAGTGAAATTCAGAGTGTGCTGAAGTTAGTATGATTTTCTTTAAATAGGTTTATTGTGCTTTGTTTAATCAAATCATACAGTAAAACATATGTTGTAAAAAATAATTACAATTTTTAAAAATGTTTTAAAATGTAATTTATTCCTGTGATGGTAAAGGTGAATTTTCAGCAGCAAATACTCTAGATTAGTCTTAAGTGTCACAAGAAAGATCCAAATTAGAATACTGATTAGGGGCTTAAGAAACATTTCTTAGCAATGCTGAAAACAGTTGTGCTGCTTTTGTGGTAACCACCATAATATATTATGCATTCTCTTTTAGGATTCAGTTCAAAAGAACATTTGTTTGAAAAAGAAAACTTGTAACATTATAAATGTCTTTACTGTCAACATTTTTTATAAATTGACAGCATGTTTGAATATTATTGACAGCATGTTTGTGTGTTTATATATATATTAGATGGAGTGACAGATTGAAACACTGAATTTGTTACATACCTGAAATTCATGTGCTTTAGTGAAATTGGTGTGCTTTGTATGTGCCACAGCTAAATAACCAATGACCAAATTAATAATTAAAAACACTGAAAGCTTTATTCCTCACAAATAGGATGTTCAAATTCTGTGAAATTAAAATGAAGTTTCAATAAAAACAGATTAGAAAAAAGCCCTGATCTCTGTTCCGGAGAAAAGACAGAGTAAAAAAACAAATGTAAATGTCTATGAAATTTGCCAGTAGAACTTGTCCATGTGTTCTACTTACGATTTCATTTTTCTCATGGTATTTGGCTAAAACCCCTTCATTTTTAATACCAAGTATATCAAAATGTACTTTTAAAAATGTCTATTAGAAATGTCTATATGCTAATGTCTATATCTTGTACAATTAAGGAGCTTCTTCATCATCCTAATAAGTAAAAACCCTGTGAGACATGCATTCAGATACAAAAGGCCATTGATTAAATGTCTTATTACAAAATGTCCTCACTGGCATGGTGATAAAATGATGCTGTATCTCTGCACAAATTGTCCTCACTTGGTGCTGAGATTCAGGAAGTTATGCGTTGCACTCCTGATCATATTTATTCGTTAAAGGCCACAGCATATCCCGCCGTACGAGTGGAGGCCTCAGGGTTGAGTAATTGATATAGCCGTGTTAGCTGACTGAATTTGTTCCACCTGAGCAACTTTCTGATCACCTAGCATTTGGACTGTGCTCTCTGTGTGGTTCTGGCCCTGAACGGTCTCAGAGTATCTACATTTTGTAGAGCCGCACTGACAACGGAAGTACTTTTTCTTAATTAGCCAATAGGGATCCCCATAGTCAAACCTGATGAAAGAGAAAAGAATGGATAAATACGACAAATAATAAGGGATAAAAAGAGCTAGAGGTTTATAGAAATGTAAAAAAATTCTAAAGGTTTACCCAAGCTCGTTTCCAGCTTGAATAGGCTTGCTTGCATAGAGTGCAATTCGAGGAAAGCGCATGTCCTGGTGTTTGGTGAACACACGGACAGGGAACAGATTGGGTTCGCAAAGATGATTCATAAACCTACTAACATTACCATAGAACCGGGCATCAATGCAGTAGACCTCTCCAACCTGGAAAAAAAAAAAAGATCACCATTAAATACCCCAAAATACAAAGCAATTCAAAAGGTGTGCTTAAGCTTCATCCACATTTTAATATACTTTAGCGCCCCCTGGAAGTCATAAGTATGAAATGCATTTTCTGATCATTTCTAAATAAATTTTGCTTTCTAAATGCAATTTTTTGCCAAGACAAACCTCTATACTTGCCTTATTGTCTAGGTTGAACATGTACGAGTCATTTTCCCGAATATTAGCTTCTCCATCTGAAATGATTTCACCTGCAAACCTGCACACAGAGCAAAATCCGTAGGGCAAAAGTATTGAACTAAAACAGCATGAGATTAATCAAGTCTGAATAATTAATAACTCCCCTAATGGCTTTCATTTTTTTAGAAAATGTCACATTAAATTAATATGGTTGACACTCAAGTCAGTAGGAGGGTTTTTCAGAACACAGGCAGTGCTGTGTGTACTTCTTTCATAGTAAAACACTATAGTATACCAGGTTAAAGGGATAGTTCTCCCAAAAATAAACATTTTGTCATCCCTTACTCATCCTCAAGTTGTTCCAAACCTGTGTGAGTTTCTTTCTTCAGTTAAACACAAAAGAAGCCATATTTTTAAAAATGGAAATGAAACAGTTAACAGTAACTATTGACTTCCATAGTAGGAAAGAAAATACTATGGAAGTCAATGGCTACCGTTAACTGTCTGGTTCCCAACATACTATTTTATAATATGTAGAGACAACTATAATAAAAGCCATTAAAAACAGTGGTATCCAAACAGGTGTAAAGCAACTGATCAGAGGAGAGGATCGTACTCGCATACAAAGGTTCCCTCAGGAATATCCTGCAGTGCTCTGACCCCCCAGCCCATCCTCTCGGTCCTAAACACCTGCAGTCTCACCCTGAGGATTAGAAAATTATGAAGTTGTGAAAAATACTCTCTGAATGTGTTGTAAACTCTGAATTTATGCTCTCATATGCAACAACACATATATATTACTTATATTACCGAAGGCCATTCTGTATCACTCTATTCCGGCACGTTCTCCAACAGGAACAGGCGTGGTTACACTCAAACAGGAACGGTGGATCATTCCTGCTGAACTCTTTCAGCAAGCGGCCATCCTGGGTACCAAGAAATCAAAAACACGGATTTTAAGAATAATTAATAATAAGCAATACTCGTATCCCTCTAAAATCACAAGGCTAAGATGACATCACAGTAGAGTCATGGTTAGTGACTTTTGTTTATGTCACTGTATTATTACCATGTCATTTATTCCACTTAAATTAATAATTTAGCACTAGCAGCATCTTACCTTGTCATACCAACAGCGCATGCTGAGCTGGCCACAGATACAGCCGCTGGACGCACAGTCATCTTTACAACTGCAGTGCTATTCGAGAAAGAAAGAGAGAGAGAGAATTTCATATAGCTCTAATAACAGCATTTACCTTATGGCTTTTGACACTACAACAGTCTCTTACCTGTAAGTGAGTTATGTTTTCGTCTATATTTACTTGACATGTAAAACAGTTCTCTGGAACATATTTGTAGTTGCTGGGGCAGGGCTCAAGGTCCACCCCATTCACACAGGGCACAGGGACGTCCTCATAGCCTCGGGACACATCTCTGAAACACCACACACAACAGTAACACAGTGATGTAAGATTTCCCCACATTCTGCGTCAAATATTTTTTGGGCCGATCTTCCTTCTCGGCTGCACATGTTCGGAAATGTGTGGAAAATATAGATTTATTGAAGTCAAGCTAAATGAATGGGATAGTGAATCAGCTGCAGCCAGTTTTCATTGATTTTTAGTATGGATCTGAAGCTGCAAAGATTTCCTTGTTAATCTGATTCATTAAATTCATAGCACTTTTAATTGCGCTATCAATAGAGAGTAGCAAAAATAATAGTTCACAAAATATGGAAGCCTAGTTGAGACAAAGTAAATCCATAAGAAACGCAACAACATCTACAAGATGCTTGGAGAAAGGACAGAACTTTTAAAATGCTGACTGTGGTAAAACCCTGATCTGATCCAAGATTTAATCCATGTGTTCTTGCATTACCTGCAGAGGAGTCTTTCTCTGAGGCCGTCTCTGCCTCTCCTAGCATCTGTCAGCTTCTTATTGGTGTTCAGGATTGTCCACATCTTAGAATTTATAATACAGCAGTCCAAAGGAGTCTCGCCGTCCCTGTTCTTCAGATTTACATCTGCTCCTCGAGACAGAAACAGCCTACAGACAAAGTTTCAGATTATTAACTGACAGATTCAACAACAAACCTTTGTAAATTCTTTAATGATACAAACATTAGGGCCGTGACACACCAAGCCAGCGGTCACCTGGCAATGTCTGACAATGTCAATGTCTTTTGGGCAATTTTTTTTTTGGAGTGTGTCCTCACGTCGACGGCAGTTTGGTCGATTCAGCATGTTGAAATCACTCTGATTACGGTTGACTTCATTTACTGTTTGTATCTGCTGTTCTAGTTTTGGCTTCTATTTTTGAATGAGAAATATAGACTATTGATACCTAGACAATTATTTCCTTACATGCAGTGCTAGTTCAATGTAAGCGCAGTTGGCTTTTGTCACCGCTAATTCTTTGATGTCAGCTTGGTGTGTCACGGCCTTAAGATTCATTCAGGGATTCCCAAAATTCAGGGTTAGTGAGAGAACTTCAAAAGGTTAGTGAGTTGAAGGGGAAAAAAGCCATTACAGAGTGAAATCATAAACATTTAAAATGTAAATATTGAACATTAAAAACAATCTAAATTAAACAGTTAGATAACTAAGATTACAGGTCTTTAGCGACCCAGATCTATATCTAACACGGATGGATCTCTACATGTCTCAATAACATAAAAAAATATATACTCTCCTGATATTAGAGAAACAATTACAGAAGAATATAATAAAGCATATTTTGTTACATTTTGGATCTTGGAAGGGTTCACTTTGAGCAAATGTTTTAAACCATCGTCACAACCATCATTGTCAGAGGTCATTCCCAGTACATTCAGCATCTGGCTCATATTCCAGATCTCAAACATATTATCAAAACTATAGTTTCCAACATCTTCAAAATCAATATTTTGACAGCTTCTTCACCAGATCCACCATCAAGTGACAGTGACACTAATATCTGATTGCGTTTATTACTTTTCTGATGATAGTTCCTATTCTTTTGTTTTCTGCCTGTGGTAGCTACGAGTGAAATGTCTTGTGTTTCAGAGTCAGACATTGCCAATTTGTGGAATAAAGGTGAATTTCACTTATTCAGTCATCAAACATTCAATTATTGCTGTGCAGAAAAAAATATATACTTACACTGGTACACGCCTTTGGTTGTTAGCGACCCTATACAATTTATTTGTACAAAAAATGAATGTGAAAACAGGCATTCCTTTATGCTTTTTTCTTGTTATACTATTTATAATAAATTGATTTAGGAATCCTAAAAAGCTTGATGTCTAACTTTTAAAAAATTAATGAGAGGAGGGTGGTGAATGATGTCCCGGGTCCCTAAAGACCAGAGGTATGCTTTAAGTTTTTAAAAAATGTTTGATTTGATTATTATTATTATTATTATTTATTGTTTGTTTGCCTGCATGCCATGTGAACATTAACCAACATCAGAGGTTTTGAACATACAAATTAAATCATTAAAACATTAACTTAAAATATTCAGGAGTAATTCAAGCAAATATCTTAGATCAAAGGTGTTCGGCTGACAAAAAAGTTTGGGAATCCCTGGATTAATCTATTTATTCTGTATAAATTGTTTAGATATATGTTAATAGGGAGCATAACACAGAGACAGTGTAAAAAGGGAAAACTATAGGGGGGAAAAAATACAATAATGCTCAAAATTAAGGTCAATATATTTTGGAAATTTCCTTTATCCAATACATCCAAAAGTCATTTATTCAAGCAGATATGAAATGTACTTGGGTGCCTATTGCCTACAGAGAAACATGGTGCGTTTCTTTTAGTGTTCCTCAGTTGGCCTCGAGTGAAATTAGTTCCCTTAAGGAGCCTTTGGCACAACATTAATAGATCCTTTATATTTCAGTGCTCGTATCATCAGCAAACGACACACTCGTATCATAAAAAGGCTTTTGCTTCCAGTTATCTAGGTATACCCTCTCTGTTCTACACTTACATTACACAGTCCAGCTGGTTCTGTCTGACAGCGATGTGGAGAGGTGAGTCTCCATGGATGTTCACAGCGTGTAGGTCAGATCTCTTTTCAAGCAGCAGCTGAGCGATCTCATCACAGCCAGAGAACGCTGCCCAGTGGAGGCAGACATTCTCCTCCTAGAAATCAGACCACAAGCAACATTCATCTCTGGTGGATATATTCTCAAATCCATCACTATACTCTACCATTCAAAGGTTTGGGTTCAGTAAGATTTTTCTTGTCTCTTATGTCATCTTATGCTTCATAAATACTGTCAAAACAGTAATATTGTGAATTATAACAATTTACGGGTTTATATTTTAATATATTTCAAAAGGAAATTCACTCCTGTGAGATTGCAAAGTTGAATGCAGTGATGTATTTGTACAGTTTCATTTTAAAGATCATCAAACAAGGTGAGAAGAATAAGGTCATCAAAAAGCTGAAATATGCAGACACAGACCTTATCTCTTATTTGGACATCGGCTCCTGCTGAGATTAGCATCTTCATCTGCTCTAAACGCATATTCTCAGTTGCCCAGGTAAGAGGAGCCCACCCGCCATCATCCTGACCAGACGAACCCATAAACCCATCATTATTACAATATACTGTATATATATATATATATATATATATATACATATGAAGAGCTCTTTTCCAAAACGCTATAAATCCATTTTAATAGTTTTCAGGAAAACTACATTTTTTACCTAGACCCACACATTTTGTGAATATTCAAATTATCCTGTTTAAATGTTTTATTGGTTCAGTCTGAACATTTTGAACAATAATTATTAAATCAAACAACAATATTGTTGATGATAATTTAAAAGTTAATTTTATTTTTTTCCAAAACGCTATAAATCCATCCATTTTTTGTATCATTTTTAGTAAAGTCATTTTTAGTAAAGAGTCAAACCTCAAACAAATAGTACCAATTTCAACATATGCATGAAAAAAAACGAATTATTAAAAATGATCAATATATGATAACGATATTCAAAAAAGGGATGGGCACCCCTCCAGCACATGCACACACACACAGAGGCTACATAACATGTGAGCAAAGCGGAGCAGCATGACGCTTAAATATAAGTTAAAAAAAAAACAAAAAACAAAATAAACATAAAATATACGTTTCACATTTGTTTTTAATAATATTACATTACTTATTTTTATTATTTCATCTATGTTGAGTAGGCTATGAAAAGGGAACCGCATGAGATGAGTAAGATAGGATCAAAATTCAAAAGCTGCCCAATATCGGAAAATATTTGGAGTGCGTCATGATTTTGACCACTTATTAAGTTTTGTTTTGTAGAAAGCTTGTAAATTTCGTTTCATATAAATTGTATCTTCATTTTAATAAATGTTTCATCGACAAATTGACTGGATTAATACATTAGAAGTAAATATCAGACAATATAATCAGGACACAGAGGCGCGCAGGTGAACCGGAGCGCGTCTCATAATATGAACCGAAACACCGCGATGCTTGCCTCACACAGGCCTGAGAACTAAGCTACAGAAAGCTTTAAATATCTACTTTTAAACAAAACAATTAAAAACTAAAATAAATTGGCAACTCTCTGCGTATGTAGGCTAATTCGAAGTATGCGTTTCTATAGGCCTATATGCGCGTTCACTGCGAAGATGGCGAGTAAGCATCATCAACTTTATCTTTGTTGCTGACACTGACAGAAAACACTAGTTTATTAATAAACAATTCAAATGTTTCATGCATAATCATTACTTTTTGTCGGTTCTTTGTGGCAAGCTTTATGGATACGTTGAAATGCGGAATAGGCAATTAAAAACGCTCATATGGTTTCTCTCCCATTTAATTAAATCAATATATGTGATTACTGATAATACAAATGGTTTAAATGATCTACTACTAGTCGACTAGAAAACTAGGACTCATTTTGAGGAATAAATGAACATAATAAACCTCTGTTCAGAGTGCCGCCGTGCTGGATTGTGTAGAGCGCTCATTGAATTTGAGGATTTATCGTGTTAAGGCTAAAAACAGGGCTGGCGCTTATCGCGGCTTGGAAAGAAACTGTATCTTGCAGTACATTTTAAACAAGGAAATATAGCGATTTGGCATGAAACGTTGATGGAGCAGTGAAAGGGTTCTGTCCACAGCAGAATGACACGACAAACTCTTTTTTTTTAAAATGGCGTTTATCGCTTTTTGGAAAAGAGCTCTTCATATATATATATAAATATGGCATGTACACAAAATTTATATTTTATACGTCAATAATAAACTTGTGCACAGTGTTACCTTACAGTTGACATCTATGGATGGCATGGAAAGGAGATACTGCAGCACATCTGTGTGTCCTTTTCTGGCTGCCAAATGAAGACACGTGGAGCCTCTCATATCCTGCAATTTGAAAACATGAATTACTAGATTTTAGACACGCAAAATACTTGGCATACAAGTCTCAGTATGTCGTATAAAATAGTCATAGCAAAAAAAAAAACTTATTTCACAGTTGATTGACAGATAAAGGGCTGCCATTGTACCTTATGACCTGTAGAAGCACCAGCTTTCAGCAAGTATTTCACTGTTTCTAGATGATTGTTCTCACAGGCATACATTAGAGGAGTTCTCTGCTCCACATCACACATGTCCAGGTTTGCACCAGCCTATAGAAAGATAAAGAGATCATTCGCATTACTAAAATAAAAGTAATTTAAGTTCATAAACATGTTATGTAAAGCAATGGCAGCTGCATCACATACTTCACAATAAATAAATAAAAAGTTTGTGGGTCAGTACAATGATTTTGTTTAGTTTTTTAAAGAAAGAAATTAAAACTTTCATTCAGCATTCAACAGTCAAGGATACATTTCTTAAAAGTGACGGTAATGAATTTTAAAATAGTTACAAATAATAATATATTTGTAACAATAGAAAAATTCATTAGTCACTTTTTTTTCAAATAAATGCTGAAATATGTATTCATCAAAGAATCCTGAAAAAAATGATCACCATTATGTGAAGAATGTGAATGTGAGAATATCAAGAAGCACAACTGTTTATAATTGTGTCCAAATCAGCATATTGGAATAATTTGGAATAAATTAAAAGGATTGTGCGACACTGAAGACTGGAGTAATGGCTGCATAAATTCAGCTGTATCGTTTCTTGCCACCGCTAACAGGCAAACAGATCCTCCTTGATTGTGCATTAGCATTGCAGTACCTGCACTAGTATATGGCAGATCTCTTTATGGCCCTCCTCAGCAGCACAATGCAGGGGAGTCTTTCTCTTCTCGCTGTCCATCCGCAAGTTTGGGTCCACACCTTCTACTGATCACCATCAAAACAACCACACATATCAATCATAAAGCTGTTTCTACTATCATGATATGATATATATATATATATATATATCTGCCATTCAGTTTGGAGTTCAGGAGATTGTCTTGACCAGGACCACACCCCTAAATGCATTGAAGCAACTGCTGATTGGTTGATTAGATAATTGCATTAATGAAATTGAACAGGTATTCCTAATAATCCTTTAGGTATATATATATATATAAAATCTTACCCAGCATATGCAAGATCCTCTGGAGCTCTCCTCTCTTAGCAGAGAAATAAAGCTGCTTTGGGGGCAGCTTGAATTTCTTATACCTTTAAAAAAAATATGCAATAATTGTTTTAAGTTCATGCACTTATTTAATGATACAAGTTAGTAGTGGTAATAGGGATACTTACTTTCCATCCTCCAGGGCATTTAAAACACTTTCCATTGATTCTCTAGCAGGGTCAACAGCTCCACCAACAGTTACAGATTCCAGTTTAGCCCTGCTGTGAGAAACAATCATAACGGATATATAACAAAGTAACCAGGGTGAGCAAAAACACATCACAACATTAGACAGGTGAAATGAGCTGGAAACAAATCCAGTTAAACACAATCAAACAACAGGATCTAAACTTACTCCATTAAGGCGGTGTCTCTTTTGTGTGCGGGCACAGCAGCTGTTGGCACTGCAGTAACACAGTCAGGTTTGGGGATCGTGACCTCTTTAGCATGACTAGCCTCCTCGCCGCAGTGGGGGCAGAAGACCTGACCTCTGATCAGAGACGCACAGCTCCGGTGAAAGCGGTGAGAGATGTTGCCATCTGGCTGACATTCCATAAACGTCCCCTGGATTAAACAGACCGCTATGATATTAGTTTTGCCATTTCAATGTATCAGGGTTTAATGTCCATAACTGAGCTATTAAAAGGTGCACTTAGTAATATTTCATCATTAAAAAGTGGAATTATTGTTACTTTTAAAATCATGCACACCCACAAGACAGTAGACATATCAGTGTGCTAAAAACACTTAGTAATCATGGCTGAGTGAGTGCTAATAGCAGATAAAATTTGATAACTGCACATTTCTATAGCGGCATTCCAAGACCATCACAGAAGCTATTCCCCTATCTATTTGTTTATTAGAACAAAAACAAAAAACAAAAAAAAGTCTAATATTAAAAAAAAAAAAAAAAAAAAAATCAGTTGTTTGGCACCATTGACTTCCATAGTAGATAAAAAAATACTATGGAAGTCAATGGTGCAAAAGTTCCAATCGTTCTTCAAAATATTTTCCTTCGTGTTCAGCAGTGTGTTCAGCTGAAGAAAGAAACTCATACAGGTTTACAACAACTTGAGGGTGAGTAAATGACAGAATTGTCCACCAAAGCGTTTTTATCCAGCTGAAAACACCAGATGCTCTGCTGAAGACGCCGTGCTTTGGGTGTCGTTGTACAGAAAGAATGTTGTGACAGATGGTCGGTGTGGTATTAGCCCCGCCCCTCCTCCACTGTGATTGGACGTGTGGGTAAAAAGTGACAGTGATTAGCGCTGTGTTTTATCCAAAGTTGAACATTTTTCAACTCTCGGCGACCAGTAAAACAATGCTGGGCGCTCGGCGCTTCAGCGTGAAAAAAACACTCAGCGCCACTTTACGCTCATGGCGTTTAAAAAACACGGCACTCCCATTAAAAATAATTGAAAACATACACCAGGCGCGTGGAAAAACACTTTGTTGGACACACGGCCTAAGAGGCATCTTTCAAAACTTTCGACTTTTTTTACTCACAGCCCTGCAGAAGAAACCACAGCCTGGGCAGCTCTGGTGTTTCACCATGCCCGCACGATGATCCTCGCACAGCACGAGCAATGGAATCCTCAGAGAGGGACGCATCATTTCCTGCTTCAGAATCACTTTCCGACATAAACTCAGCTAGAGAGAGACAGAAAATCATATTCACTCAAAAATCCAGTTAATGTCCACTTTCTAGAAATCTCTTAAACATTCGGTCAATCAAACACATTAGTATAATCTTATCACAAAGACATTGCAATATGCTAGTTATTTTCACTCAAGTATGTGAACTACGTATATCACCCTAAAAAATGACTGTTGCAGCAGTGTCAATGTAGCCAATGAGTTCATTTTGAAAATAAAAGAGATGAAGCATGCTCTACCTTTCCATCCACACTCTCTACAGCCATGCACTTGCCCTCAGCCAGAGTTACTACATCCGGGTTCTTCGGTGTCTCCATGCGACAGCTACACAGTGGAGGTTCCAACATTTCATCAGCCTCCATGTTCTCTTTATCCTCCGGCAAACCTGATAAACACAAAAAAAACACCTGCACTGCTCAATTTAAATATAAATAACTGGGTTAAAGAACTTCCTAGAACAACAGCTACTAGAACATCCTATGCACTAAAATCTTCCTTCTCAAACTATTTCTTTCCATGATCTAATATTAGTTTAAGCATTAATGTGCAACAAAAAGGTTGTTTATTATTACACAAGAGTCTGCATGTATGTTGCCATGTGATCTTACTGCCTCACAAAGTCAGAATGCTCTGTCTGAAACCTGTCTCTGCTCATTCTGAGATCAACCTATCAGATGAAAACAAACAGACGGGAAGTATACGCATTTCGTGAGGTGGTAGCATGAGATGCATAAAAAGCAAACAAGCAGTGGTCCTCAATTCTAATGTCTTCAAGTGCAGATATCCTCTACCTGTGGGAATTGCTGTGAACATGCTATCATGAGCAAGAGCATGTAGAGGCAGCTCTGTGTATTCTTCAGCATGGCCTTGTGGAACGCCCTCCGATTCCCTGTTCTTGAGCAGTTCTGCAGCATTTTCTTTCTCATCCCGTGAAGTTTGCTTGTCTGGTTTTTCAGGACTAACTTTTTTTTTGAACGCCTCCTCAATGGACATCTGCCCACCTTTGGATCCTGCTGAATGTGAGGATTCCTGCAGGAAAACAAAGATCTTAAATGTTCAGATTTAACTGAGATGGATGACTGAATCTAATGTGCTAGATATCAGACCTGCGCATTTGAGGACAACGAGACATTCTGTTTCTTGGACACTTTCGGTTTCTTTTTGGGAACAAAATTATATAAGCCCATTTTTCTTTTCTTCTTCTTGGAGGCTGCAGAAGGATACAAAGAAAGGAGCATGCCATTTGTTTTACTCTCGTGTGTTCTAAATTTAATTCAGCTTAGCTTTTTAGCTAAAAAAAACTCTACCTGTTTGTGTTGAGTCTTTTAGTTCCTGAGGTAAAAGGAGATGCTGTGTGGGTGAAGACTCCACGTCTCTCTCGTTCACGCTTTTCACTCTGATCATTGTCTTTGCACGTTGTTGCATTAACAAAAACAGACATACATATAATATATATATGTGTCTTTTTTTAATCAACTTTTGGGGCAGAACGATTTTTAAAAAAAAAAAAAATACTTTTATGATGCATTAGATTAGTAGAAGTGAAGTGAAAGTAAAGACATTTGTCACAAAAGAGTTCCATTTTAAATAAATTCTGTTCTTTCAAACTTTCTAATCATAAAAGAATTATGAAAGCTTTCATAAAATCATAAAAGCTTTTCAATACCATCAGGGGTTGAGGGGGCTCACTAAGGTATTTATTTAACCTATTCATTCGGATCAGAGGGTCCACCCATTCATTTTTTTTCTTGTCCTGGGCCCCATTCATTTTACAACCCACCAGTACAAATCTTCAACCACATTCTGAAATGTCTGTTCGTCCCCTACTACACTTTTTAGAGATTATCAATAATCATGTTTCAATGCACCTTCCACATTTATTACTAAGATGCCTGCATGCAACTAAAAAGTAAAAAACATAAGCAAGCAAACAGCAGGCTACCTTCAGAGCAGATGGAGCTGGTGCTGGTCTAACCATCGTTTTCCAAGCCAAACGTGGAGGAGCAGGATTCACAGCTTTAAGCTCCTCAGGCTCTCTCTGGGCATCCCCTTCGTGTCTGGCTGCAGGTAAGAACAAAGTAGGGATGCTCTTGGCACTCTGTGTTTCTGGAGCATCTTGTTTATCTTGCTGGATAGAGTCATGATTTCCTGACATGGTGTTTTCAGCTGGTGGCTTTTGGGGTGTCTGACCAGAGTGAAGCTGAAAGCTGGGCCCTGTGCTCTTCCTGTTGCCCAGAGAGCTCTGTTGTTTACCAGCTTTTGGAGCAGCTCCGAGGGATTTAGGCTTCCTGCCTCTTTTTGGTGGATTCGCAGGGTTTTCCATACCTAAAACCATACAGTAATAAAAACTAAGGTGTGTAAACAATGTGTTTTTTTTATTTATTTATTTGATAAGTGAATCAAATCTGAAGAAATCAATTAACTCACCTTTCTTGGACTTGGCCATGGCAGAGGGAACCTGGAGCAATCCAAGACCACATCCAAGTTCCTTCCTCTATATGAGAATTTACAGTGTTATATTATATTATATGTTTGCAGTCTAATGGAAATTTATTGTTACGTAAAAAAACATAAATAGAGCAATTACGGTTCAAGATATTAGTTAGAATATATTTAAACAAAAATTATACTTATAGGCCATTATCCATCTCTGATGGGCTGCGTTTCAAAATCTAGTAAGATGTCTAACGTTAGTCCTAGACCATTTTGGCTGTGTGATTACATCTTACCAGATTTTGAGACAGCAAACAAATCTGTATCTTTGGCCCTCTGAATTAAAACGCTAAATCATTCTTTCGTAGTCGCATTGCTGAAGAGAGATGGCAGCCCACTATCATCATCGTGATTTAATGCGTCTTATTAACTGGGAAATTAAACATAACAACATTTTAATGTTTATGTCGGATGTAGCGCGCTCAAAGTGGGATGAACAACATGAAACAATGTAGCTAACACAAAACACGCGCATGACAACAGCCGCAACAGCTAAATTCTATACGAAAACATTCATGCACCTATAAATCAACGTCGGTCTAGGGACATTAATCCTCAAAATAACAGCTTTGCTTAAACTTACCCGTTAACTTATGATGGTTTGCATTTTTGTATAATAAGGTTCATTCCGAAAGTTTAGAGGTTTGCCTTCCTCTGTCTTTACTTCCCTGCTACATGCGCCCTGCAACTGTCATGTGACCACACAGCGCCCTCTACTGGCCAGGGAGAGGTTGAGGATTTGGGAAGCGAGTACAAAAACGAGACACCCCTCGCTGCAGCCTGTAGCACGATGACGTAGCTGGATGGTCCAATACGTAGTGGATGGATGTGTGTTTTGGTGACGTCATTTACGCATGCGCAGTGCCGATCTCTGATTATAATTCGAATGCATTGGTTTTAAGTGATATGTAAGCTCAATATTGTACTGAGATGATGTTCAAACTGTGTAGTATAATACTGTTAAATAATTGTAAGTAATTATTGATGAATAAGTAAGGAAAATGCTAAAATAATAACAGCATGGGGAAAATAAATCTTGTAATAATAAACTCGCATTTATGTTATACATTCAGAATTGCGAGAAAAAAGGTCAGAATTCTGACTTTATAGCACACAATTGCGACTTTATTTCACGCAATTCTGTCTTTATAACAAGCGATTGAGGCTTTATTTGACCTAATTCTGTCTTTATAAGATGCGATTGAGGCTTTATTTCACCTAATTCTGTCTTTTTATCATATGCGATTGAGGCTTTATTTCACGCAATTATGTCTTTTATAACATGCGATTGAGGCTTTAGTTTCACGCAATTATGTCTATGCGAAGGCTTTATTTCACCTAATTCTGTCTTTATAACATGCGATTGAGGCTTTATTTCACCTAATTCTGTCTTTATAACATGCGATTGAGGCTTTATTTCAAGCAATTATGTCTTTATACGATTGAGGCTTTATTTCAAGCAATTATGTCTTTATAACATGCGATTGAGGCTTTATTTCACGCAATTCTGACTTTATATCTCACAATTCTGAGAAATAAAGTCTGCGAAAAGTAGCCTATACTCGCAATTGTAAGGAAAAAGTCGCAATTGTTAAAAAAAAGTTTTATTCTGAAAGCTCTGAAAATAAGAGCTTCGCTCGTGACCATATTTAAATGTACTCTTGGAAGATCAACGATTGTTCACCAACTCTCTAACTAGGCCTATGAATTCTTAATGTGCATGTGCCATCAGCGTTTATCACAGGATCGCGTTTAAAGTCTGTTTAGAGAGAACGGTGTCATCCCCTAACAAATTATCATTTCGACAGAATCAAAACTAACTAGCTGTAAAATAACATTATTCATGAACCGCTATAAAGCAAAAACAATCTGTTACATTAAATTAAAGCTGCTTTGAAACAATCTAAATTGTTAAAAGCGATATATAAATCAAGATGACTTGACTAGTGCGCATGCGCGCGTTATAGGGTCCAACACGTATTGGACCGTCCAGCTACGTCATCGTGCTACAGACTGCAGCGAGGACCTCTTGACAAAAACAGGTTTAACCCAGGGTTTAACCCAACTTGTTACACTCGACTAAACTTCTCAGTTACAAAACTATAGTATTATTTTCTGCCAATATGTATCACTTTATTTGAGATTCACATATGACAATATAATTTACATTGACTTTTTTGGTTTGTGGGGAACCTCAACAAATTGAATCCAAAGAATTAAAGTAAAACACCATCTCCGATGCACAGCAGTAATCTCCTTAAAACGGAACTGTATAATTTCTCCTATTTGCTTTATGGTACACCTGACAGCTTAAAACAGTACTATTAAATGAAGCCTATCAAAGATTTATATCAATGTCACAAGAAACGCCATTGATTCATTCATTCCCATACTATTTAGAAGTAGCCTACATGTTTTGTTTTTTTCAGTTTTTTCAATTCAACTCAAATTTGCATGTCATTGATTTTAAAAAGAATTTTATTAATCTGTACACTACATATAAATGCAAATCACTGCTTAAATACAAAAACTTTTTAACAATCAAGTAGTGTGCGATAAAATTGTCTGGAGGGGAAAATACTATCAAAGTCAGAAAAGAATAATTAAATACCACAGAACATTAATATATTCAGTAGTCTCGTATAATGACAATGATTAGGGACTCCAAACGTGGTCTATATAATGTCATTTCAATTAGAACTGGATCCTTCTGTAGCTTATGAGGAACAAATAAAAACAAAGCCTGAACATACGAATAAAAGCAAATATATCTTGGCTGTGTGATTGCAAGCATGTCCAAAACAAGGGATAGTCTGATAGTAAAAGAGTTCTTACTACTCTTCCATGATAAAACAATAGACAATATTTCCAATGACAAAAATGAAAAGAAAATTGTCCAACTGTTTGGCATTATAGCTGCCAAACCACATCTGAAGTATTACACCAGGTTTAATATCAGAACTCAGAAGAATTTGTATATTTACACATTTGGTTCGAAAGTGCTTGAGGACTACACTTATTATGAAGTCAAAGGAGTGTTATGAATGTTTTCTCCCTTCTTCCTTTGGTTGGGTAACATCCTATGTATTGAAGCTATCGTCGTAAGAAGGTGGAGGTTCTGTCAAAAAGAAAAAAAAGCTATTAATCATCAGGTAACATTGAATGATCAATGAAATATAATAATAATAATAGAAATTCTACATTTTAAATATTAAAATACAAAACTAAGACCCGGTTCACATTGAGATCCAAAGACTGAATCACATCATATAACTAATAAACTTAAAACTATTGCAATGATATTCCCATACCATGTGGATATGCTGAACTACTATAGTTTGGAGGCAAGCTTGCTGAAGAGGACATTTGATTTCTGTTTGTGTCTTGAGGGCTGGAGGATGAACTCAATGGCAGTGCTGATAGGCCATTCTGTCTCTGTCTGAAGCTGAGTCCAGGAGCGTAGCTGAATGCATTAGGGGACACTGCAGCCTGGGAACCTGACTCTAACTGTGGACTCTTTGTCAATTCCCCGTTGTAGTTAGCCACACCTGGGAGTTTAGGGTACAGATCTGCTGGAGGTGCACTGGGGGACACTACGTAGCAGCTACGAGGCCTAGGCTTGGGTGCAGGTTTTGGGGTTGTGCGTGGTGGCAGACTGGGAAGGGCTGTTTCAGCGGGAGCAGCAGCAGGAGAAGGGGCAGGGTCAGGGCCAGAGGCAGGGTCAGGGGCAGAGGCAGGGTTGTTGCGTGGTGCTGGCATTGGTGAAATGGACCGGGAGGAGGAAGGCAGAGTGGGATCCACTGCGACATTTCCAATGTAAATGGGTAGAGTTAATGACACCTCTGGGTATTTCAAATAGACCTGGAAAAGCAGAAGCAAACATGCAAATGACATTCATTGAGAGGAAGGAAGCAGGAAATACCAAACCTATTTTGCATGAACATTTTGATAAGATGCATCTCTCTGATATGCATGTTGCCATCGATTATGTACAGCCAGCTATTAAATGCTCACCAATGGAGCAAAACACTTACAGGATGACAGCAAAACAATTACATTATGTTAACGTAATATGCATAACAAAAACTCACCTGAATGTAGTAGCTGATATGGATAAGGTTTCCATCTGTCAGGGAGGACTGATGAAGAGTTGGCACAATTATCTGCTCTTTCCACACAGTTTTATTTCCACCCTTAACTCCAGGTCCTTCAACCTCCGCTACTGTCCGCAAGTCATTTGTTGGCTTCTTGGTATTATACGTCACTTTCTGAAATGAAAAGATGAGCAATATACTATCATATCATGATAATGAACACAGATGTAACTGCATATTTAACCACAACCATTGATAAACCCATATCAGTCAACATCTAATCATCTACCAACATCTGTGGCGGCATGTCAGAGGAGGCAAGTGAAGCACAGCCTACCCAAAAGTGTGAGGTGGAAAATGGGAGAAGGATGATTTAATGTTCATTTAAAATTCCCAGTCATTCCTATAATTTTATGTCTCAAAATGTAGATTTCTTGCTTGCAATTTCAACTTTATAACACCATAAAATATAATTGAATTCAGAACCACCAATGTGCTTCACCAAATGTGTCGAATCCACCATTCAGTAAACTGCTAAGGTGAGTGGCCCAGTTTACACAAGAATGCTCGCGGGTGAAAACATAAAAAATATATATCTGACGTGCCTTTAGTTTACACGGCAACGTGGAAATCTTTAAAACGCTCCACTGTCGCATTTTGATGTTTCTGAATAACTAGAACTACTCACAAAGACTGCACATATTTTATCAAAAATACAGAACAACATTTTTTTTATACAGTCATTTATTTTTGCGATGGCAAAGCTTCATTTTTACCAGCCATAACTCATTCATTGTCACATGATCCTTCAAAAATCATTCTAATATCAAAAAACATGTATTATTATCGATGTTTAAAACAGTTGTGCTGGTTAACATTTAGGGTTTTTGATCAAGAGAATGTTCAAAATAACAGCATTTTTATAGTGCAAAAATGTTACTGTTAATAAATATTAATACTGTTAATAAATTTAATGCATCTATGCTGAATAAAAGTACTAACTTCTTTAAAAAAAACTGACCCCAAACACTTGAACAATATTATATCCCGCTTTAACAATACTGACCACTGCTTTTACACACTATATTTAATTATTGAGCTCATTGAAATCATTTAGTGTGATATATAATCTAATGCTGAAGAGAGTTTCAATATTTTTTGTCTTGTTTATTTTTATAATAGGATTCATAATCCAGATCACTTGCACAATCAACACAATCAACAAGTCTTACCTGCATTAGACTGGCAACCACATGGCCTGTTGACTTCTCAGATTTGTTTTCAATCTCAGCGGACACTTTAATGATCTGTCCAGCGATATATCCTCGCATGTCACTCTCAGCATTTAGCACCACTGTCCCATTCTTCACAAGCATGTATGAGAAATTCTTGGTTACAGAAGATGAGCTAGGTTCCTGCACAAAGCAAATAGTAATGTAAATCACTGGCACTAAATAACAGAGCATGAATCATGTAGCATGTGGCATACGATACAAGTAGTCAAATTTGTGGTTGTTTTCTTTGGAGGTCTGTGTTACACACATACCTGTATACCAGGTACTTCATTCAGGTTGACTGTGTACAACATAGAGAATGGCTTCTCTATCTTGTAGTCTTTTGCAAAACGGGGAGTCTCTATGAAAGCCCGAACTCTGTATATAATCCGTCCATAAGGCCCTTCAAATGATGCTGGAGCAGCAGCTACAAAAGAACAATGAATTCATTTGGTGACATCTCACAACTAAAGTTTGAGCATTTTGCATTACAATAATGTTCTTTTCAAGCAAAAGATTTAAAAGGGTGCATTATGCATTAAGCTCAAATATTTTTAGCAAAAGGCTAAATCCACAGAAGCCAACGCTACTGCATGACAAGGCACGCTTCTCTAAGAATGCTATTGTTCTTTTAGGTGGAGCTGAAGAGTCTCAGATAAAAGAGGAAAATCGAGAGGTTTCAAATAGCAGCCGAGCAGTTCCAGACATGGGCTAGCGGGTGTCTTTGCGTCACATTGTGAAAAGACTAATTTTAAGAAACCAATTTAACCTCTAGCACTGAAACAATTGACTGGCATTATCAGAATCCACAAGTTACATCATAATAAGCTCCAGTATTCTTTGAAAAATGTATTGTCTGTTCTTAGCTGGAAAGGGTGGGACTTCACTAAAAATACTTGTAAAAAACCCTCATGAAAACATCATGGATAAAAAGTCTCATCATGCTTTAGTGATTTTTGAAATAAATTAACACAATTAACCTAATTTTTGGGTTGATATTTAATACTATTAAATGTTTGCACTTTTCAAGGATGCAATAAATTGTGCAATAGTGACAGTAAAGACATGTATAGTGTTACAAAAGATCTCTACTTCAGGATGCACTTCTTTTAAACTTTCTATTCATCAAAGAATCCTAAAATAAATTACCACAGTTTCAACAAAAAAATAAGCAGCTCAACTGTTTTCGACTTTAATAATAAGAAATGTTTTATGAATATTGTTTAATGTTTGTTTAAACATTAAACCTTTAAAGAAATGTTTAAAAAATCAGACTTGCGATCACAGAAATAAATGACATTTTAAAATATATTAACAGTTATATACATTAACATTACTCTTTTTACTGTATTTCTTTCAAAAACAATAAAAAAAAAAACGTACAAACCCACATTTTAAATTGTTCAATGGTTCATACTTCCTATAATGGAACTGAAAACCTATTCCTATATTTGACTCACATTTATTAGGTCATGATTATTAAGTTATACAAAATTTAGTTTTTTTTTTAGGTTTTTGTTGTTCTGTTGCCGAGGTTAAACATAAACAGTGGTTAAACTGACGAGTCTTGAAGGAATGCAGGGCGACAAGTCAGTTCAATTACATAAAAGTGTGTCATACCTGGCAAGAGAAACTTGAAGGGAAAATTGTGCGTGCCCTCTTTCAGAGTTCCTGGGAAACAGATGGGGGAGAATCAGTAAGGAATTTCAACAAGCATCCTGCCTTTGCATCTGCGAGTAGGACCATGACCCCTGTGTACCTTTGTCTGCTATTGAGACTGAGCTGCTGAAGTACTGCTCCTCCTCTGTCCAGTCAGTGTCATTTGATTTGGTGGTCACTCCACAGAAGCCCTGGCAGTTCACTTTGATTGCTGATTAGGAAATAAAGATATATGTCAGTCAAAAGAAATATGCCTACATTGATTCTAATTCTCATACAGTATTCTGAAAATGACTTTTCCATTGACAAGAAATTATCAGTGCATGAGGTTATGTTGAATTCTTGGTAACAGCTATTTAAAGAGATATTTCATGGGTGTCAGTAAATGACTTCTGGAATTGTCTGGCACACAAGATGAGAGGCTTGTTTCTTGACTTAAACTTAAATTGACCTCATTTTGCCCTTCACTGTCAGCAGGATGTTGCATTAACACATTCAGACTGCCATGGTTACAGACAAGAACACATTAATCATACAAAATCAACAGGGGAGGTCTAGAACATAAAAAGCTTTGAGGTTAGCAAATTTATTTACTTCTCATTTGTCAAGAAATATTTTGCAACTTCCAAATAATTTCTACATGGAGAAAATACATCTTGCATGACGAAATTAGCAGTAGGCCAAAGAAGACATGTATTATTTATATATATATATAGTGGCCTCCACAATTATTGGCACCCCTGTTTAAGATGTGGTCGAGGACTTGTAAAAATTCTCCCTTTTTTTAAACAACATAGAACCCAAATGCAAAAAAAGAGAAAAATCCAACCTTTTATTTAAGTACATTACTTTGGAGGTAAAAAAATAAATAAATAGAAAAAAAAAACCTTGAATATACACTTGATTCACTTTTTTGATCCACTTCAAATGTTGTGTGTGTGCATTATAAAGTGTCTGTATTATTAATATGCATGTTCATATTAATTTCTGCCAGAGGTTTTTTTCTCTGTCTCTCTCTCTACCCCCCAGACACACATTGAGTGCTAGTAAGCAGAGATGTTACCACAGATACACAAGCAACCTTGGGAAATATGTCTGAAGAGACTCTAGAAAGAAACTGTGTGAACAACAAAAACATTTGGAATCTTGAGATTTCAATCAGACTTGCTTAAAAAAAGACAGAGTGGTACTAAAAGAGGGCAAAAAAGGGCATTGCTCTGGTAACAACAAAAAAAATCTAAACAATAAACACTCAAACAGTTATCATTTCAAATACTGTTGGCTGACTTCACTTGCATGAAGTATAATGGAGACTGTAAGTGATTGTTATTCTTGTCGTCCTTGATCCGGAATGTGAGCAAACCAGTCCAGTGAGTATTCTTTATCAAGATCTCAGCTCAAACAACAGACCAGCCCCAAACCACTGACACAACCTCATGTCTTCTAGCTCTGCATAACTGATACTGTTACTTTAGGAGTGAATTTATATTTGTCATTGTTATTGTATTTGAATGATCATCTGATCTGACTGTACTCTGACGCATTTTCAGTCTTATCACATTTGCCCAGTTCACAGGAGTTCACAAAAACAATGCACTTAATCATACTTCCTTGTTCACATTGATTTATTATTTATTTACACATGTAAAAATTTCAGCCTATTGGTCTACGATAGGCATATATATTCAGATATATTTCAGCTTGATCCCATGGCCCAAAGCACAAGACAAACAGAAGTTGCATTAGTTTTATGGGTGTATAAACAAGTCAGTGCTGTACTGTATCTGCATAATGCATATGAAAAACACATTCAATACATGCGCACTATGCTTTTGGAACTGAACAGCAAGTAACAAAACATTATACTTTATCAGATAGCTATATTTATTTACTACGTGCTATTCTGCACATATACTACACAGTAATTCTTTTGTAGTGTAAATGTATGCGTGTTATTTTTTTATTAGCATCCTCATTGTTTTGTCAATGCAATTCTTATAGACATGCGAGTAGTAGCCTATACGATAAAGTCTTCAGTACTTTTGATGTAGAGCTGAATGTGGTGTGCAATTATCAATACAATACAATTATCAATATAATACAAACACTTACAGGGCTGGACAGGGTTTGGTGGGTATTACCGCCTCTTGTCCTGTCCTGTAAGTGTTTTTATAAGTGGACACCTACAACTGAATTTGTAATTTTTATTAATGACAACAACGAGACTTGGAAAAAAATGATAATGAAGACTCCATAAAATGGCTTGACAAGTGGAAATGTCAGTCTAAGTCTGGGCAGAAAATATTAAGTCTCTTTTCCAAACTTCAATTTTGATTTAGAAAGTGGGATCTTTAAAGCTTATTTTGCATAAAAGTGCAGATTTATACTCTCAATATGAAATATCGTATTTTGATATTTCAAAATAGGCTTAGCCGAGTCAGGATATCAGACCATGAACAGGTGTTGCTACTTAAAACAGGTGGTGGGTGAAAAGATGCATTATTTACCAAGCAGTCTGACCAGTAATGCAACAAACTGCTTTTATAAGTCCAGATTTGAGAATTTGCTTTGTTGTAACTTAGCTACAATTTAAAGAATGTTTAAAGTTCTGAATGATTTGACACGCTTTAAAGACATAAATAGCCTAGCCTATGCAAATGGGTTGTTCGGAAAAACAATAAACACCACAAAGTAGGCTAGTAGCCCATGCGATAACAACACTATTTTATGCCCTAGTGCCTAACTTTTACTTAATACAGTTCTTTATGTTATTTTCTCAGAGACACGGTTTCAAAATAGCCTACTGATCTGAATTCCGAAACTGCGATTTTGTTCACCTGGCACATTATCGAGAAGTAGATCGAGGTTACATTTAAAGCCTGTTTATAAACAGTTATTATTCTCAATGTCCTTAAGTACACTATGTTTTTACGGGAATTTAGGAGAACTAAGAAACGAAAGCGGTTAGAGATTTAAGCACCATGTTGTTATGTCAATAAAATATCCGCAACAAGTTTCGCTCGAGTCGACGCCAGTTTCAGTCCTCGATGCGCGAAGACAAAATAGAAAATACCAACCATTTAAACGTCCGAGTGTCTATGGAAACAACCAGTAGGCTAACATACGTCTGATACACATGTAACATTGGGGTACTTTAAAAAGTAAACATGTTGAGAAACCTTTTTTAAAAAATCCAGTAAAAACACAAAGGGTGGCACCGGTGTGTGATCATTGCATACCTACCTTTACATGGTATGGGCTGTGTAATTGAGATTTTCAGAGTTCCAGAGATGGATTCGCCGGGACTGTACGCCGTTTTGTTGTTATTAAGAGTTATTTCGAATTCCTGAAGCTTTCCCATTCTCTTACCTATCCACCGTGAACAGGTGGGTGAGCGATTCACAACGACTAAAGGAAATGCTTTACCTGTTGCCGTCGACGTCACGCACCTGATCACGCACCTACGTCACTCGGAGTCAAAAACATACAAAAAGCCATACAACTAAAAAAATAAATAAAAACAAACAAACAAAAACCACTGAGCCATTATCTTGCAATGGCACTGGATGTTTCTGTGGAGATTTCTAGAACACTGGACAAAATAGGCTATACTTTGTTTGGAATTCTAAAACTCAATCATTACGATCGGGAGATGTGGAATTGTATGGACTTTTCCACTCTTAAACTTTTAGTCAAGCCTATACAGCCTTATTTTTGACTAAACTAATCTATTTGTTGACCACTGTTTTTCCAATAACAGGAGGGGGAAAAATCAGTAGGCTTGTGGTTTTATGAAATGTGCACGTTTTTGGAATTACACGTTTAGTGATATAGAATGGTAAGATTTTCAAAAACATGTTTCAAAACCTGTTCCATTTTATCTGAAATAATTTATTTTCAAACTTCTGTATAAGCAAAAAAAAAAAAAAAAAAAAAAAACAATATTTTTTTACATGCATTCACTCATGTATACATTTCGAAGAATATTCGGTAACACCTTTTACAGTGTCTTTGTTACACTTATCACAGTAATAACAGTAAATTATGAATAATGGCATGCCAATAATGCCAAATCCTAATCCTACCATAACCCTAAAAGTACATGTTGTTAATTAATATTCAGTACTTAAATATATAATTACACTGTAACAATGACACCAGATACATACATCGTATTCATTATCAGATAAAGCTGAATAAGACAGAGCTGCATGTTTTGAATTGTTGCTAGCCTTGCACAATGCAATGCATAGTTATTTATTGTTATCTCTTAAAACATTTTTAATGCATTTTCAGTTCCGTGTAGTTCAGTGTTGTTGGCAGAAAAGTCCTTGCAGTGAAAAACAATTTGTCCATACTCATCTCTATTTGTTTTAAATTCATGTACTCTCATAATCTTTAATCAAAATAATTTCCTCTCCTCCTGCAGCAACCTCTCTGTTTATTGGCGCAAGGGTGGGGCAACAGTTATTCGCATCGCAGTAATAGAAATAACAACCATCCAATCAATTCAGATGGACAAAAGCCACCCAACACATCTGTTAAATGCCAACTTTAAAAATGCACTAAGAGACAGTAAAAATGACATTTCTGTTCACACTTAATGTATCTGATTCAATTTTGTTTTCAGCTGTGCGTTTAATCCCTATTACCCTAAGAGAACTCCTGAATGCTTTAATAAAATTGCGTGATCCAAAAAAGTATATGAGGGGGTCCAAGCAGCAGTTGATTCCTGCCAATATATAGCATGCATAATATGCTGTTTCCAACTGCAACAGAACTCTGCATCTCTCAGGGTGATACTTTTTCATGACTACTCCAAGGGTCCGAACAACATTGAGAGGAAGAAAGCAAAGACCAAATATGACCAGACATATCCCTATCATCCTCAAGGATTTAGTCTTGACCAATTGGCCCTGAACAGAATTTCTGTTGATGCGGGATATTGAGCTCGCAAGGCGACTGTAACAAAACACTGATATAGTTAAGGGTAAAATACACCAAAAGAAAAAAGTCACAAAGTTAAGAACAAAGTAAGCATCTATCAATGTTGTCTGATGAATAGTAAGACACTGCCCATGATTTTCCTCAGTGGTTACAGGAAGCATCCACCCATAGGCAATGCCAATTATTATCAGAAAACACCAAATCCCAGCACACAGCTTCTTCACGAAAGTCTTCCGTTTCATCAAAGAGGGGCGCTTGAAGTGAACCACAGTAATATAACGATGAATGCTAATGAGTGTGAGGAAGACCACACTGCCTTTAAAGTGGATGCTGAGCACAGCAATCTTCAGCTGGCAGGCGAAATTCCCAAAAATCCAGTTGCTATCCATGGCGAAGTACGCTGCCATCAGTGGGGTGAGTGGAGTAATGATGGCGTCAGATAGAGCAAGATTGAACTGCAGGACGGCTCCAGAGTTCCATTTGTGAATGCGACAGGTGAAAACCCAAAGGCTGAATCCGTTGAGCAGGAGGCCCAGCAGATAGACGAGACAGAGGATCACAGCCAGGGACATGTGCTGAGCCTCAGGAGAACATGTGTCTTTGAGGCTCGCATTACTGCTGTTCACTAAACTGTCTGAGGTCATCTTAGAAGAATTTCACTGTGTAGGAAAAAAAAATCCCTGTGTTATTTTGATCAAATTGCGTGTTAGGTATATTGCGAATGAATACATTTGGAGAATTTCACACAAATGCCTTGGCCATGCAAATATATTGCTATAGTGAATGCTAATAAATGTCATCACCAAAGCACATTAAAAAATGTATATGTTAAAAAACACACAACTCTCTCTAAACGTTTTATTTTGCTGTCATGTAATATTGAATGATTATATAAATGTGATCCTCATTTAATAAAGAGGTCCTGCTCAGTTTTATTAGGCTACATATAAAGAGTTCAGATGCAAAAGCCTCTAAATGCCATTTGAAATTTTCATCTTTCATGATGATTTTTTATCAAACTTGTATATTTAAGTTCAGTAATTTCACTTAAATAACAATTAATACGTAATTATCATTGCCATTTAAGTGAAATAACTGAACTTAAATATACAAGTTTGATAAAAATCATCATTAAAGATGAAAATTTCAAATGGCATTTAGAGGCTTTTGCATCTGAACTCTTCATATATAAAAAGACAGAGCACCCTAACTAATATATATATTCTCTGAAATGAATATCAAGCTAAACAGAGAACTTACCAGATCATGCATCACTCCCCTCCAAACTCACTTGAATTGTACATTGAACAGAGACAGTTGACTAAACTGTTGACTAAATAGCAAATGACAGGTATGAGTGTATGTGACAAAAAAAGGAACCAAGACAGGATTAGTCAACAGTCATTAACCCCAAACTCCACCCTTGTCAGTCTAAGTTAAAATGAACACTATAAATATCTAACTAACACGTCATTGAAGAAAAAAATAAACCAATATTCAAAATCGTATAAGCTTTACTTAATCATTGACCATCACAGTCCTTCACTTCATAAAACTAACAAAAATATTAAATTTGCATTCATTTTTATCAAATCATTGTAGGGGTTCCACACAGGTGACTTGACTCAATTAGCTTCCTTGTTGTTTACTTCCACGCAGATCTTTAGTAGCAGGCGAAAGATTCTTGCAATGAATTAAGAGAAACTGTGACCGTCTGTCCAACTGTTGCCTTTATGTTTACTGCCCCTTCCTCAATTCTTTCTTCTTTTTTGGTTTTAATTAGCAGTTGCAAGCTTCCTCAATTTTTTTACCACTTCCTTTTCATACCCTCTTCATCATCCTTTGTTTGTCTCCTGATTGGTCAACTTCAAATAATTCATGTGATAGTAATTAAAATTAGTCAAAAAATAGTCACAATCCCCGCAGCTGGAAAAAAAGAGAGTCATATGCTTTAAAATTCCCAGAATTCTGTATCCTCATCTGAGGATTCTTGAAAGATTCTTGAAAGAATTTTTGTTCAACGTTCCATTTTGAACAAAATTCCCTGAAAAGTGATGAGACGAATTGGGTTCCTCGATCGGATAAGATAAAGTCTGGCACACCCCAACTGGTAAGAATTTCCTTGCAGAGAATCAGAGCAATGGTTCGTGCATTTACTTTACGCATTTGGAACATATCAACTCATGAGAGAAATAATCTACACAGACTAGAAGGTATTTGTGACGGCTTCTAGTCTGTGAACATTTAAACTACAATAACATGCACATACATACATGCATACAGTTTACCAAGGGAAAGAGAGCCTGAAGCAGAATATTGGAAAGCAAGAAGTTTGAAATTGAAAAAAAAGCATTGTTTGAAATTGAGCAGACCATCAGTATAGCTCTAACACACCCTTCTTCAAAAGGGGTAAGGAAACTTAATGTTGTATCAAATAATGTGACTAAGTTTGATACATGCATGTCTCGCCCATTTGAGTTAAACTGTCCTGATACAATTTGCTGAGGCTGCAGTTGATCTTTGCTGGTGTGGTATTGATGAAAGAGAACCAGTGTGCGCCAGAGAATCTTTGGTGAATGGAAAGAAAATGCCGGAGCTTGGCACAAGTATATTGGGGGACTTCTAGTTCAGCATCATCTTCACATTAGGACTTCACGGAGAGGACCAAGAGAGGGGCGTAAGACAGGGGCTTCATTTGTGATGATAGTTTTGGGGCAAGTTTCATAGAACTTTGTTGGGAGAGTGAGTTTGCTGGATTATTCATTAAATATAATTAAAAATTTGTGTGTCTGATTGGTCCAGACGCTACAGTAAGAACAGACTTTGCGGCTTTTTATGTTTTTGTTTTGTTGTTGAGGGCTACTTGCAGGCGCATTGGGATTTCCAGGTTGAAACGAAGGTTGTTCTTTTGGATTTGACTTGAAAAAATATTGTCGGTCAATGACGTTGATTTGTTTGCCACTAAAGAATATGAAGTCCAAACCCAAGACTACTGAATAGGCGAGGGCTTTTGAAGAAAGGACAGCAATTTGTAAATTAAAAGAATAATCATGTAGATAAATTTGTTGATGTATCCATCCTAAAGGAACTTTGAAACAGTCTTCCTAGCATTGTTCGAGAAGCCAAAAACACATCTCTTTAACCTGGCATGCACATAGTACATTATCAAGTTCTATTATTCAAATCAGGTAATGACTGTTAGACTGCATAAACTAGATCAGCCGGAACCGGGAACACTTCCTAAAGCACCCGATGTACTCGCTACATCATAAGAAGAGTGGCATCTACACTAACGTTAGTCACTGTGTTTAGCTGAATCCTGGCCGTGTCCAGAACAGATGGTGGACCTGCACCTATACACAACCACAACGCATTCCTGAAGTGTCTGCAGAGATTGCGTCAACTAGACTCTCCCCTGTGCTGTGAAGGTCTCATTGGCAAGTAGAACGGATTCTCAATAAAACCGTCTCCATACCGGCATGATGACTCCGATCTTCAACCAGTTGGAACTGGATAAATATTGTGAATGTTCCGATCCAATCTGACTTCTGGCCTGTAATTCCGCCTGAATCATAATCATACACTGTTTGTTCGTTGGCCAGAGGAGAACTGACCCCGACTAAGCCTGGTTTCTGCCAAGTTTTTTTCTCCCTTCTGTCACCTGATGGAGTTTTGGTTCCTTGCCACTGTCACCTTTGGCTTTTGGCTTGCTACTTATTATTCAACAATCTTATTGATCTGCCTGCATTTACACCATTACATGAGAACTGAACTGAGCTGGACGATGACATCACTGTTTTCCCCAGAGTGGCTGCACAGATAAATTAACTAAATTAATACCTTTTTTTGCAACAGAAATGTACCATCACTGAACTTAAGCAGAACTCTATTTTCTTCTAGATCTTTACTGCCGAAACAAAAGTTGTGGCATTATTTTCATGTTACACTGTAATCACTGTAAAGCTGCTTTGAAACAATCTGGATTGTAAAAAGCACTATATAAATAAAGGTGACTTAACTTGACTTGATTACTATTGGCCAGAGATGTATAAAGTACCAGAAACCCGGACTTGAGTTAAAGTACAAGTGCTCTATCAAAAAAGTGACTTGAGTAGAAGTTGAAGTGCTCTTAAAGCACCACACTTAAGTAGAAGTACTAAAGTATTCAACATTTTTTGTACTTAAGTATTACAAGTAGTTTATTTTAAAATTCACTACTTAAGTACTAAAAGTAAAGTCATGTAATTATTAAAGAAAGCAGTCAAAAGTTTGAACTAGCAATCAAATAAGGCGCTTTGGCGGGATACAAATTTGCTTTGGCGGCCGCCAAAAAATGTCATTGCAGGACAACCCCTGCATTAGTTGTCAATGTGTGTGTCAATCAATACCATTACCCTATAAAACTGGCATGTGATTTAGGCAGCATGAAAGCCAACTTGCAATGAATGATTCGTAAAATTTTTATAATTGTAATGAGTAACTAGCAGAACATTAAAAAAATATCGAAGTAAAAGTATTAAATTCATCGAAAATATCTACTGAAGTAAAAGAAAAAAATACTTTAGTAGAGTACAGATACAGCATTTTAGTACTTAAGTAGTTCTACTTCATTACTATACATCTCTGCTATTGGCAAACCATTTAATATTGTTTTTTTTTTTTTTTTTGTAATTTATTCACTTAACCTTCACATTGTAGGACTTTTTTGTAACATCAAGATAACATTTTCATTGCTGCAGCTGCAGAGCAAGTATGGGACTCGATACTGCCAGGATACACAACACACTGCTAAGAGCAAGACATGCTGCTGCTGTACAATATAGCATACATGAATTACCCATAGCAGATCTATACAGGTGGAGCTGGGCCAACTGCTGATCAAAGTATTTGAAGTTTGAGGAGCAAGCTCATTGGCTACTGATACGGCAGGAACCAATCAGCGGTGCCCTAGAGAATGATGAGATTGCAAACAGATTGAGTTAAGGACCTGTGCTATCAGTCTGTGCTATCTAGAGTTTGATGGCAGAACTTTGTGTGTATATATTTCAGGTTTTCCCATGTTCATTGTTTGTTTGTTTTGTTAATAAATGTAGACCTTACGCAGAAATCCTTCTCTCCCTGGTTTTCTGTGCTCACAGCACATTACAGATAACAGCATATGAAGACATTGAGCGGAACACTGTCAGACTCAGAGTCCACGTAACATGCCATGAGCAGCTGTAACATTTGATGAATAATGAAATGAGGCAGCATTGGTGCTGTGAGGCAAGTATGATGTTGCCTGAACTGACAGAACAGGGACGTGCAACTGCACCACCAGGAACTGATTCAGACCATCTGAGACTTGTAAACTACACTCAGTAACAGCAACTGTTTAAAAATATATATATTTTCAAACATCTAAAAACACATTGAAAGGGTCTTTTTTTTCTTTTTTGACTTTTGAATCTGAAGTTGTTTTTATTTTTTAATGAATTACAATAAAAAAAAAAACATTAAGCTGTTTAAGAGCTTCTGTTAACTCGTCTTCTGTTGAAGAGCCATTGCTTTGACAGTAAAACAGTCAAATAAAGAGGAATCTCTGTGGATGCTTGGTGTCCTCTCGGTTTCAAATGTTGCCAGGCCTTCCTTTTATATAATTTCTCAGTTCCTTTTTATCCAGTACTTTTAAAAGTAAACATTGCAGTGGTTAAAGGGAAGATTTTAATTCATATTGATGCGGTTATGTTCTTTCCAATGGGGAAACACCATACACATATTTCCACCAGCTGATGAGTAAGAAAATCAGATTGGATGTCATCATGATATTTTTTTGACATGATGCACAATTGACAATGGCTTGAATGAATCAGAAGCCCACCTATGAGAGCGTGAGATTATAGCGGTACATCGTTCAGTATAAACCGAAACATAAACAGGACAATCACAAGACAGAAGGACATTCACTAAGCCGAGATCTGATGGCAAGACACTAGGTGGAGACAGCAGCACAGAACATTGGACAAAACCAGGTTCCTGGTTCATTTTGCTGACAAAAAAAAAAGTTACTGTTTTTAGGAATAAAACGTTACATGAATCAGGAGACTGCTATATGAACAAACCCCTCAACAAAAACCTTCAGAATATAGATAGGAATAAAACATTTGGTATATGTAATTGCCACTGAAAAGGAGACGTTTCTGCCTGAGAAAAAAAAAATAACTCATCGAGAAAACAGCCTTTAAAAGATAAGATGTAAGACTGTATAAACCTCAAAAACGCTTCCAGGTCCCAATTTAATAGCCATGCTATTTTAATATTACTGTAATAGCCATGATAAAAGTGACAATAAAAATTGTACCTGACCTTAGAAAATAAATTAAAGCAAACAAGAACATTCAAACTGTGAGATGCATTGTAGAAGAGTGTATACAGTATATAAGTCATTATATACAAGTCATTGAGGGTTCTTTTATTCACTTGATTGGGCACTTGTTTAGTTTTGAGTGCGAGACAGCAGTGGGTATTTAAAGAGGAACTTCAAATATAAAAAAAAAAAATCATAAATTGTAAATTTGTCTAACCAATTATTTTATTTACACAAGGGTTTGTCACACTGACTCAATCCAAAGCAAATGATATTCAGCCATGAGATGCTTTACAAAAGACAACATTTTCTTAAAAAAAACCACAAAATTGAAAATTGGAAAATGCTTTAAAATGACCTTTATAAAAACGGGAGACAAGAAAAACAACTTAACTAAGTCAAATAACCAGCACAGTTCCATTTTACAGATCTTAAGGTCAGTCTTTTGCTATTAGATGAGTCATCTACCTCCTCTCTAGTGGCTGGAGCGTCCAGTCTCCGTCAGACAGGGGTCGTAGGGGTGGAAGGGGTGGGAGGCACAGTAACAGGGTGAAGGCCTAAATCCAGAGAGGGGGCTTCCTCTGGTTCAGGGGGGCTTTTCTTAGAAGCCTCAAGCTTCTCCTTCAACAGGGTGTACAGTTCTTTCACTGACTCACTGCTCTGTAATAACATGAATTAAAATTCAGTTACTATAAGATTTCTGCACAAGAGAATCAGTACAAAGAGGAACAGAGAGAGCTTTTATCATTTGTGAACCAGTGTTGTTATTGTTAACTTGAACTAAAAACTATGAAAAATTATTTAAAAGTTATTGAAATAAAGCTGAAATAAAATCAAATATAAATATTAGATTAACTTTATTTAAACTTAAATAAATAAATTTCTTGGCAGCTAATTGAAATGAATTAAACTAAAATTATTTTAAAGCTAAATAGAAATATATATTAAAAAATACAAAAAGCACATAACAACATTACTAAAATAAAATAAAATAAAAACTGATAATATAAAAAAGCTCATTCAAAATATTAATTAATACTTTAATATAAATAATATAAAATAATACTGTGAACAGAAGTGGATGAGGTGCCACCTAGTGACCTTTAAACATTAAAACAAACTTGGCCTCATTTACTTTCTAATGCATGTCCCTATTCTTATGAATGATTCATCAGTGCATGTTGAAAAAGAAAAAAACGACTAAAAGTTTTTGTAATCTTTAATCAAAATGAAATGACTTTCCGTTTCTGCTGATGTGACTAAATCCAGGCAGAGCAGAAGACTATTAGCAAATGTTAACCAACAACCCATTAGCTATTTATTGATTTAGCAAACTCACATTCAGTCTGTTTCCTTTAAAATACCTGTTTTGGCGGTTCAAGTGTCTTCATTAAGGTTTCCATGTAGGACGCCAGCACCTTCTGATGCAGATGGTTCAGCAAGCGCAGACTGTGTCTGTGAACGTTCTCCTTACTGCAAATGAGAGTGATAAGCTCAAATATACTAGAACTGTTGTGAACTGAGCCACAACAGTTGTTTTTTTCAACTAATGAATATTTTACATTCAAACCCTGAAGAAGTTGCACTATATAATGTGATTAAGAAAGATAATAGACCTAGAGAAAGATGTGAGGAGGAAGTTGTCAAAGACAGCAGTGCAGAACTCCTCTGATCCAAATTCATCAGAGAGCAGAGTTAGATGACCAGTGAGAAGATGGAGGAAGATGTCTCCAAACGCCATGTCGTTATAGGTATCCACTGCAAGCAAACACAAACACACACGCACACAGAGAGATCAGATCAGTGGAGTGCCATGATTCTCCATTAATCCAATGTATCTGATATGAGTCTCACCCAGTCCAGGCAGAAGCCGCTGTAAAGCATTTTTATTCCTCTGCTTAGCGATATGAAGTGCATAATAAAGACCGATCTCACATGCCACCCTGTTTTCCTGTATATACCTAGAAAAAAGAAAAAAGACAATCCATTTTAGAAAGAATTAAGCACTTGCTGAATATGCTGGGTTGAGGAGTGGCATGAGAAGGCGCAGATACCTGGAGAAGGTTTCAGGCAGGGTGGTGGGGTATGTTTGAGAGGTCTTCTCCTCACTTGGTAGTTTCTGCTCCACAGTGAAAGTGTAGTCATCCACCACTATTGACATCATGGCAGGCAGAAAGCGTGTTACCACCTCCAAATCCTGATGGTGAACAAGACCAGCCTTGTTTAATTGTGGAAACCCATTTGTACTCTGATCTTCAACCAGATGGAACTGGATAAATATTCTGAATCTCCTGATCCAATCTGACTTCTTGCCTGTAATACCGTCTGAATCATGAACATACACTGTTCATTCATTGGCCGGAGGAGAACTAGCCCCCCGACTAAGCCTGGTTTCTCCCAAGGTTTTTATCTCCATTCTGTCACCTGAAGGAGTTTTGGTTCCTTGCCACTCTTGCCTATGGCCTTTGGCTTGCTTAGTTGGGGACACTTATTATTCAACAATCTTATTGATCTGCCAGCATTTACACCATTATATGAGAAGTGAACTGAGCTAGGCAATGACATCACTGTTTTCTCCAGAGTGGCTGTACAGATAAATTAACTAAATTAATAACATTTTTGCAACAGAAATAAACCATTACTGAACTTACTTAAGCAGAACTCTATTTTCTTCTAGATTTGCTGTACAGCCGAAACAAACCTTGTTGCTTTATTTTCCTGTTATCACTGTATAGCTGCTTTGAGATAATCTGTATTGTAAAAAGCGCTATATAAATAAAAGTGACTTGACTTTATCATACCATTCGGGGCTCTTTGAAAACCTGGCTGTCAATCATGTCCCAGGCCCCCTGGCCAAGAGAAAGCATCCGCAGCAGGAGGAGAAGTTCAGGGCTGTCCTGTACATAAACACAGATTGATAGGTTGTGTGCTTTTCTCAATTTTGTTATATATATATATATATATATATATATATATATATATAAAAAGAACAACATTTTGATAAAAACTGAAATTTAAAATAAATGTATATATGAAGTGCCATTTGAAATTTTCTTCTAGAATGATCATTTTTATCAAGCTTTTATATTTAAGTTCAGTGATTTCACTTAAATGGCAATGATAATTACCTATTAATTGTTATTTAAGTGAAATTACTGAACTTAAATATACAAGTTTGATAAAAATCATCATTAAAGAAGAAAATTTCAAATGGCATTTAGAGGCTTTTGCATCTGAACTCTTCATATACAAATATAAATTGTTATATATAAAAATAAATTGTGGTAGGCAATTTCAGGGAGGCTAGCAATAGCTAGCTTTGAATGCATGAGATCCCACGCTCCCCAGATCATCTCTAAATCCATGCCTCCTTCAAAACATATGAACGTACACAGCAGAGTCTGCAAAGCGTCACAAGAAACTGCATTAAATTACCAATTTAAAGATTCCTAATTTGGCGCTTTTCCACTGCATAGTACGGTACGGTTCGGCGCAGTACGCTTCGACTCGGAGCGGAACAGTTCGGTTCCCTTTGCGTTTTATTTGCAATTATTTGCGCGCGCCTCTACTGCCATGACATCATCTTAAAAGCGCCACATTTTCAAACCCACAACACAGGAACAATGGAGACTATCGAGGGGATGGTGTTCCTGATTCTCGGTATGTGGTTGTTTTTAACTGCTAGACGGAAAAATGTGTTTAAAATGAGGCTGATGGCAGCAAAACAAAAATACTGCTAAAAAAGTGTCTCAAATCCAATGACGCTAGTAGTGACGCTGGTAGTGACGATTCTGTCTGACCAATCAGTGATCTGCAGTGTTTCACGTCACATTTTAGTACCGGTACGGTACGCTTGGAACCTCAACAGACCAGGTACCATTTAAAGCGTCCTGAAGCGAACCGTACTGTACCGTACCATGCAGTGGAAAAGCACCACAAGTGAGCCGTACCGAACCGAACCGTACCGTACTATGCAGTGGAAAAGCGCCTATTGTCTCTGCATACCCTCATAAAATGCACAGATGTATGGAAATGTGAAATGTTGAGAGGCAGGTAGGACCAAAAATAGGACCAAATGCAATGATTGTAAAAAAAAAATTGGTCCTGAGAATTCCACAGATGACATACAGTATGTGCAGATTTTAATATTTAGGCCACGTCTATTTTTGCTATCAGAATGTGAAGAGAGTTTAAGCCAGTAAAACAAAAAGTGTTTATTATAAAAAATATTGCCTACCCTACCTTGAACAAAGACAATACTGTAATACACTATTAGCCATAAAAAGGCATAGAGAGTTATTTTTAAAGCTCAACTTGTTGCATGTGCATTCGTAAATAAATCATGCAACGTGATTTACAAAGATTTAAGGTAGTCAATTTACTGGTATTTGCACCACTATTAATGTCACAAAAAGGTCTGTCTTAACCGTTTTTGGACTTCACATGGCAGCAATTGTTATAAAAATTCGATAGGCTCTTTCAAGGGTTTGCGTTTTCAAACCAATTAGCCATGTTTATTAATTCAGGTCATAAATCATCAGTACAAACAAAAGATGCCTTTAGACCAAAAAACAACTATGGAGTTCTTACTCTGGGGAGGGCGTCCTGGCTCAATAGCTCCTGAAGGTTCCTCACGGTGCTCAACACTAGAGTGTTACAGGCAAACGGATCACAGAGGATCATCGACAGGTCACTGTGAGAAACAGAGACAGAGAGTGTTACATTTTTATGGTTTTATGGCTTTATTGTTTGCTGTATCTGAATGAATATTTGAATCTCATACCCTAATACTTGTTCCTGCCCTTTCTTCACACCATCCAGGAAGCCTTGCAACTCACGAGCCCGTTTAGCATCCACAAACTTTTCCCTGATGCAGGCATCCAAACACCAAGAAAACTAGAAAAGGATAAGAGCGAACATAAATATAGTGTTTTAGGGTGCCAGACCATTTGAAAGAGGTCAGCCCTACGGTACAGGATCACAAATTGCGATAGTACCAAACAGTTTTTGAATGTTTATAAATATACATAATTTAATCATAAACCATAAAAAGATGGTGATTGCTGGTCTGACTTCCAGAAAGTGTTGAGCTCCTGTAACTGTTTTTGTAACAGATATTTACCGGTAGGTCATTTTGTTCAACCTTGTGAAATGGAAGGACCCTACAAATGGTGCTCAATAATCATGATGTTGCAGTTGAAAGGGTGTGTTGTAAATTACAAACTGGTTTTACACCTTGTGACAGGGGTCGACTGAACAGATCTCACTGATGTCGAGGTCATGAAGGGACATGAGCAGCTCAGCACGTAGGGTGCAGTAGTGCACGTTTCGTGTTCGCAGGAACAGCGTCCGCAGGAACTGTAGTACCATATCGTAGAGCTTCACATTCTTCCCAATCATCTGAGTCAGCTTCAGCACCACCTAATGAAAAATCACAGGTTCATTGTTGACATAAAGATTCAACAAGAGGACAGTGTTTGTTTGTTGTTCCACTGCAAACGTAATAATATATAATTAATATATAGATAAATAATATATAGATAAATAATATATAGATAAATAAAATAAAGAAAAAATAAATAAGCATCTTAAAATAACATTGACACAACATTACATTGCCATCAAATGAACAATAATATAAATTAATAAATTACCATGCTACTAAAGTATGTTAGAATTATCAAAACACAAGATTAATGTTAAAGAAATGTTGTGATAACATTGATACAAGATTATATAAACATTAAAGTAACACTATTTTATAACTTACAGTATATTCACATTCAAAAGTAACCTTAAAATGTCTTAAATGTTTCATTTTTATTGTTTGGAATGAAGACAAAGTATTGTCATGTTTTAATCTTTTAGAATTTCAGGGAAATCAGAGAAAGAAAAGAGAGCCACTTACCTCACCCTGTCGCCGTGTTTTGGGTGAAGGACTGAAAAAGTTATGAAGGATGGAGAGGTCGTTGCTAAAAAGAGCCGTCTCCTTCTCCACAATATACTGTTTCAAGAGCGGAGACACCTCGTCACCGAAAAGAGCCTGATTGTCCTGCCAAATTTGCCGTTTCACCTCCACAGCACAGACTTTGTACAGCTCTTTATCGGCCATAACCTGCTTCAGCTTCTTCTCAGGCACCTGCATGAGCATTCAAACAGAAAATTGAAGAAAAAAACAAAACAAAACGATTGCACACCTAAGTTGAAAAGATCTTCAAAATAAGCTTTGAAATGAGTCTGTATACTGAGATACCTTGACATGTATCTGTTACTTGAGTACCAGAGATTAATAAGCACAGAACACATGTATACCTTAGGCAGATGTTTGAGGACTTGCATGACAACGGGCTGTATGGACGGCATCTTCACCAATGGGAAGCTCTTCTCAAGAAGTTCTTCCAGCTTTACGTATCTGTGTGAATTTAGGGAATGCATTAGTGTGATTTAAGATCCGCTGAGCAAAGGAATGGATTGAAATCAAAACTTTCCATTCACCTGTCCTCCTCCTTGCCCTCGGCAATGGTGGCAACGCGCTCCATCAGCTTATCTCGAAGCTCATCAAACACTGACTGATGAAACTCCAGCCGCGGAGTCCCGTGAAGATCCAGGAAAGGCAATGCAGACTGTAGGGTTGGCAACAATATGCCATTTTCAGCCTATAAATGATAATCAGTTATAATAAAACAGTAAAATAAACAAATATCGTTTTCTATTATTAAGTATAATAGACTATACTTAAAATAATATATTTAAGTGCAAAATGCAGATGTTTTCGGACACTTAATTGCAGTGACTTTTTTTAAACCCAATTAAGTAGGAGTTAAATACATTTGAGTGTAATTATAAGTTCATATTTACCTTTATTGTCTTTGAAATATGGTTAAAATGTACTGCCAAATGCACTGACAAGCTACGTATTGTCATGTATTTAAATATTTGTAATTGCACATTTGTAATGATGAATTAGTTACCTTAAAATGTAATATTAAATAACATACTAAGTTAAAATTAGTCACTTTAAATGTGCTTTAGTATGTTAGTCAACGGATCAAAAAAAAACTTTTAAGACTGAACAAAAACTTTAAAACATAATGGTATTTTCAAGTAAAACGTGTAATGTGACATTATTAGAAAGCACCAGCACACGTTTTAAAAGTGTACTCAAGCGTGTTAGATAATTCATTAAAGTGTGCTCTTTAGATACACTAAAGTGGCTTTATATTTCATTAATAATATATTATCTGCACATTTTTAATGTACTTTTAAGATTTAAAGTCCACTACAAGTGCGCATTCAATTTTAATTAAGCGCCCTTATTTTTCACTAGGGTGTTCACTAGGTTGTGGTACTTATTCCATATTGGATTACATACTAGTAATAAAAAGTACTACTAGTACAACTGGATGACTGTTAAATCGGCTTGTCACCACAGGCTGTCTGTCATTTGACCATTCCAACGGAAAGCGACGCCACAAACTAGATCCCTCCCATTATAATCAATGAAGATGACTGTTGCATGCGAGCAAAGTGCTTATGTCTAATGCAATAGATTTGAACACTGTGAATATTTATATTTTAGAGACACAGAACCTGACCTGAAACTGGTCGATGGCTTTCAGGGGTTCTGTACAGTTAGTGAGAGTTTCTTTCAGATCTTCTCCATTGGATATTCCCAGCTCAGGTAACCCTGCGAACATTTTGAGACGCTCTCTCTATTTTAACTCTCCACTATGAAAAAAAATTAATTGACAACTGAAATACGATTAATTTTGGCTAGATTTGCATTGTGCGGTGTTTTCTGGATTTGCACACTTCCTAACTGTGCAACGTCATCAGTTGCAACGTCAACAAACTCATTCCTGATACATCGTAAAAGGTTCCGCCTCAGAAAGGTTCCTAGCTGGGCTTTAGGTGCCGTTTAGGTGTCGCATTTCTCAAATATTGCCCTTATTAAACGTTAAAACGTTATCATTGAAACCCCGTGAAAGCCTCTGTGATTTCAAAATTTTCTTCGTGGAAAAAGGTCAACATATAACCTTTGCAATGATAGAATTTTAATGAACAAATGAAAAGTGCAATGTGATGATTAAGCCTGACACTTTAAAAATTTGTATAAAATAAAATAATAAATAAAAATTCATACAACTTTTCATAATCTTTGGACGCTCCTCTGTTCAGCTAATTGAAGATCAGAAACTAAGATGTTTATAGGCTACAACAGTGCATGGTTATAAAACATTTTTTTTAAAAAATCACATTTCCACACTCCCAAAAGTCATTAATAAGTTCAGCAAAGCAGTTTAAAGACCATCGGCCAGTTGCATAAACTAATCTAATCTAATTATTTTCTTCAAGACTGGTCATAACTTTTCTTATGTCAGGTACATAGGTTTTTATGTCAGGTACATGGATTTCTTTATGCAACTGCCCCCAGATTTCTGGAATTAGTGTGTTGTTTTCTTTTCTTTCTTTTTTTTTTTAACAGTCTTTACAAATATCACATATTAGGTAGGACTAAATGTGTTAAATTCACCTTGAAATCAAAATTGAGAATTCTTGGTGTTACCTAAATTATTTCTTAGATTTTATTATTTTATTTTAAAAAGATAAGCTTTTGGTAAGTCACTTGAATTTGTTACGTGTCCTATAATGCTATTAGCATGTATGCTATAGCCATGCCATGTTTTTGATAACTTTTTGCTTAGAAACTCAATCCTTATACTTTCAGTCCTGTTACTTGTATGAAAAATAACAGGAGTGAGTTAAAGTAACAGGAGGGAGTAGAGTCCTCTATTTTGTTGATTTAATACTGTAATTATTAGTTGGTTTAAGGTTGCATTAACTTAAATTGTAGACATTAGCATTAGTTTTACAATGTGAACGCCATACTTCCAGGAAGCCAGTCCATCACAAAGTGACTTAAACGTGTTGTCTTTGTCTTTCTTATATTTTGTAGAAGTTGGATAAACCCGATACTATGTTGGTGCCAGAAACACCCATGGCATGCTGCACTGGGAAGAAGCAAGACACACCCACAACCCTCTCTTTTCTTCTTTTTTTTGTCTTAACTTCCCTCTTTCTCCCTCCCTCCCTCTCTTCTTCTCTCTCTCTCCTTTTTTCTTTCCACCTCCTTCGCTGTGAAGTACTATAGCACATAGTAAATCCCTTCGACACAGAAATCTTATGCATGCATAGTCATATGTACACTCTCTCTTACACACACAGTCATGTACTGTCTCTCTCTCATACACACTCATTTAGACACTCATTCCTGTTACCCAATGTTCATTCCTGTTACCAAGTGTTCATTCCTGTTACTATTTTTTTCCTTTTTCTAAAAAATAATGTTAAACCACTGTTTTTATCAGTTTTGTTTGTTCCATCTTTTATTCATTTGTTTGATAAATTAAATTATTAAAAAAAAATATAAACTTGAGGCTTCAGTTTTCAAAGTGAAAAAAATAGCTTTGTGTTTTTTATTAAAACACACCTTGGCTTAAATAGTGATTTTTTTTTTGTCACAAATATCAATTATTTGAACATATATATCACAAAATAAACACTTTCTAGTGGGGAAAACAAATGAATTAATAGACATCCTTTTTTTAAATGGCTCATGAGTTTCGGCAACAGGACTGAGAAAACATGCATCCATCTTCTGCTTAGAAACCTCGTAAATATTGATAAAGATTAATAAAGTTGCCTGAGATTGACCACATGAATAGTTAAATATGTGTAGCAATAGACTCAATGTTGAAAAAATAAATAAAATCAAAGTCTAATTTTGAAGAGTAATAACAAGCAGTTGTCACCCATTCAGTGGAATGGCTCAGTTATTGTTTTTGTTATTGACTTTCTAATCAGGCTACTTGTCCGGTTGACGGTTGGGCAAGTAAAATTCTCTTTTACTTGTCCCTTCACAAAATCCACTTGTCCCGGACAACCGCTGTCGAGCCCTGAATTATCCTCTTTTTTTTGTATTAATGTGCCCTCATAGATCTTCCTTCTCTCCTGCAAGGACATCTCATCTCTGATGACGTGTTTACTGGCACGAGGGCGGGACAACTCACTGACATATTTTCATGTTTCTTAATTAAAAAAAAAACTCACATGATATCACAGCGATAGCAAACCATAACCATCCACTCAATTCCAGATGAACAAAAAATAAGTCCTGCACTAAAAAAAAATTATTGTTCAAGAAGCCGTTTCAATCAGATATCACAACTATCACATTTTTAATTAATCTCATAATTCAGAACGTCACAATCTTCATGAATTTTACAGAAAATCACATTACAAAACACTCTGACTTATTAAAAGGTCAATAGCTCTAAACGGTTACACTATATTGTGTGCATCCTTACGCCTATTTCTTAAGGACAGAAAAACTCTTTAGAGCATAATGATTAAGGGTAACAACATAATTTGGTAGCATTCTTTTGGTAGGATCGAATCAGAAAAAATATAGTAGCTATAAGAAGGGCTGAAAAGAGGAAAATAGCAGCACGCCAGGCATCTGGGCGCAGTGCTTTTCTCAGTAACACATTTTCAGCAGGCAGCAAATTGCTTAAACTTAGCATGTAGCCAAGGAACCAGCCAACAGAGTTGTCTTCAGCCTGAAAAACCAAAGTTACATGTTGACATTGGCTTCACAGCATATGATACGCCTAAAACTGCATATAGAGCTGTCTTCATGAGGGCTTACTTTCCCCTGAAAGGAGATGTGTGGGAAGGAGAGATCACTGAAGCCATATCCATTGATCAGTAGAACCCGCAGAAGAATGGAATCTGCACAGTAATCCCTCAAATGCTTTGCCTCATCGGGAAACATATTCTGCATCTGACAGAAAGGAAGTTAGAAATAGATATTGCCTGCGGGAACACTTAAAATGTGATCACATTTAAATTTAATTAAAAATTAGGCTTAGGAATTATTAGCTCTGACCAGTCTGGTAAAATACTTGACAGTGTTGGATTGAATTCCATGAACACCTAAAACAGCTTATATTGCATCATTTTATTAATGATTCAAACAATGTAACAAGCATAGACTACTAAATGTTTTATAGAGGAAAAATGCAAGTTCTCTTAAAATGTAACATTATTTGAACTCAAAGGGGTGGTACCTCCTGAAAGCTCATGTTGCAGACGACACGGGTAGCATCCTCTAAATCTGCTATAGATGTGATGGTGATGCCTGCAGCTCTTTGGAGGAACAAATGAGTGTAGAAAAATGCAGAAAATGCCTGTGCCAAATAAGGAGAGATGGGAATCGTAAAGCATTTAACAATTTTACAGTGTTTGATTCACGAGGAAAAAAAAAACAGCTCATAAGAGACATTCATTCGGTAGTTGGACCACATTGGTTGTTTTTGATTCAATAAAAAATGTATTATTACTTAGAGTAGTTTGTTAAGGAATTAAACTACACTGGTTGCGCGATATGTTTTTGATTCACTAAAAAAAACTGACTCATTTGCATGAGAATCAGTTTACAGTGGTTGTATGTTTTTGATGCACTAAAAAGAACCAATTCATTAGATTGATTCGTTAATGAATCAGACTACATTGATTGCACTCTGTTTTTTCTGAATGACACCTGAATGATTGATTCATATGAGCCAGGTTCTTTTTTCAGCAAAAATAGACTGCAATCAAATCAATGCAGTCTGATTCACAAATGAATCAATCTAATGAATCAAATATTTTTAGTGAATCAAAAACATACAGCACAATCAGTGTCATCTGACACCTGAATGATTGATCCGTATGAGTCAGGTTCTGACGACACTGATTGCGCTGTATGTTTTAGATTCACTAAAAATATTTGATTCATTAGATTGATTCATTTGTGAATCAGACTACATTGATTTGATTGCACTCTGTTTTTGCTGAAAAAAGAACCTGGCTCATATGAATCAATCATTCGGGTGTCAGACCACATTGATTGCACTGTATGTTTTTGATTCACTAAAAAACTTTGTTACTAACGTAAACCCGGTTTTCTGATAACATGAGTGAGGTATCTCACTATGGGAAACACCTTCAAGTGTGACCGATCCTGGAAGCACCAATAACAACACACCTGTCAGTTGACAGAACAATCACGACAGTGATGTAGGAATACCACCTCCACAATTTATATCGCTGCTTGCCTTCATTCTCAGCATATCTCTTCTCCGTGCAACTGCGAGGAGGGAAGTGTGGTTAGACACCTCACGTAAGTAACCTAAAGATCTCTTTCAAACATTGACTTTGTATCTCACTATGGGATATAAAGAACTCCCGTATTGCTGATATGCTGTCCGAAGAAGGCATGTCAGTTGGCTTTATGTACAGCTACACTACTTCCTGAACTTCAGCCAGCTCCTTTGTTTCCTGTCAGCCATTATTGGACAAACTGATTAATCCAGGTGTGCTTGACCTCAGTAGTCACAACAACAATAATCAGACACACCTGGATTGATCAGTTAGTCTAATAATGGCAGACAGGAAACAAAGGAGCTGGCTGAAGTTCAGGAAGTAGTGCAGCTGTGCATAAAGCCAATTAACGCAGTGTAAGACGATCGCAGCATCGCTCAAACACATTCCATTTCCGATCATATGCAGAGCGCACTGAAGCCCTTTTCACATTCTGAATATCTCAATCACCCTCACAGGCAAATCCATTACACTCAAATTAAACCTCTTATGGGACAGTTTTTCGAGCATCTGTCTCTACCTCCTGCCGTGATAGAGCGTAGAGGAGCAGATCGTCCAAATAAGCTGACACTCTGAGACCCGCTATTCTCAGGGAAGTCAGGGCTGTTTCGACACATTTGCTGAACACTCAAGGCTAATGAGAGCCAGAAGAGAACTGTCAAAAATGTATAGGCCCCGATAGGCAAACCTAAAGAATTTTCTGTGCGCCTACTGCCTGGATTCACATAGGAAAGATTTATTTGTTTCACACACTGTTAACTTTGCCATCCCTCCTCTTTCTTGCATAGCCCCGTGGGTTGAGGGAAGAAACAACATGGGGGGCACTGGGTGAACTAGTGCAAACTCTCCAGCCTGAGAACTGTTTTCATTTGAACACTGAACTTGAATCAATAGCCGCGTTTCCACTGCCGGGCTAGGGCTGGGCCAGAGCTAACAGCGAGCCGGGCCGAGCTAGTGGCCTCGGGCCTCAAGCACCGGGCTTGCGTTTCCACTGCCGGGCCAGTAGCCCCACAGCGCTGCCCCAGACCCCACCCCTAACACGCCTTTCAGGATCAAACGTCATAAAACCCAACCCATTTCAGCGGGTATTATGAATTAATTTATTTTTTAAATTAGGAAGATAGCATGTATATTAACTCAACTGCCGTAGTGGCTGCAATAGTGTCCCGAGACCAGTACAGGCGATTCTCCATTTCAAGCAGCGATTTTTTGCGCGATATAACAAGTAGGGCTGCGGGCACGTTTTCAAGTTATTCATTAATCGTTAACCGAGGCCCATCGGTTAATACTCGGTGCATAGTGTGCGCGCCGCAACCTCGAGATACAGACTTTTTAACACCTTTAATAACTGATTGGACCCCATTTGAAACGAAATTAATTTATAGAAATAAAACGCAGCAAGTACGGAGCAGTTAAAGCCGCATTTCCATCACCCTTCAAACTGAAATTGCCAATTGAAAATAAGCAAAACGTCCATTTCACAAAAACTCCGTGTCTGCAAATAATAATAATAATAATAATAATAACCATCATCATCATTATTGTAACATTTTATTAGGCTGCATATGTAGAAGACGCCTTTATCCAAAAAAGGAACAGAGCACAAATAAACACAATATTTTTGACAAATATCAGCGCATATCCAGTGTGTGTGGAGCACGCACTGATGGCTGCGAGACGCCCATGTGAACAGTTTCATTGCATTTCTTTCAGTGGAAACAACTTAAAATACTCTTTAATTTCTGGTCATACAGAAAATAATAATACATTATTCGCAAATAAATTTATTTATAACAAGAAAACGTTGTGCTTTAACAATTAATCAAGGCGCGCTTCATGATCTCCGTGAACTGAAGCGCGAGACCTGAAACAGCCACCGCATTCGAATTTGTTCGTTTTAAATTGGACATTTAAAGCTTTAGTCTACAGGGGTTATATCCTTTGTAGATTAAAGCTTTAAATGTCCAATTTAAAACGAACAAATTCGAATCGAAAGCCAATATCTTCTATGTTTATGTAGCTTAATTTCTCTCTAAATGTGCATCCGGAGATGGAGATATGTTTTTAGCCGAAAATCATTTAGAAAACAATAGTTTATTAATAAACAATTAATGCCTCGTTATTTTATATTATTTTATTATCAGACACATTTATTATAGCCTATAAATCACCCATAAATCCCCTTTCTGTAGGCTGTGGTTACGGCTCTTCTCATTCAGCACTGCGGGGAAAATATCATTTCCAGGTTCTAATTTGGCCTCAGAAAACCAGTAAAATATATATATTTTTCATATTAATTTGTCAAATATTTTAAATGTTTAAGGGGCAAAAAAAATCAAACAAATATCTGAAAATTCGTCGATATGTAGCTATATAGCCTATATATTGTTGCGCAGCATTTGGCATAGGCCTACAGTTCAAATTAAAATGTTATGCAATTTTAAACGGTTAATCGGTTAAACATGGACACCCCTATGTGCATCTTGCTTCAGATCATAACGTTCCATAACACCGATAAACTCCGCCTTTTACCTTGAGCACGCCTCTAGCCCGAGCTGGCCCCCTCTGGCCCAAGGTATTCGACGGGCCAGAAATCCTGGCCGTTGGCCCTGAGGAAGCCCCGATCAAGCCCCGGAAGTGACAGTGGAAACGCGACTGGCCCTGGCACGCACTAGCACGGCCCGGCCCTGGCCCGGCAGTGGAAACGCGGCTAATCTCTGATGCTTCTTTGCTGGAGGTGGAAAACAAGACTTTTGTGGTATGGAGAGGGGTGCTACAGAGAGTGCTGTTGCCCCTCTTTTGACTCAGAAACAGACCACTGCTTTAAGGTCGCTTGCCTGCAGCCACAAGCGAAGCCTTACCTCATTGCTGTGGCTGTCTTGTTCACCTCTGCCTGTATTGGGATTTTTAAGTTCTGGACATATATCGTCCATGTGAGACTTGCCCAATCGTTCCAATTACAGTTTCCGATAAGGGGTGAAGGTTTCTGTGCTTTACGGTCTTTATTTAGTTCCAATTAAATTTTATCTGACTCCATTTTATTATGACCAAGAATTTAGGTTGGAATGCCAATGTTGTTGCTTGAAATGTATTTTTTTATAATAGTTTAGCTACACATTATTCTATTCAACAACTCTTTACTTTATATTTTAACTGTTCATTAGGAATCTATGTCACTTCGAGGTCCTCGTGAGACAGAGGTAAATTGCTAATATCTTAGATGGTCGCATTCACGCTTACTCAGTACAAGATATTTTGTAAAGCCCCCATGGATCTGCATGCACTTTAATTAAAATAATATTCTCTCTTAGTCAGAGGTCATGGCCAGAACTACAGATATAAGCCGACCAATATGCAGTAGCTTTGGTGTGGTCATACCATTGGTCATGGTTTCCCACGTACACTTAGAGTAACATTACATTAAAACAGAGAAGGCTTAACCTATTTAGGTTGGTCGAGCCACATTTTTAGTTAACTTTTAATTTGTATAGTCCAAGTAGGCTACACTTGAATTAGTGCCAAATATTTGTCGAAATTCTAAAATCCCAGTTGGTGTGCCCTATGCTCCGCTCAAAACTGGACATTAGTTTGTTATTAATCTGATGCAGATTTGCAATAATTTACGCATTCGCTTAATCTACTTGGGAAAATAATTTTAGGGTGAGTCAGAATAAAATCTAATGTAATATCCCACCTATTACATAATCAATTCAAAGATAATCAATACAAAACATGAAATCTACAGAGATAAAGAGTAAAAGATGTATACCTAACTCATGAAAATATTATACATAATGCTGAGTGTCACTGATCCCATTACAGAGACACTGATCCCATTACAAATTGGGCCAAGTCTCTTGAGACATTTCTTTATATTCTTTATATGTTATTTTCCAGAAACGTCCTTTGTCTTCTCGGGGAGTGCTCGTTCCTCAACCAGTCGGCCCGACATTATTTAATTTCTCAAGTCTAATCCATTAACTCTCCCTATATATTGACCGTTCTTTCTCCGCGGATGGTAGCCTACAGAAAAACTTGGATCCTCCTTATTTGCGGCCACGATTCGCATTCTGCACTCGAATACCCTTAACGGGAAAAGTTAGAAGAACATATTTTAAAACAATATAATGCAAGTGAAAACGATATACTTACCATAAAGTTTCCAGTTATGTTTGGCTGGAAGACTCCATCAAAGGAGCATTTGGAATAAGAACAGTGGTTAAAAGAGAAGAGATGAGAAACGTTTCCCATGCATTGATTGTAGTTTCCAGTGCCCTTTATTTGCAGGTTGTCATCAGATTTACAGGGAGTTTGTCTTTTATTGCATGGAGTGTCAAAGACACTGCACAGCTTAATGGACTGCTCGTAATCTGCAGGATAGCAAGGATGCACTATGGAGCTGTTTGAACCCTGAGTCTATAAGACACATAAAGAAAGAGTAAACATCAGATATTATACTCTAAATGCGATCAAATCACATTGTCTAATGGTAATTTAAACAACCAGTCAAAAGGGTTACACTTTGGATCACACACCGTGATCAGATGTGCCAGCAGTTTGAGTAAGAACTGGTCTCGGCCATAACACAGAAAACTCTGAGTGTAAATCTTATAGTCTCGTCCGTACAGCCTCAGTTTCATCAGATTGTCTTTGTTCTCCACTGTTTGTTCTGTCACAAATGTGATCTGAGTAGAAGCTCCACCTAAGTCCAGCGCACCAACAGTGTCTCTGCCCGGAGACAGCCACTGACCCACAAAACCATACTAGAGAAATGAAAGATAATGTGCATAAAACACAATTATACAGTGGAATTATCAATAAATTAGTCTCTGAAATATGTCTACAAAACTTCAGTCTATACCTTGATAAATTTTTCAAGTAGGTAGTTGACTGTGACCCATCCATAAGCTCCCTCCTCTTGTCCACTTAAAATAGTGGCACCTTTGAAGCTGAATGGGTAGGTCTTCAGTTTGTCTCCCACTTCCTTCAAAACCTCATCTGACTCTTTGGGTTTAGAAACGCTGTGTGATACGACAATCAAGTATATTAGGTATGTGTGATCCATTAAGGAGCATTTCACTCTATTTAGATTTTTTTTTCTAGTACATATGATGTGAAACAGCCTTGCTTTGTTGTTATATAATAATTAATTTGTAAGAGTATCATTTGAAAAGACTCTATACCCTTAAAGGGCTGGCAAAATCACTATGGATGGACCTCACCCCTCACATCCAGGCCATTTCCTCTTTGAACTGTTACTGTCTGGTCAGTGCTACAGAGAACTGAGCACCAGAACATTTTCTTTCCCTATGCCTCATATTTTCCTCATCTTCCTCATTAACAGTTGAGGCAATAAACTGTCAATTGGCCAATAAATGCGTGTAATACAGAACACTATTTTACTTATTAGTTTAGCACACCATACCTCTTATTTACATTCCCTTACATTTAATTACATACCTGTACACATTTTGTATATTGTGTATTATAATATTTTTTGTCGCTGTCATTCTGTTTGTGCACTGGAAGCTTCTGTCAAGTAAAATTCCTTGTATGTGAGAAAACTTGATTCTGACTCACTTCAGTAGCCTCATGCCTGCTGTGGCCCCGAGATACACAGGAGTGAGTTCGTGTCTCGACTTTGGGATCTCTTGCATAGCCTTTTCCATGCATTCCGCAAGGCTACGGGCTGCCCCTCCTCTGACACCTGCATAACTGGAGATCCCACCTCCTGAGTAGGAGAAATCAAAAGCAAACTAATGAAAGTGAACCAAATCATTTTATTCTGGAAGGGTTTTCCTTCTTTTTTAGATGGGGCAGAGGAAATGGGACAAGTTTTGGGTAGTTCACCCCAAAAATGCAAATAATCCCATAATTGACTCTTCTTTCAGCCAAACTCAATAACAGTAAATGGTTTGGTAAATGGTAACAGTCTTTTCACTGTTAAGACAAAGAAAATTATCAGTCATCAATATTGATGATTTTATTCAATACTCAATTAATAGCTAATTTATTTATTGTATACTTCCTGTTTTGTTGTTTTGTTTCTTTTTGGTTTTTTTTTGTCTGGTCTCACCTTTGGGAAGACTGTTTCCCATGAACTATTCAACTTCTTACTATATATCTCTTGACAACAATACTCTTTCCTTCTTTTTCCTCTATAATTTTTATTGTCTACTCACCCTTTACATGACACTCGCTGTGTTGACTGACTATGCCGGTACCGTTCTGCTTGTCTGCTGGCCATTTGTAGATGAACATGGAAGTATGAGTAGATCCAGCATCCAGGACTATTCCATACTGGGGGCAAAAACCGAACAGAAGCCATACAGTATAATAAATGCATACAACAAGTAGCCTAAAATACGAGTGCCATCATTCATTTGTGAAGTTGTAAATAGTTTTGAGCCTTAGTGTTCTAAAGTGTTACCCAAAAATAAAACAGTTGTCTTTAGGTCAACTGTTCTTTCAAACAAATTAATCTATTTTTATTTAAGAGCATTCACAAGCATCTATTTAATGTTTCTGCTCTGTTTGTGGCTGGAGCAACAGCAATCATGATTCAAAAGCAGTAATTCAGACTGTCAAAAGCAGTAATTCAGACTGTCAAAAGCAGTAATTCAGACTGTCATAAAAGCTGCCGGCTGCGATTCAGTGGCTGTCTACCACGTGCTAGAAGATTCATCTTCCTCTTGGCAGTCAGAGAAGAACTTCTTTTCTAAAATCAAATCAGATAGCTCAAACATTCTTTGCCTGGACTGCCTTGTGTCGGTATTTGTCAAATTTGTAGCCTATTTCACTAATGAATAGCAAAAAATACAATTACCATGAGCTGAGCTGGTTCTTTGATGTCTTCAAGGTTGATGACGAGCAGAAGGATGCCTATAAATGAAATAAATAGAGTTGCAATAGTGGTACATATTTGCAACTGCATTGTAACCTATTGTAAACAAGAATACAGCGACTTTGCTGACTGACTGTAGTCAGACTGTAGCCAGGACGTTTTAAATACGTGTAACTTTTGAGACGTTAACACTAAACCAACCTGTCAGACCTGTAGGCACGTGAATCATATCATCTGTCTTAAGAACAAATGTTCATTTATGTGAAAAGTCTGACTGGTGGAGTGTGCACTTTTGTGGCAATGACTTTATACTGAATGTTTTTTTGTTTGTTTTTTTTTTGTTTTTTTTTTGTTTTTATACAGTAGATTAATCTGCAGTCTGTGTGCTGGAAAACGATTCTTGATTCTCTCCTCAAAAACACCCCATAGTGATTTAAATATATTAAGATCTGGTGACTTTGCAGGCCAGGGAGATTTTCAACTTCACTTTTATGTTCATCAAACCACTCTCTTTGACCAGTTTTGCTGTGTGTATTGGAGCATTGTTATCCTGATACACAGCACCACCTTCAGGGTAAAAAACATTCACATGGTCACATGGTCCTCCAGAGTGATACGGTAGTCCTTAGCTGTGTGAGACCCATCCAGCACATGTAGTGGGCCTAGAGACGCATCCATCCAGCACAATTAGTGGGCCTAGGGATTGCCATGATATTGCAGCCCTAACCATTATTCATCCATTACAGTGCAACAGTCCGGAGGTTCTTTGGGACTTCTCCACATAACTCTTCCAGATGTCGGAATAAAGGGTTTGAATTTGGACTCTCTTTAGAGAACAACTCACGTTTCTCATTGTCCACAGCCCAAGAGTTTCTACTGCTGGTACCTTTGAAATGGTTTGTCACAGTGTCTGGTTGTGTTTCCCTTGTTTATCACTAGAGGTCCTCGTTCTCACGGTGTCCTTTACATTTAACTGCATTTCCCAGCATTCTATCGGTCACTTCACTCATCAGTTCATTGCACTCAGCTGTTCCCCGTTATCATTGTTCCCAGCTGTTCTGTGTTAACCCTGTTTTTGCAAGATTTAAACAACACTGGTTTTAGTAGCCTATGTGTACGGAGTCGTTGTATGTCACTTTCTTTGAGGTCTGTATTGAAGTTTGTTTGCGGTTTGTTTTTCTTGTTTTGGACTGCTTTATTGGATTTTTGACCTTTGCCTGGTTTACTATGAAATTTGGATTACCCTACCACTAAACTGCTGCAATTGGATATCAGTTCCCTGTGTGTGTTCGTGACATGGTTTGGCAATAGCACTCCAGCCATGAATTTTAATATATATATATATATTTTTTTTTTATATATATATTTTTTATCCCTTAAAGGGTTGGTTCACCCAAAAATTAAAATTATGTCATTAATGACTCACCCTAATGTCGTTCCAAGCCGTTGCCTCCGTTCACACACACACACACACAAGATATAGATTTAGTCCGAGAGCTTTCTGTCCCTCCATTGAAAATGTATGTGGTATACTGTCCTTATCAAGACATCATCAAAGTAGTCCATGTGACATCAGTGGGTTAGTTAGAATGTTTTTTAGCATCGAAAATACATTTTGGTCCAAAAATAACAAAAAACACGACTTTATTCAGCATTGTATTCTCTTCCGGTTCTGTTGTCAATCCGCGTTCACAAGTCCGCAGTGATGCTGATTAGAGATGCGCGGATGGGCTGCAACCGCATCACAAAACTCATCATCCGTCCGCCATCCATCCACACCAATGTTTTTGACCAATTTTCAAAACTGATACAATGCGCTGCTGATGACAGCCGCAAGACTAGAAAGCTCTAAGAAAATCAGCAGTGAACTCCGTCTCTTTTCACAATGTAGCATACATTGTGAAAATAAATTAAATTTAGCATCCTCAGTGATTTTTCACAAACAAGACAATCTATAAGATTCCATCATTGGGCCAATGAGCTTGAACAAAGAAATGTCTTGGCTTTTGAGATATATTTATTGTGTTTTATCGCCATTTCCTTGAGGATGTCTGTCTACTGTGTGGGATTCTTCCATAGTTCCATTTGAGTTGTCTTAGTGCATACGAGGAGTGAAATGATTTAAAAGTAGAGGAGAACAGTAAATAATTTAATTATAATCCAAAAAGTGTGTGGATAAACAACAAATTTTAACAATTTTATTTTATTTTTGGCCTTTTATTCCTTATTTAGATTGCACAGATGATAAAGGAAACAGTGGGGAGGACAGGGGAAGAGGAGGACAGGCAAGCCGGGAGCTGTGCTACTGTATATGTCAGAGAACTGCACATGTGGCAAATTGCTCCGACAAGGAAATAGGCTATATAAAAGAACAAATCTTTGAAATTGGAAATTTAGGCAGGATTTATCAAAGGATTCAAGGATCTTTTTTAATAGCTAGTAGTCTTTAGTTTTGTCAGTCTCACATGCATGAAAAAAATGTATTAATATTTAGGACAAACAGTACACTAGCACATGCTTTGAGGCTTACAGATTTCATGCTTTGAGGCTTACAGGTTTTTTTCATTCTGTTTTCGTTACCTGTATGTTACTGTTATCTACAAAATCTCTCACAGAACAATTAGTAAACAAACTTTTTTAATATTAAAAGCATTGATTCTGAAGGAATAGAACCAGACTACAGTACAGTTTTCTAATTCATTATTGTATCTGCAAAGCTAGATTTTCAAGATTTTCCATTTTGAATGTTTTCAGTGAATTTGACTTTGCAATACACAAACATAGCACAAAAGCATAGCTCACAGATAAATCTACAAGGTTTTATAAACTAACATACTCACTGTGCTGTTAAGGCACAGCACACAATCATACCTAAAAAAACATACATTCAACATTATGAAAAGACAATGATAAAGTTCAGTGACAAAATTAGTAAGCCGTGCAAAATGTCTTATGCACAGTCTCTTCTAAAATATATGTAATTTATATAAAATAAGCTTGATAACAAATAGGTTATTGAAATGTAATACTTGAATGTAATGTGTACCCTTATTGTTTTCAGTGTACTGTAAAAAGAAGTATCTTTGCTGGGCACTGCATAATGATGTACTGTACACAGGGAGCAATGTAACTGATACATTATTAAATGACAGCATCATTTCCTTTCTTACGGATGGCTCGCAACAGAAAAAATAGCGCCATAATAAGAAGGACTGAAAAGAGGAGGATCAGAACACTCCAGTTGGCTGAGCTCAGTGCTTTTCTCAGTAACACATTTTCAGCAGGCAGCAGGTTGCTCAAGCTTAGCATGTAACCAAGGGACCAGCCGACAGATGTGTCTCCCGCCTGCAAACCAAAGAAACATTTTTGACATTTTCTTGACCTGGAGGGGGCCATTTATTCATGAAACTTGAATGAAATGAAACAGCTTTTGCATTTTACTTCTGTAATGTGATAAATATAATTTTAAAATAAAAAATACAATGAAATGTAGTACTTGATTTTGACTGGACAGTCAAAAGTGCTCTCTATATGACATGTTTGAAGGGAAGGAGTTTAAAAAGTATGGCTTGGTAGTGTCAAAAAAAAAAAAATGTTGTGTACCTAAAATGGGGAACGTGCATTAAGTAAGTAAATAGAGGACATTATTTGCAAATATGTCTTGTTACCGTCATCTGGAAGGAGATATGTGGGAAGGTGAGATCATCAAAACCATATCTATTGACCAGGAGCACCTGTACAAAGACAGAGACTGCGCAATAGTCTTTCAGACGGTTTTCCTCATCCAAATTTGACATCTACGACACAGAGAGTGAGAGAGAAAGTTAAGTGAAAGAAGTCAAATAATTTAAAGAGGACCTATTATGCCCTCTTACAAAGAATACTCTACTAGAATAGGTTTTCATGCTTGAAAGAAAAAAAAAAAAAAAAAAAAACGTCACAACGGATATGTCACGATCCCTTCCCATAACCCTGTTTCTTCAACAGACTACTAACGCAACTCAACCAGGCCTCTTCTTTTTCTTTTCTTTTCTTTTTTTTTGCACATGCCTTGGGCAGGAATTATTTAAATGAGGAATACTGTGAGTGTACGTTCCAAGATGAAAACTCAAGACTGCAATCGAGGCGTTTCAAGCACTTTGGAGTTGATTTTATTGCAGACCTTTTTCATGCTCAAACGCAACATCGCACACTAAAGAAATTTGAAAATGTAAAAAAGTATAATAGGTCTTCTTTAAACACATTTTTTGAAATGGGAAATATCTTAAAGTTATTTACTAAACTAGGCTAAATAGATCAACACATCAGTAAGTTCAATATTGCTTCATTTACTACTAATTATTTAACTGAACAAAACACAGTGGACATATCATCATGGATAAAGCAACTTCTCTTAAAGGGATACTCCACTTTTTTTGGAAATAGGCTCATTTTACCACTCCCCCATAGTTTTTACCGTTTTTGAACGTATTCAGCTGATTTTCTGATATTTAGAAGAATATAAGTAACCAGAGAGTTTCTGGTCTCATTGACTTCCATAATATATTTTTTTCCTACTATGGAAGTCAATGAGACCAGAAACTGTCTGGTTACTGATATTCTTCTAAATATCAGAAAATCGGCTGAATGGATTCAAAAACGGTAAAACTCAACTGTTTAACTCTGAGGGAGTTGCAAAATGAGCCTATTTCCAAAAAAAAGTGGAGTATCCCTTTAATCTGAGAACTTGAGACTCAAATCATTGGTCGATTGCTGAGATAAGGGGAAAGTCATCTCAGAATAGCAGGGCTCAAAATGAACTCAACAGGGTGGTACCTCCTGAATGCTCATGTTGCAGACGACACGGGTAGCCTTCTCTAAATCTGCTCTAGATGTGATGGTGATGCCTGCAGCTTTCTCAAGAAAGGAATGGGTGTAAAAAAATGCAGAAAATGCCTGTGCAAGAAAAAGAAAGAATTGTGATGGAGAGAGAGAGATTGCATAATCATAATAATGACACATGCAGTAATGACATACGAGTGCCCAGAAGATGAATTTATGATTTATTTTAATGCTTTGAGCTGTCCCACTTAATAGCTGCTTACATGTCACCACAACCATCCCCCACCAGTAAAAACATTAATGTTGCCTAAAGCAAAATGAATTTCATATTATGCCGGTTGAGAAAATATATTTAAAAAGAACATTCAGATAATTTAAGTTTAAATTATCCACTCTAGAAACTCTTACCATGAAGTTTCCAGTTATGTTTGGCTGGAAGACTCCATCAAAGGAGCATTTGGAATAAGAACAGTGGTTTAAAGAGAAGAGATGAGAAACGTTTCCCATGCATTGATTGTAGTTTCCAGTGCCCTTTATTTGCAGGTTGTCATCAGATTTACAGGGAGTTTGTCTTTTATTGCATGGAGTGTCAAAGACACTGCACAGCTTAATGGACTGCTCGTAATCTGCAGGATAGCAAGGATGCACTATGGAGCTGTTTGAACCCTGAGTCTATAAGACACATAAAGAAAGAGTAAACATCAGATATTATACTCTAAATGCGATCAAATCACATTGTCTAATGGTAATTTAAACAACCAGTCAAAAGGGTTACACTTTGGATCACACACCGTGATCAGATGTGCCAGCAGTTTGAGTAAGAACTGGTCTCGGCCATAACACAGAAAACTCTGAGTGTAAATCTTATAGTCTCGTCCGTACAGCCTCAGTTTCATCAGATTGTCTTTGTTCTCCACTGTTTGTTCAGTCACAAATGTGATCTGAGTAGAAGCTCCACCTAAGTCCAGCGCACCAACAGTGTCTCTGCCCGGAGACAGCCACTGACCCACAAAACCATACTAGAGAAATGAAAGATAATGTGCATAAAACACAATTATACAGTGGAATTATCAATAAATTAGTCTCTGAAATATGTCTACAAAACTTCAGTCTATACCTTGATAAATTTTTCAAGTAGGTAGTTGACTGTGACCCATCCATAAGCTCCCTCCTGTTGTCCACTTAAAATAGTGGCACCTTTGAAGCTGAATGGGTAGGTCTTCAGTTTGTCTCCCACTTCCTTCAAAACCTCATCTGACTCTTTGGGTTTAGAAATGCTGTGTGATACGACAAAAACATATGAATTTTTTTATTTTCAATACAATTTATTCTATACCTCCATATCAAAATCAGAACTTACCCTGCAGTGTTTAATTGAACAATTACAAAAGTTAAACATACAAAAGTTTGTGTTTGAAAGAAGCGTCTTATGCTCACCAAGGCTTAATTTATTAATTAAAAAATAATTAAACCAATAATATTGTAAAAATATTATTAGAGTTTAAAATCAATGTTTTATTTCTATATATTTTAAAATGTTATTTATTCCTGGGATGGCAAAGCTGCCATTACTTCAGTCTTCAGATTCACATGATCCTTCAAAAATAATTATAAATTGCTGATTGGTGCTTAAGAAACACTTTTTCTTATTATTAATGTTGAAATCAGTTGTGTCCTTGCTGAAATTGTGATGCCTTGCTGTATTAATGTCTTTAAAAAAAAAACCTTTTTGGCCCTAAACCAAAGGTAGCATATATAAGGCAAGTTATACAAGGTAAAATATAGGATATAGATACTGTCCCTACTGATCATTTTGTCATCATTGATTAAAAAAAAAAGCCTTTGGCACAAAGCTGTGAGCTTTCTGACTCACTTCAGTAGCCTCATGCCTGCTGTGGCCCCGAGATACAAAGGAGTGAGTTTGTGTCTCGACTTTGGGATCTCCTTCAAGGCATTTTCCATGCATTCCTCAAGGCTACGGGCTGCTCCTCCTCTGACACCTGCATAACTGGATATCCCGTCTCCTGATTGGAGAAATTGATAAAGGAAGAGAGTGGAAATCTGAAATGAATCATGGATTTTCTAAAGAAGTATGACCACGCCGAGTTCATAATCTCATGTGCCGCTATCCTTGACAACCATGAATACAACCAGATATTTTTGGTGTGCCTATTCCAGATGTTTCCATTAAACTTTGCTAATCAGCAATATTTTTGGGGTACTATGAGTTTAACATCCTGATTCTGTGATTGACAGATCCTTAGAGTTGAGTTGGAGACTCAAAAGTGATGAAATTGTAAACGGGCAACTTTTACTTTTAAAAGGGCACAACTACAAAACAGGAAGCAACAATGTGTGCATATTCAGCACTTTTCTTCTTTCTCTCAAAAACAAAACCAAGAACTTTATTACAACATATTCATAAATGAAGTAAAACTTCTGACTTTGTCGTTTGGATTTTGTAATATCTGTCTGGTGAGTGAATTTTGAGAAGTGCGATATATATTTTGAAACCAATATGTGGGTAAATTGTTTCTAAAAATGAATAAAATGAAGCCGAAACCCTGTAGTACAAGGCATTATGCATGGTTTTGCTAGTCTCACATCCCTATTGTACTGTTATTTTCCTTATCTAATGTCCTCAACTTTATCTGCTGACATTGAGTCTCAAAGCAGATGTTTTTATATTGAAGGACATTCAAATGAGGAACATCACAAGCCATTTATCAGTGTCTACTCACCTTTTACACGACACTTGCTGTGTTCACTGACAATGCCGGTACCGTTCTGCTTGTCTGCTGGCCATTTGTAGATGAACATGGAAGTATGAGAGGATCCAGCATCCAGGACTATTCCATACTGAAAACAAACCCAACAGCAGAAAAATAAAGCTATGACTAAACACCGGTGACACCAGCGATAAGGGTTGGATATCCAGAGAAAACAAGCACACACAGACACAATGCCGAAATGCATACATAAAATTTCAATTTCAAAGAAGTCACTTGAAAAAAAAAAAAACCTGACAAATAAATGTATTGTAAAGATGACATGGGACAATTGCTCTTATATACACAGGGTTCATTTTCTTTCTACTGAAATATAGCACATAAATTATCATAACAAATCTATTATAGATGCACTACCATTCAGTAGTTTTTATTCTGCACATTCAATTGATTAACTGAGTAAAGACATTTATAATATTGAAAAAGGTATCTATTTAAAATAAATGTTGTTCTTTAACTTTCTATTCATCAAAGAATCCTGAAAAAAACCCCACAAAAATCCACAAAAAACTCTTATACAGCACAACTGTATTTAACGCTGACAATAATAAGAAATGTTCCTAGAAATGTGCACCAAATCAGCATATTAGAATTATTTCTGATGGATCATGTAAGACTAAAGACTGGAGTAATGATGCTGAAAATTCAGCATAGCCATCCCAGGAATAAATTACATTTTTATTTCAACATTATTTAAACAACATAGAAAACATTTATTTTTAATTGTAATAATAGTATTACTATTATTGTCTTTACTGTATATGTTATCAAATAAATGCATACTTGGTTGAGTGTAAGAGACTTTCAAAAACATTCAAAATAATTGTATAGACCCCAAACTTTTGAACAGTACATAAATTACATTAAAGTTTACATAGTATAATTCAATGTGTAAATAATACATATTCTGGAATGGTTTCTACAATTAATCAATAGTGTGCATGTGAGCATTAGCCATGTGGGAACTGCATAGTTATCACTGCTTCGCATATATAATTGTAAAATGATTATCCTACCCGGTTAGCTTATTATAACATCATAAGTTAAGTTAAATTAAAACATAATAAATGCAGTTTTCAGGTTTTCTGACAAATTAACTTGTCCCATCTATACTAGCAGCATCTAGTTGCTTTAAAAGCTCAGCTATTTTGGTCAGGCCTTTTCCTTCCTTATTCACAACGCTCATTATTATTCAAGCTAGCATGACTCACCTCTGTAGCTGCCTATCAAATACTGTATGAATATCATTTACTTAAAGCAAACACTTCTTTAAAGTAGTGTAAAGTGCTTGCTAAATTATCAATTATGTGTTTAACAACCGAAATCAAGAATCAAGTGTAATTTCCATATGCCTCGCTCTTTTCTCCCCACGCCTTCATCCCTTTCTTTTATCACACACCTGTGCAACAGGCTTCCCAATGGATTGTGTATTTAGGGCAAGACACTGACTTAACTCTATTCATTCATTCAAAACATGATAATCTATTCATTCATTCAAAACATGATAATCTCTTCCAAATTAAATATCTTTCTCTCCAGACTTTGCCTACAGTTTGCATACTGGCTTGCTTCCATGCTGGCTTAGTATAATAGCACTGTCTAGCAGCTTAGTCTGAAAGATTTGAGTTCATAGGCGACTCAAAACATGTTTAAGCTTGCATTTCTATGGCATTGTGACTTCATAACGTCGCTCTGTTTCTGCCATCGATCAAATGTACAGCATGCCGCTTTAACGACTTTAACGAGAAATTACATTACCCTGTTAAACGGAATTATCAAAATATGCTACAGGCCTATCAAGCAACTTAACAGTAGGTGTGTCTATGATGTTCCAGTACATGTAGTTCCAGATATTCAAAAATACATTGACTCACAGTCCTGTTCTGAAGAAAAAAGGGATTACAGCATTGAATCAAAACTGCTGGGAAACACAAACAATGGGATCAAGCCAATATTGAGTACTGGGGTTATAAATCAAATAAAGAACACAGCTGGAGAAATATTTATAGCTCACCCTCTACTATCAAATAGATAATAAAAATGTTGTTCTGCAAAGATGGGACACAAGGTAAAAATAAATTGATTGATCACTTTTTAGTATCAGGAGGCAGGCAACCGTCATTAATAATTTCCGTAAGAGTTCTTGTCATTCTGAAAATGTTATTATTTGTCAACATACTGTAGATAAACTAACTCAGAAAGAAAATCCATCAGCTAATTTGAATCCCCTTACAAAAAAAGAAGTACTTCAAGTTAATTTTATGAAGTATACTTAAGTAATGTTGAAGTATAAGTATAATTATGTAGTAAGTATACGAGTGTCAATATGTCTACTAGTAGTAAACGTGTAAGTGTACTATTTTAAGACCGTTTGGGATTGGCCCACTTTTAGTATATAAAAGTATGTTTAAGTGTACTATAAGTGTAACAGTAGTAAACTTTAATTGCACAACTAGTTCATAATTACATTTCTCAATTGTACAGCAAGAAAACTATAATAAGGGTATACTTGTAGTTTACTATTTTTAAAACTTGTAGCAAATGTTTAGTTTATGAAAGTACACTTTGAATAAACTACACCATACTTGTAGTTTACCAATTATATATTCTTTTTGCTCTTTTAGTGTAGCACTCAATAAACTACTAGTTTAGTAGTTTTATAATAATAAGTATACTTACAGCAGTAAACTGAGAGTACTGAAATTTTACATTTTAAGTGAGCAATGTCTTCTACCACTTATTTCAGCTTCTTCTCCTGTGTTTTTAACCTGTGTTTGAAGAAGATGTTTCATAGCGCCCCCTACCATATAACAGAGAAAACATGGATATTTATTAATCAGGATGCGTTTTTGGTTGGAATTCAATGAAACATCATGGTATTACCCGGTCTCCCCTGTTTATTGTTGCAGCTACAATACAACTAACACATATGATTATAAACTATGCTTTAACATTCTAGTAATTGCTGACTCTATTACTCCAACTCTGAGCAAACTCTCTGCTCCAAACCACGGTGCGTCTCAGTGCTGCGGTTATCACTCTGCCCAAGTAGCAGGGCTTCGCCTTCTGAGAATATAGTTCCCAGAGTATAAACGGTTAAAAGATGGCTGTGTCTCATATGACCTTGTTATTTGTACACTTTGTGACTATACAAACCACAACATGTAAATAGGAAAATGTTTGCATTATTTTGTCATTTACTTGGGATTAGTATGCTAGCTGCAACCATTTATATTCAGTCTTTGTGGTAAGCTAGGCTAGCGCTGGCGTCGACAGAGGGTGCTTCTCAATATCCCTCCTCGTCTCCTCGCTCCTCCGTCCTCCCTCCTATGACCCGGAAACCGATTGAGCTCAGCCATCTTGAAGGACATCTCAATTCTCTAATTGCACCGTGAGGAGTCGAGGATCGAGGAGTGAGGAGGCTTCCTGAGGAGTCATAAGCGAGGATACAAAGGTGCATCCTACACGGAACTGTTAAACTGACTAAACGTGACGCACGTGTCAATTCTCCTCCCCCTTCACATCGGTCACAATCATTTTAATTTATACTTTACCTTTGCAGTTTATATAAACCACACATCTCAGATATTTCAACAGTATAGTCTATCTTTATTATTATTTATTATGAATTTATTAAATAACCAAACTTCAACAACATAAGGGCAGATCCTTTTAGCGCTGCTGATGATGACACTGTGGACTGACGCTCGAGTGATCAAGTATTCCAATGGATATAAAAAAGCTTTTATTCGATTCCTCTGTCCTCCTTTCCTTTCCTCGCTTCCTTCCCTCACGTCCTACAGGGGGTGGAGCTGAGACGCAAGGAAAGAAAGCAAGGAAAGGAAACGAGGATGCACAAATAAGAAATGAGAAGCACCCAGAGTTACAGCACGCAAGGAGAAGAAAAAGGTATGGACTTATCTAACTCTGGGGCATATGCTGAATAAGCCAAAGTCCCAAAAAGTCGGAGTGTTCCTTTAAAACAACTACAAGCCAAGAATACTTTGAATACTTATTATACTTTCTTGATCAACAAGTATACTAATAGAAAATTTGAATATTCTTCTTTTTTCGTAAGGGTCACCTTTACTAAACATGTATTGTTGTTTTTAAATGATGGAGACTGGATGGTTACTAGCCTATAAAAAGGAAAATAATTTAAAGATGCATTTCATTATCTTAAATTGCTTAGACACCTGCAAAAACAAAGTAGAACACTTTTTAAACATTTTAAAAACCGTTAAACAAGTTATTAAGTTCCTCACAGCTCTGCACTTATATTTGACCCAAATTCACACTAATGTCTTTATTTTATATAATTAAAGCATATTTCTCTGTGAACAGCAGCATAACAAAAATACTCCACATACTAAGAGAGAAGGATTTTATTTGAGCTACATCGCGAATCTATCAAAAACGCGTGCAGTGTTCGACCTGCAAGAGAACAAACCTAGGTGAAACATAAAGAGGAGGCGCACTGCATAGTTTACAGTGCAACTTTGCACAACCGGAAAACGTTCGATAGGTAAGCAGATAAGCACCACATTCTTTTTCTTAATCATGCCGTGATCATCGAAACCTCGCTGGAATTTTAAGTGTTCCCTTTTCATCTTTTGGAGCCTGTGTGTGCGTGTCACGAATAAGAAAAATATAATTACCATAAACTCTGGCGGCTCTTTGATGTCATTGTTGGGTACGACGAGCAGAAGAATGCCGGTGACTGCCAGAAACAGAACAGCAGTAGCAGTAATGACCTGGCATTGCTGTTGGTTACCCGTGGATACCATCCTCGCGACGTGATCCACACAGGACAAATGACAGCAACGACGACATGCACGACACTATTGTGACGCCGTGTGTTAAATACAGGCGAGAGAACGGCACCTCACAAGTGGGCATGGCGCTACATTGTTCCTCGTAATTTGCCCGTGGTGCAACAGGTGTTCGCTGTGTGACTTTAAAGTACACGAATTCATTAAAACGTGAAATGAGAGACGAGTTTATTTTATCCCCGTTATGCTTCTTTTTTTATATCTGAATAAATGCTTCTTTTCTTCCCCATTATGCTTCTTTTTATCTGAAGTGCTTTTCCAAACTTCAAAGAAACTTTTCATGGATGGTTCTACAAAGATCCTAATAAAGTGACATGGATAACTGTTAGAGCCTCTTTTACGAACTTAGAAAAGAGTTCTGAAGGTTCTTTTTGGCACTTAGAAAAAAATATATGGGATAGCTGGTTTGTGTAGGCTATTTAGGGCAAGTCAATGACTTAACTCTTTTCAATCATTCAAAACGATAATCTCTTCCAATTAAATATCTTGCTCTCCAGACTTTGCCTACAGTTTGCATACAGCCATGCTGGCTTAGTAGCACTGTCTGGGGAAAAAAAATTATTTTAATAGTAAAAGATAGTAAAAATGCTATACATTGAAAAAGCTGTTAATTGGTTAACAGAAAGTTTCCTTACTATATATACCGTAAATAACTGTGATGGTACATTTAATGTAATTTTACTGTAAAATACTGTTAAATTTACAGTTTTTGGAAGTGAAAAAGAACAAGTCATTGTATAATTTACATTGAAAAAATGTAAATTGACATTCCCACAATTCCTTGGCACTTCACATTTAACTGTTTCTTCATAATTTGCTTAGTTTTTTTCTAATCAGTTATGTACTTTAGGGTTTTATGTTACATGTTGTTAAATTAATAATTTTTTAATTTTTTAAATTTCAACATTTTACCATGATGGTGTTTAACAACGCATTCTCACCCCAAGGCGTCACCTTTGACCATGCTTCAATATTTGACGTTTTAGGCGCCCTTAGCGTCACTTACATGACGCGATCCTACGGCGTCATCTAACTGACGCTAAAGGAAAGCGTCAGTTAGAGGACGTGGTTAGGTTTAGGTGTGGGGTGGGGGTAGGGTACACGCGATCCTAGGGCGTCATCTGACGCTAAAGGGCGCCTAAAGCGTCAGATATTGAAGGCTTTGAAGCATGCTTCCCAAGGCGTCAGTTAAGTGACGCCTTGGGGGTGAGAATGGGCTGTCTATACAGTAGTTTGAACTTTCTTGTGGAAGAGCTGATTATGATGAGCCTTGATTGATGATTTGACTCGATTTACTGCTGTGAATGTTGGCTGTCAGTGTAAGACAATTGAATAAAACAGATATTAATACTTCAAAAGGTCAGTAAATTAACATTATATCAGATGATGAAATACAGATTTTTGCTGTAAAATTAAATACGGTTAAAAGTCTGTAAAACCTAAAATGTTGCTATACCATATTATTAACAGGAAAACCACAGCTGCCAGTGTTTCCCGTAAATTTAACGGATTTTTTTTTACAGTTATAGCAGCTGAAAGATTTCTGAGTTCAATAGGCGACTTAAAACATGTTTAAGCTTGCATTTCTATAGTATTATGACTCCATAACGTCGCTCTGTTTCTGTCATCAATCAAATAGCAAGTCGCTTTAATGACTTTAACGTGAAATTGCGTTACCCTGTTAAACGGAATTGTCAAAATATGCTGCAGGCCTATAATTGCACATGAATAAAAAATAATGATGTTATTTTATTTTCATGTTTTATGGGGACTTATAGGCAAAGTTTTATGGGGACTTTTCCATAGGCCAGTTTGTACAGTTTGATTCTTAAACTGGACAAACTGTAGGCTATATTCTATCCCTATCCCCCATCACAGAATACTTTTTATATTTAAAAACAAAACAAAAACAATCACCTATAATGTATAAGCTGTTTTCCTCATGGGAACAAAAGAATGTCCCCAAGGATTTCGGATATTGCCATCTTTGTGTGACCATTTTGTCCCCATAATGTAAGGTTTACCAGGCAAGCACACACACACAAAACACACACTCACTTGTGTAATTGTTTTTTTTTAAATCAAAATCTATTGCTGAGATAGGTCTATAACTGTGAAAACATTCCTGTGTGACTAATAGTCCCACGAGGTGTTCGAGACACAATGTCTGAGAGTCATTTGCAGTAGTAGGAAGTTATGCATTGTGAGGTTCAAGTTGAGGTGGTAACATTTTTGACTTTGTGGTTAAAAGCTGATTCGAAAAGCAAATGTGTGAAGAGTTTTTCAACAGATCAAAATGGCTGTGCACATCACGACATGTTGGGTTGTCACACAAAGATGATCTTGAGGTTTTTTAGACGAGGTTTATCTCTAAATGTTGCATGCAGTATGAATGTCAACAGGATGTTAAACAAATTGCAAAAGCTGAGCTGCAGGGGATGTAGCCTATATATATTGGAAGTTATACGAGCAGATGCAGAGTCATTCATCACAGAAAATGACTGTGCTTGTGTTCCAAGAAGATTTGTTTCATATTTATTTAAACAGGGCCTGCATTATACAAAATGAACACAAATTAAAATCATAGGTGCAATATTACATATTGAACAGAACAACTATTTATCTTCTCAATAGGCATGGCAGATTTAAATTTACTGTAAGCTACAAGAAGGCTGCTTAGATGTACATCGATATACATTAGACAGTATTTTTTCCTCTTTCAGTTAAGTTAATGATGAAAGTAATAGTTCAGAAGTACACTTCTGAATCATTGTGCATGACAGAAGTTTTCTTATATATAAATTTCCCCTCTCTCTCCCTCATGCCCTTTTGAAGAGTGTGTCTACAAGCAGCTGTCACAGGCAGCTTTATTCAGCCTCGCAGCTTCAGGCTCGTCCATATGAAGAAAGCCTCTGCTCATCCATATCAAAAAGCACATACTCTGAATTGCGCTCCGGGTCCTGGCACATGTGGTTAACAATGAAACACTGGTAGTTCCACAGTAGAAGCAGTACCATGGCAGACAATGCCAGCAGTACCAGGCTGACCAGCAGGAGTCGCTGTTTGTCCAGGCAGCAACCGTTCTGACAGCGCTCATCCGTGAGATGTGTGTACTTCCAGAGAGACTTCTTCAGCAGCACACATCCCGAGCCCTGATGTGGATACAGAGACACGGCGAGATCTTTTGTTTGCGCTGTACTCATTGTACGGGAAGCACTTCATGCAAGATGCTTGCTGTGGGAAAAACAAGCGGTAGGGCCTCAGAGATTAAATCAATATTGCTGTTCAAGTTGCACAGGCCAGGCCTTTTGTTATGTTTATCATTTGTGCAAAGGTCATCCTTTTAGATATAGAATGAATCCTTGGTTGGAAGAAAATAACTAAAAATAGCGACGCTACTACATTTAGCCTAATAGTGTTTTTTTTCCAGTAAGCTTAATGCGAGAAGAGGTATAATGTTCTCTTAAATGTAGCCTGCAACGTCTGAATCAATATAGTGAATTACTTCCTGTTCCTTTGAAGGATGCAGACTCTGAATTAGGACACAGCTCTAGTGTTCCAACGCCAGATACTTTCTTCTTGATCAGTTCGTCCTAATGGTAGGCTACTCTCTCATATTTAACCTAATATAATGTTAAAGTGCAATTCATTCTAGTAAATCAGCTTGTCCAAATGTTCCTCTCACATGTGTTGAATTCTGCTCCTGGAGGACCACTGTTCTGTTCATTTAAACACACCTGAACCAGCTAATCAAGGTATTGGACATACTAGAAACTTCCAGGCAGGTGTGTTGCAAGATGGAGCTAAACTCTGCTGAACAGTGGTCCTCTAGGTCTGAGTTTGGTTGTTTTTGTTTAGCTATTTAGTATACATTCGCTTAAATGATTATTAGGAACACCATACTAATACTGTGTTTGACCCCCTTTCACCTTCAGAACTGCCTTAATTATATGTGGCATTGATTCAACAAGGTGGCTGCATCAGAAACACCCTGCCTCGCCTACCATGGTTGTTATAAAATAGCACAACCGCAATATAAACACAATTATGAATGCCTACCTTTTCAGTTGACGTAGAAGCTGTAGGACTACTAGCTTACAAAGAAAACCAAGCATCAGGTTGCAAGATGCCCGAGGGTTTGTCCATTCACTGCCCTGTGTGCCTGTTCGAATTACTTCTGCTCAAAATGTCAAAACAAACAGATTCAGAGCGCCTCCTCCTCTCTTAGTCTTGGCACAACACCTTCTCCACACCAGATTGTGACCATGTCTGTTTAACATGAGAGTCAGATTGTGCAATGATAATTCATTTTGTCATTTTTAAAAATTATAATTTCCATGAGACTAAATATGGGTGAATTCAGGGTGATCTGGATACTCAACATTCCCTATATTATTTTTACCAACAGTATTGTAAAAAAAACTAATAAAAGCATCCACATATTTCAGAAAACCCTGAAAGATTAAAATAGATTTAGTCAGTTCTTCTAAATGGCTTTGCGTGCTCTCACGCTGTGCAATGTCCTCATGACAGCAAGAGCATGAGTGGTGCCAAGATACTGATGATAAACAATATTGTGGCACATTTCATATATTTTTGAATAATGAATGTGGGCACACTACTATGTTAATGCACTGAATTTTGTTACTCTTCTTGGTAAACCCATTAAGTATTATAGGCTAGGCTACTAGTAAACTGATTATATGTAATAGCTATAACACATACAATCACACTCTGTAGAAAACATAAACACGTTATGAATAGTAATGTAGCCTAAATATGACATCCGCAAATATTCAGTAGTGTATTCAGTGTGAAAGTTCATGTAAAGACGCCAAGTTAATTATAGAGGAGAGAAGGCTGAACTTTGCTCTTAATCCTGTAGTGAATCCTCATATCTGATTTTCTGTTTCTAAAACATTCGCCTACCAGTACTCCTTTATTTAGTAGATATGAAGATATTGGTTTGCTGAAGTGTAGAGAGAGAATGGTGAGCATAAAGTTAATCAATCCAGGTTTTGTTTTTTTCATTTGATACATATTTTATTGGCACACTGGAGTATAGCAGTTGTACATTTTTAAACATATCTTTGTTTGAATTCAATTCTGAGTTTTTTTTTTATTCACAAAGAGTATTGGAATAGTCATCAAAAGCACATTTGGTGGTCGAAAAATATGGTAAAAGCAGATTAAAATGGCCTTGCAATATCTTAAAGCTTTAGAAACAATGCATGTTTGCACACAACAGTGAATTGGACAGATTACATTGCTTTTGTTTGTCAAAGATGTCTTTCCTATTGAGCCTCACAAGTACTTCAAGCCACACAATTTAATTCATTCCTGTCTGATTCCAATTATATGATCAAATAGTAGCTTGATGGTCATCTGCATACAAGTAGTACTAAATATCCTAACTTAATATCCATGAATCCACAGAGAATTTACGTATCTGCTTAACACGTTATTCGCTTCAAAACGAATTTCACTTTGACATTAAGAAGCTCACAGTCATGTTCACGGTAAAACTGGACTTCAGACACATTGCTGAACCCAACCCAACAAACATAATAATATTGTCAAGCAAAGACCACCATACCCTGAACTAGTTTTTCTATAAAAAAAAAAAATCATAATGTTCCTCTTATAAAATAGCTCCATAACTTACAGTTACAGTACGCATTGTTCACATCCTAAACTTCTCACAATAGTTAGCAAAGCCCTCAGATTGATTGTTTGCGACAAACGACCTAGACAGTGATCTAATACTTTAACTCATCTATAATTAGTCAACATACTTAATATGAAGACTGACTCAGATTATAAATTACCACTTTTGCTGGTAACCGTTTCACTTGTCCACAGAGCAAAAGCTTGACAACAAACAATGGAAGTAGCATCTAGTGTTGTTATTACACACAGACAAAATATAATACTGTTCATATATTATAATGACATGACATGATGAAATATGTATAATGTAAGGAAAGGTCCCTATGTGGTAGCAAAAAAGATGCACGCTACCAGCTCACACAATGATACAGAAATTATTACAGGGAATTTCAAGCAGGGTTCAACATGAAGCTCAAAATATCCTGTAATAAAATCTGCTTCATTACGTCTACGCCACTCTTTATCATTAAAAAGGTTCCTTTCGTTAGTTTAAAATTTTGCCATTAAGCTTTTATGATAAACAAGGTCGGATCTGCTACATTAAGCCCCTGGCTGAATAGACCCCATATTGTACGCTGATATTCAGATCATTCTCAGCCAAATATCTATTTTTACAAAAGATTAAAAAAAACATAAATGAATTAATTGATAAAGTAGAGAAACAAGGTAGTCAAAAATCCACAGTATGTGTCCAAAGCAACTTGGGCCACTTCAAGAGAGTGTGTTTTGAAAACGGCAGTGAAGAGAGAATCAAATATTAAGAAACGCAGTGCAACGATGATCAAAATGTGCCAAACGTTCACCGACAGTATTATTTATAGTACTGCATTTTCTACTACAACCCACTTTTTCAAAGAGATGTTCTGTGTTTGCTCTTTTCAAATGGGAAAACATCTAAACACTACCAAAGTGTTGAGATAAGCTACATGTATCTTAGGTGGAGGTAGAAAGATGTACTGTATGAAACATCATTATGTCCGTATCATAAAAGTGAAAAACTACTTCGGTATTATCTTATTTTCTCTTATTAAGACTGAACGATGACCTACTGTGGAGAAACACAAGTCTGAATATATATTTACATAATTCACACACACAAAAAAAACCTCTTTAGATATGTGCAAAAAAATTGTAAAAAGTGAAGCACTTTGTGTATCTATGAGTGTGTCGGTCGAGTGTGATATTTGTGGCAGTGTGGATTTTGCTCCAGTGTGGTTGAATTTGGCACAGTGTGTCCATAAGTTTCATATCCAGTGTGCATATGCTGAGACAGGGTGGATTTTGCTCAAATGACGGTGCTGAAGGTGTTGTCTCAAGCGGTCTGATTCAGAGCCCACTGCCTCCTGCTTTTCCAGTCTTTCTCTCTCTCTCTCTTTCTGCCTGTCAAATTCTCCTTCTCTCTCCACTTTCACACCACTGTGCTCACAGAGGGGTCTGACAGGTTGAGCTGGCCGGTAATGTCCGTGGGATATGGCTATAAATGAGGACGAAACAGAAAAAGGAAAAGTAAGAGCAAACATATTTGCATACTGTACCTCCCGGTATTTAGTTCACGTTTGTTATGACGGAGGCAATCTCTCCACCCACTGCAGGCCGTGTCTATCTGTCACCCAGAATAATTTGGCTGCGTTTTAAAAACAGACAGGCCTCCTCGGACTGTGGCTTAAGATAAATAGAGTGAACGAGGTAACGGATTCATTACCGTACAATTGCTTCCTTAATGGATCATTGCTCATGCTTACGGTCCTAAATGAATATGCTTCCTTAAACGGGTACCGTATATCAACACACGAAAATATCTGTACTAGAAACCTGTAATGGCACAAACGAGAGCACTCTGTCTCTTGGCCCACGGCTAATAATTTACCTGACCTAGAAGTACTGTCACCATAGTAACTGCCCTAATGAAATATGACAGCCGGACCTGATATGCAGCACAAGGTGCAGTTCATTCCAGTCTGCCACAGGTTTCACCTTCAGTATCTCTCAATTTCTGAATGATTCTATGGTTTTATTTTGATACTTTGACGAATATTATTTGTGAAAAAGGTTGACATTTAATTAAAGGAATAGCTCACCCATATGTCATCATTCACTCAGCCTTATCGGTATTCCCAACCAATTTTCTTTCTTCGTTGAACCACAGAAGAAGACATTTTGAAATAATGGCTATGTTTTTTGTCCATGCAAAGAAAGTCAATGGGGTCCAGTGTTTTTTTGAACCCCAAGTTTGTACATACAGTACAGGGCTGGAAAGACGATGAAGTGAGCAAATGATAACAGGATTTTCAATATGGTGAACCATCCCTGTAATCATGACAACTTTGAGAGTTTATTATCAGAAGGGATATAGTTTTGGTTAGGAGGCTTTAGTGGGTGTTGTGATACCCTCACTCATAACAATGGTGTTTATGGTGTTCCGAGTCAATTCTGAGTCATAACCACAGCGCCCCCTGTCTACAAACAGGGGGAAAGCATATAAGAGATCTATTCTACAACAACCAGAAGGTTCATGCTGGTAGAGGAAGAGAGAGGCAGTGTGGCATGTGGTGTGGACACCGACAATCAAAAACGCCATTCAAATCCATTTATAAAAAACACTGATAGAAAAGAAAAGGATGGTTAGGACTGTGATGGGTAAACATCAGTTCAAAAAGACATTGTCACTGTTTAGGTTGTGGACTTTGTATCTTTAATCTGATCCTATTCTACCTTTATCTTTGAAAAAGGTTTTGTTAAGAATGCATTCTGTGAGTGAGCACCCTCACCTCTATGGGAGGGAGGGAGAAATCAACTGAAATGTGAGCTACATGGATTTGCATGTTTCTTTGTACACTCGACCAAATGAGCTGCCCATTAGAAATAGTTGAGGGTGTATGCAACAAAGCCCCAGGTCAATCATTGCCTAGCGGGCAATTGAAAAACAACCCAGTCTAAACCAATTGAAGTAATGCAATGAAATAGTCTGTGTTTGTGCTTGCACATTTGTTTGTATTGAATCCTCAGAGCCGGTAGCTGTTTAGTTTGAGAGCTACGCCTTATTAAACCTGTGGGACCAAGGAAACACAGCGAGGAGGCGGTTTGTGTGAACAAACTCATGTGGGAATCTAGCTCTGAGAGTTCAATACATTGTAAACGTCGACACAAAACCCATCTGAGCAGCATTTCCTGAAAATGAAAGGGTTTTTTTATTCATAGAACTGCAAAGAAAACATTGAATGGTTAAAAATTAAACGCAGAGATCTTGGAAGGGCATGCCTGTCGGGGGAACAGCCTAGGTTATTTTAGCGTCGCTCGTCTTTGGCTGTAAATGGCGATACCGTGCATCGTGGGAGGCATACAGGGTGACTTTGTGAGAGCAACCACATTAAATGGGACAATAAAAGGAGAATGAGGTACATGGAAATAACCGTTACAGGACCGAGCGATGAGAGGAGAGACACACGAGTACACAACAAAGGAGAAAAGAAAACGTGAAAACAGAGCTTAAAGTCACATCCAGGTTAGGCACGGGAGAAAGACCAGTACAGGCGGTAAGGCGGAGAAGCTACCTCGCCCCCCTCCTGCAAGGTAAACCCACTAGCCCCCCCAAAAGATCTGCTCCTCTGTTCCCTCTCCACACTTTCCCTGGCAGCTAGATCCCTGATTGGGCTTTCCCAACAGATGTCTGGATGGAGTATATAGATGGCTGACTGACAGACATGTGGCCGTGACTGTAACTCCATGTGTGAGGGTGAAGATATTCTGAGATGAGACGTTTGTTTTGGAGAGGAGAGATGAGATGACAGGAGAAAGGAAGAGAGCGAAAGAAACAGGGCAGGCCAAGGAGGAGGAGGAAGAGAAAGAGGAAAAGAGCGAGAAGATAGAAGTACAGGCAGGGCGTCATTTTCTTAATCTTCTTACCGTGTCTTTGGACGACCTACGTCTCTTGATGTTGGAGGCCAGGTTGGTACTGATGGACCTAAAAGAGGCTTTCTTTTTGGGGTCGGGCTCTGCTCTACCATTTTTCCTATCCTAAAATAAATATACAGTATATGTAGAACAATTATTCGTGCTCTCTGGAAGAGCGCGTTTGGTTTCCAACCATCACCACCCACCTCGACAACGAAAGCTACTAAATAGCACTACCCTGCTAATTTTAGTGCTAATCACAATTAACATGGAGTCTCCTGTCCATCTTGGCTGTGAGTCAGAACGGTCCATTCGCGCACCCACTACAAGGAAAGAGGACACTGGCATAGACTGGATGAGAATGTGTACAGAAAGTCTTACTTCGAATCTTTTACAATCCTGACATTCTAGAGAGGGGAAGAGGAGGACTTCTGTGGATTGTGTGATCAGACCACACTCATCCACAGTTCTGCAACTCCGTAAATGGAAAGCCAAAGCATTAGCAAAAGAAAAAAGCAAACGAAACGTAATCGGATGAGGGGGGGATGGGTGGGGGTCCATTTTGAAGAAGGTGGAGAAGATATTCTTGTGTTGTCAGGGAAAATGAACAACTCATCAATAAACAATCGAAACTTAACACAGTCCCTTGGCATTATACCCCAGTGAGGGTATAATGGGCACATGAAGGAAGGAGGAAGGGGTGTGCAGGCTCATAAGAGGAGACAAGAGCGTCTGGAGGGGGGTGGTGAATTCAACCAGAAGACATGCAATAATAGATGGAACCAAAAGGGGAATGCAAAATGAATGACATGACAGTTGACCTTGGCTGGCACCGTCACTCCCTCATTTCCTAGCACATTTGGACCATGTTTCTGATCCCCTACAGTGAGCGACTCTAAATGTGACCCTCAGTATAAGCACAATTATACCACAAACAGGTTAGTGAACCAGTTGTTTAAAACAAATGTGCCAGGTTCTTAAAAATGTACTCTTTGTATTTAATGTTCTTTCACATGGTTTTGAATGAACATTTACAAGAAAAGTTTCAATTTGTTGGCTCGGAAATGTCGTTTAACCAAGTACACAACTGAAAATGCTCAAGGGAGTGACATTTCACAACCTGAACTAACTGGCCTTGTCATTAAAAAATAGATATCAAATGATCTAATATTTAATTGATTTGTGTCTATATATCTATAAATATCTAAATGAATTTTAATCCAATGTCCAAAGCCAAACAAAATGCTTCTGTGCATTTTTTGTGAGATATTTGAAGAGTTCAGATGCAAAAGCCTCTAAGAGCCATTTGAAATTTTCTTCTAAAATGATCATTTTTATCAAGCTTGTATATTTAAGTTCAGTAATTTCACTTTAATGGCAATGAAGATTACCTAATTGTCATTTAAGTGAAGTTACTGAACTTAAATATACAAGCTTGATAAAAATGGTCATTTTGGAAGAAAATTTCAAATGGCATTTAGAGGCTTTTGCATCTGAACTCTTCATTTTTAATTCTTTTAGCATTTGGGAATCATTAGTTACTGTCTGGCTCTCTCAAACAATGTTACAAAAGAAACAAGACACAAAAAATGCCCACAATAACATTTTCATCTGTTTTCACATAATGCATTATGGTTTTTCTAGAAAGCCGTACAACCGTCAGTGCTTTCATCCATTGCATTTCAAAGCCCTGTGATGACAGTGGCTGTGCCCCCGGAGTGGGCAGCTAGCCCACATCACACGGCCGCCTGATCTGCTCCTGGCTCGCTCTGGTTTGAAATGCAAATGCATCCAGGGCAGATCTGCCTGTTCATGCATTCAGGAAGCAGTTGCGTGTATAGCTTTTGCATATGTTGCATGTGCACCTGGAATGAGCGTGGTGGATTTAGTGTGTAATAATTGATTTTAGCTTTCAGGACGGAATTATTCATCGGCACACTCGGTCACCATTAGAGCTGGTTAAACATCTATATTTGCTCATTCAGATGGGGATTACATGGAAGCTCATTTGCAATTTAATTATACAAGCATTATTTTGTCTTTTATTCGATAAACAGTGGGAGAAAAATCATGAAAAAGACCTTGTCCGTGGTCAAATAATATTTTTTTTGTTCATCTCAAATTATGAGCCTTCAACAATTCTGGACCTCTGACTGGACGTGGGAGGTGTGTGTGTGTGGGCGTATTAACCATGCAACATTGTCTTGTGACTCAAGTAGGCGGTAAAGCCCGAAGGTTAAAAGGCTTAACTCCCTATAACATGACTCTCTGATGTGTGAAGTCGATCAGCTAGCTGTCGGCTTTGATACCGCACTGACACTTGATCCAATAGTTAGATTTAGTGTTTTGCCTTGTGGTGAAATATGTGCCTGCTAATAATGAGTCTAAAGTAACAAGGCCACGCTCAATGACTTGAATCCCATTAGGAAAAGTAATCTCGCTTCAACAACTCACTAACTTTCACTGAAGTTCATAGCTATGGTCATGTGTTTTGTAAGCCAGCCAGGTCTCAAGTCTCAAATGGGCTGACCTTGGTACTTTTGCCATCATCCGGGAATCATGTTGGCCTGTGACCCAGTGTGTATGGATACAGCTGGAGGCCAGCAGCGGACAAACACTGATCTGTTTAGGGCGTGAGGAACCCAGCAGGGACAGTCAGACGGCCTGCTCAGCATGCGTATTCCTGACTCCACAGCAGCCTAACAGGCTCCGTTAATGTGTGTGTGTGTATTTGTCAAGCTGCTCAATAAAAGCAATGCCAGTGGCAGTAGTAAGGCTGCAGGAGCTACTTTATCATGCTGAGCATTTCGATTGGATGGTAAAAAAGTGTCTTTGCATGGATCTGCTAAGAACCACTCTTATCATTACTATAAAGGATTTATTTTGGACACTTATGTGCTGTTGCATGGCCAAATGGCCAAATTTATGAATTGGCCTGTTATCTTTTTTCACCTCGAGGCTTTGTTGTCCAGCTGTGAGGTTCTATATATTTATCAGACGTTCACAACCACACTGTATCATAAACAGTATGTAACTGTGGATTATTCTTGGCTTTCTTTGAGTATTTGTGCTTTGTTGTATTATCTAAAGCAGTATTTGTAAAGTTTTTGATGCCAAAGACCCATTTATATTAAATGAAAAGGTTATTTTGCATGATACTTGAAAGACAACATATTATTTCCTAAATTCAATTATTGTCCTTGTCCTAAAGCCAAAGCTAATTATAAAAATCTGGAAAATGTTTACTTATGTTAATTTGACTTGACATTGTTAATCTTGCTTTCAGCAATTACAAAACAAATTTTAAATGAAAAGGTTTGTGTTTTTCAGATTTATAAACCTAAAATATGTACCCTTAAACTGATTACAAGTGAAAGTAAAGACTTAATTTGTTGCAAAAAATTCCATTTCAAATAAATGCTGTTCTTTTGAACTATTTATTCATCAAAGAACAAAAGAAAGAAGATTAATTTGTACAAATTAAATTTGACCAACTCAGGAATAAATAACTTGCTAAAATATATTCAAATAGAAAACAGTTATTTTAAATTCTAATAGTATTTTTGCAAGATTACTGTTTTACAGAATTTTTTATCAAATTAGAGACTTATTAAAATATATATATATATACATCTTATTGACCTCAAACTTCTGAACGTAGTGTATAAATATTTTTCCAAACAATATAAATGGGTCTTTACATATGAAACCTTATACAGTAGTTGATTTATATTTTAGGAAGTGTATCAAGTGAAGCTCATTGTAAGCCCACCCTTTTATACTCCCTTGTAGAAAAAAAAAATCATTAAAAGAGTTTAGCATGCATAATATATTGACAAACGCTTTAGTTCACTGTAACATTCACTGCTCAGTTTGACTGCCATATTTGGCTGTTCTCTTTGAGTTCACTCTTTTGGTGATGTGTTAATTTCTGCCTCATTATGACCACATAAGTCACATCGTGAATGGATAACAGACTTAGAGATTTCTTCATTTTGTGCAGATTGGCCTTTTGTTGGCTCTAATAACTTCCAGCAAGAGTTTGGGGGTTGGGAGGCGGCTGTACCTGTAGGTTCTTCCTCCAGACATTAACTGCTGCAAAGGCCAGCTGCATTTGCTTCCTGCGTGCATCCTTATGCCGTTTGTACGCAATCTCAATGAAGATGAGGAAGATCCCAGCAACGATGCCACCAGCAACCAACATAAACACGCCTGTGTGGTGAAAAATACATTTGATTATTTCCAAACAGTCTTCTTCAATGTGGCAAAGAGGACAAAAGACAGAGACTATTAATAAGGGCTGTTCATACTGACAGATTTGCATTCATTTTTTGCTTTATTTTTTGGCAATCTTCTAACTAGTACAGCTGGATACCACGGCCGAGTAGAAAAGCCTTCTAGCAACCAACAGCACAGAGACTAGACGAATTTGAGGGATTTGATCACTGTCAGTGTCTGTCAACAAACTTTTAAAAAGCAAAAGAGATCTTGTGAGAGATGGATCATACCTGCCATATTCTCAAAAGTGAGCGTGGCTGGTGCATTGCTTCTGGAGTCACACTCCTGATAACGGACCCAGGTTTTATCCAAGTCCTCCATGAAGCCATTCTCATGGGAACTATTAATTCAAAGACCCAACACATCAGTCAAATAATCCATTATTCCATAAATAGAAACAGTTGACGTGATTACGGTAAACCTAGGGATTAGCTGAAAGGAATTAACAGGAAAAAAAAAAGAGAGAAACAAACAAAAGTGTAGCAGCGCACTGTGGATGATTAGACTTGGCTGAGATTACCTGAGGATGGCCAGTGAGACGTTTTGCTTCCATGGACTGTCTTTGCGCATGCCAATACCGAATCCAGAGCGGAAGAACAGCTCGCCTGTGGTGACCAGGTCACATTTCTGCGAGGCCTCAAACTCCAACACTGCTGAATCCCATATAAATGCGTGGAGTTTGCTATGAGAAGAAAAAAAAAAATGTTATGAAAATATGATAAGTCTAGCATTTTTACTATTTAAAATTCTTTATATTTACAATTACAATACGATTCAAAGATTTTTTTTTAAATAATTTTGAAAGAAGTCTGTTATGCTCACCAAGGCTGCATCTAATTGATCAAAAATACAGTAAAAATGGCAATATTGTGAAATATTATTACAATTTCAAATAACTGCATTCTATTTGAATATATTTTAAAATATAGTTTATTCCTGTGATGACAAAGCTGAATTTTCAGCATCATTATTCCAGTATTCATTGTCACATGATCCCGCAGAAATCATTCTAATATTGCTGATTTGGTGCTCAAGAAACATTTCCAATTATTAATGATGCTGAAAACTGCTGCTTAATGTTTTTGTTGAAACCGTGATACATTTTTCCCCCTCAGGAAAGTTCAAAAGGAATTAGATCCCAGATTTTTTGTAGTCTTAGACTTTTGCTTACCACAATAATTAATTTGCTCTACTACACTTTACACAAACAGCTTGAAGAACTTGCATCTTCTAAATGGAAGTATTTCCTGGTGATTATATACAACTCTAAATGCAAAAATAATTTGTAAAGGGAAATGTATTAAACACTGGCAGCCTGCCATCTGTTCCTGTCTTAGCCTTGTAATGAAGGTCTTTCTTTAAAATACAACTCCCAACCCAGCTTTGTATTCAGCAACAATACTGTACTGAATCACACTAACTGGAGTTTAGCCTTTCTCTGCTCTTCACAGACGAGAGAGGAATATGTCATCCTTTATACTGAATGGAAATTTATACAGCCCACTTCCTAGCATTGATATCTATGCCCAGCCCCTAAAGGGAGCTTTAAAACAACAGCTTCAAATAAACCGTTTCTGGCATAACAAAAAATAACAATACTTGGAAAAAATAAAATAGGGGAAACTCTTATTGCTGACTGACTTGTCTCGCACGGCCTGGATGGCTTCAGCGGCGCTCTCGTAGTTGTGCTTTTCCATGTGGCGGTACATGGTGCTGAGCTCAACTTGGCGCCGGAAGTAAATGTCCACAGAACTCTGCTTCACTGTGGCGTAGATGAACTTGTCTGATGGGTTTCGCAGCTGGAATGAAATACAAGAAAACAGGTCTGGATGAACTGATATAAATGGGCGCTACACAAGATAATTTGTGTGTTTATTCAAAACGTGCTGAATAATTAAAGTAAACTGGTGTTTGGTGTCTGCAAATCCAAAGTTCTGACTTTTTTGTCTTCAATTACATGAAATATTTCTGAGGAAAATAGCTGTGGGAATAGAGGCAAACCAAGGTGAGTATGACCTAAAAATGTTTAGTGAAGTCATACTGCTTGTAAATATCTCATACTAGAAAAAGATACCATTCAGAATATATATATATATACCCCCTTGATTTTAATATATTATTTATTACTATTTATTTTAGATTTATTCAAATATTTAAATTCAGTCCTTTGCTAATTTTCAGCCCACATGGCAGAATTGACATGGATTGTTATGATGAAACATGGCAAATGAAAATAACCTTTGCTAACAAATGACCCATAATTATGTGTCCTTGACAAGCTTAATTATATGTGGTGTTTTTATGCCATGTGAAATCTCTGTGCACAGTAATTTACAGTCCTATTTGATATTCTGTTGTATAACATGCAAAGCCGCTTCATATTTAGCGCTCACCCTAGGGTCGTTGATGCCGGTAATGCGCTCCTCAGGCCGATCCAGCACTAGGAAGGCTGCCAAATTGGCAGTATAAGACGCAACTATAATCATAGCAAACCCAGCCCACACCATACCTAAAATCCTTGCTGAAAAACTCCGAGGGGCACCTGCAAATGTAAGCGGGGAGGTGAGAGCGATAAAGAAAATTATGCTTACTGCAAAATCAATCAAGCACAGAGTCAGCAATATTTACACCTCACAGGGACGATAGACTGAATAATATTTTCTCATTGCTGATGTCTACCTTCTCCAATTCCGGAGTTCAAAAGTACACCCCAGGAGAACCACATAGCAGAGGATAAAGTGAGGGCATCTTCTTCTTCCTCTTCACTATTTACTTTAAACCTTCCAAATGGGCTGCAGGGCAAAGCGCATATCAGTCAGAGGCAGATACTTTAAGACTGCATCCATAAAATGTGGTTAATATGCAGTCAAACTTCTGAGATCTTATGCAAACTTTTGTTATATCAAGCTACATTCTCACATCTGTGTGTTCAGCCATTTCTACATCTATCCAAGGATGAGGTTTAAAGGGATAGTTCACTGAGAAATGAAAATCCTGTCATCATTTACTCACCCTTGTTGTTGCAAACCTGTTTTTATTTCTTTCTACTGCAGAACACAAAAGAAGATACTTCAAGGAACGCTGGGATCTAAACAACATTGGACCCCATTGACTTTCATAGTATGGAGGAAAGAAAAAACAACAACACTGACACATTTTTCAAAATATCATCCATTGTGTTCCACAGAAGAATGACTGCCAAACAAGATTGGATAAACTATCCCTTTAAGGTGTCATGCATGTAACAAGTCTTTCTTTACCTGAAACGGTCTAATAGGTAGAGCATCACCGCCACAACATGGACCGATAGACCCACCAGTAACCACAGAGTGCTCTGAAAAGGCTGCATGAACGAGTCCAGTGTACTGCGTGGTATTTCCTGCAAAACAACACAGCTTTATCCAATCCAACAAACACCACCCACATTGCCACATGCATCGCCATATGGAGCATCAAATGGAGTCTACATCTACGCTGGTTAGAGGTACATGAATAGATTTCACTGTACTACAGAGTCAATTGATTTATCACAGCATTTTCTCTGTACAGAGATAAGCCCACTTCAGGGAATTCAATTAAATCAAGAAACTGTAATGCTATTTCCGTCCCAGAAAGTCATGTTCTCAGAGGATTTTTCCAAAAATTAATTACATTTTATATCCTTTATTTGAAATTTAGCAGTCATGAAACTGAAATTAAACTGACCCTAGATAGCCCACAGGAAATAATGCCGTTTTAAACGGATAGTTCACCCAAAATGTACCACTTTTATGTTGTTCTAAAGCTCTTGAACTTTTTTCATAAGTGGAACAGAATACAGAAAATATTTTGGGTGAACTATCACTTTGAAGAATGTACTGTTGATCTGTTGGTCATCTGAGACTCACCTTTTTGACAAGTATTGTGAGCCCCTGGTACTTGAACGGTTTCGAGAACTCTATGTACTGGGCTCGTTCATTGTTGATAGTAAGTGGAGCCACGATCATGTCTGCCAAGCCACTCAGGAGCTCTCCCATCATGCCATTCCACTCCTTCTTGTTGCTGTTATTTACCTGGTATCAGGAAGATAACGTTAAGAAATGTCATGCTTAAATGCGCTTCTAAATTTCGAAATGCATATTTCAGCAGATGCTGAAGAAAGGCTTGAAAATGTGCAGACAAGCCAAGTTGCATGACCTTTGAAAAGACATGCAAGGCTACAGGCAGGTGAAGAATCAATAAAGTTATCATATTACTCACACGCTCCTGAGTGCCAAATTTGCCATCAGCCACTAGATGCACTTCATAGGTAAAGTTCATTGTCATTGCAAGTTTGATCAAAAGATCAATGCAGAACCCATAGCAGCACTGAGGCACTATGGGGCGACCTATAGAGATACACAAGCCAGTCAAATCTGGACAAAGCACAACTTTGGTCCGAAAATTTACATACTTAATGCCTACCTGGAATGGTCTCATTGGGGCCAGTGCAGATTACTTTTTTGATCAGGACTCCATTTACAGTGTACTCTTCCTTGCATGTTCCATCTTGTAACGTCGGTTTGACATAGACAAAGGGCTCTTGATGAATGGTGACAATCTACCAAACAAACGAGAACTGAATGTAAACGCAAGGGATTTTTAAGGAGAAAAAATGATGCATCAAAACCCCTGCAATGAAGCACCTTTAGTCTTGTTGACATCTGATAGCCTTTCGGCTTTTCAGTTTCTCCTCCTGGCCAAATAATCTTCCTCTGAGAGTTCATTACGACCTAGAATACAATATATTCTGTCATTCACAGAACTGTTATTCACATTTTTTAGATAGTCAACCACTTTTAAAACATTAATTTGGTCTAGATAAATAAATGCTGTAAAAAATGCTGTTAGCTGACCCCAGACAACATTGCTGTAGAACCCATTTCACAAACTACATTGTGAAGCGATGCTCAAAGCTCCTCCTCTCTGGACGTCATGGGTGGAACATGATCTAGTCCAGTTCTGTTGATCTAATAGGTGGATGGGTATGATTATGGGTAGGGTTAGGGTGTGGTTGGACATTAGCTCCACCCACTGCGCCCAGATTACATTCAGAGAGGGGGAGCTGGACTTCACGCTCCACCCATTGATGAAACGTAATGCTGTGAACTTACTGTAAAGTGGTACAATAAAATGAGTGTGCTAACTGTCTCAACTGTTAAAATAGCAATGTTTGTGTGAAGCAGAAGGACAGCTCATTAAAAAGACTGAGCCAATTTCATACTTGCGAGCCATTGTAGACGCCCACTTGCACCAGCCGGGTTTTCTGGTAGTTCAGAATGCTGTAGTGGGCGAACCTCCTGTCTCCGTCATCATTAAACTCCACACGGCCTGTTAGGCCATCTGGATACTTGGATGACATCAGTACTCTAGTACACCAGAGGGGGGGTTTTAGAAAAGGCACAAAATGCTTATTTAAACGCAAAGGAAGACATTGACGATGACTGGAAGTAATGGAAGTTTACCAAGAATTCAGAGATGGGAGATGCAGGCATGTCTACTAACTAGGGAAGATTTAGTGGGTGACATGTGGGGTGGAGACGGATGGCACGTAATGTGCAGGCACAGACATAGGAGAACAGAAATGACACCTGTAAGGGTCTCAAATTGGGTCTCAAATGCAAATTGGTACCAGCAGATTTCACAAGGCCAATGTAATCAACAACTTAACAGGCTTGATGTGTCCTTGCACTCGATTATTACTCCATTTGAGGAGTGAAGGCATGGTTTTAGAAGCAAAATGCTTGCGATTTCAATCTTTGTGGTGTGAAAGCTTCCACTCTTGTCAGTGCCAGGCCAGTGGTAATGTATGATAATGCATGACAGCAAATGGATGGTTGGTTGGAAAGCTAGCGAATGCTAGCCAGCGCTTATCCCTGGCCTCACCGTTTGAAGAGTGGGCCAGTCTTCCAGATGTTTGTATTGCCAACACAGCCTCGAGGAGGCTCTGTGATATTCTCCTTCTCAAAGAGCTCCTGAATGGACTGGGCCACCACAGCCACGGCATCGTAGATGTGCGCAGACTCGTTCTTGCCATTGATAAGCTGAAGGCCGAGCAAGCCTGCCCAGTTGACGACATTACATGGTGTTGGCCAATGCCTCACAACACGACTCTCATTTGAAGAGCACGTCAAGGCATACTCATAATCAAGAAATGCACACATTGCCAGAGAGAGAAACAAACGTGCATTGCATATGAGCGACGACTTGTCTCAAGACAGACAGAAGGGCTGTGAAAGTCATGGGGGGGTTAGGACAGGGTCAGCACTGAGCAGAATGATGTGAAGTTGAACACGGATGTGTATATAAAGAAGCCAGGAACAAAGAAATGCGGTTGTCGCTTACCATCGTATCCACACCTCATTGTGGAGGTAGGAAAGCACCACTTATAAATAAACTCATGACAGCCAAACCTTAAAAATGTATGCACATTCAAACCAATATGGATTACCATAACTCTCTATTGCATCATTTGTTGTCTACTGAAAGAAAGGACAAACACTCAAAAATGAAACAAATTAAACATTAGACATAAAGCACAGTACAATGAGTAAAGAATCACTGTGTTTAAAACCTTTAAACATGCAGATGTTTAAACGTTTAAACACCCAAGTACAGCACAGACACTGATTTCGTCGGTGGGGATTGCAAATTGTAATCGTATAAAAAGCTTAAAAGGCAAACATGTTCAGTTTGTTAAAAAGCCTAGGAGAGAGAGAGAGAGAGAGAGAGAGAGAGAGAAGAGAGAGAGACACAGAAGATGAAAATGGAGAGGATGAAAAGTACATACCATCTGGGGCTTCACTCAGTGCTTTACCAGACATCTCCCTTTCTCCAACAAGCCACACGTAACCAGAGCCTGTCATATTGAGATGGCGTGCCGCTTTATAAATGGCTGCGGCTTCGTCTTCACTGTGATTGGAAAAAGATTGGTTGTAACGGATTGGAGTAAACACCTACAATGTTAATGTTACAAGCAAAAGCCCACATGAAATCTGTGAGTGCAGAACTCCGAAATCAGAGCAGTCACTATCGAGAAAGTTCCTCGCATGTTTCTTCTTGAAATATTTTGCCGAATTTGACCATGCTTTTATTCACCAACGAGAGTAAAACTCATTTTACCATGTTTAAATCCATTACGTAGAATGCCTAAGACTTCCCCCCAAGTCAGTAAGCATATTCTGTGTGGGTCTGATTATGAGTGAGTCTTGAAGGGCAGACAAACGGATTGACATGTTGATGCAATCTCTTGTTAACAAATTAGATGTTGGTTCATTTAACCAGAAAACGGATTATGAAGTGTTTGTACTGAGGCTGGACATCATTTTAGCTTCATTTGCTGTATTTTTTTATATATATTTTAATGTATAAATTCACTAAAATTGTTAGCACAGTCAATTGAGAATGTCTACATTCCAATTAAATTCTTGAATCTAAACTGAAATTTGAGATAGCGAACAAGACTTTGGACTTAATTTTTAAAAAAAACAATTAGAAGAAATCTATATAATGTAATTTACTGGAAAAGCAAAGTTCGTTATATTGTATTATAACTTTTGGACCAGGGTAGAAGAACATTTCTTCATTCAGTAAATTTATTGTCCCCTCATTACAAATAAAAAAATCAACTTTCTGTGAGATGTGGCCAATTCAATTAAAATTCCAACTGAATCGAATAGAGGCTAAAAAGAGAGCTTCACCATATTTACCAGCACCATTTCAGTTTCTTGGCTGGCTAAATGCATTATTCAGCAACATTAGCGATTAGCAGTCTGATAGGTTAAGCAGCGGAGATGAACTCACCTTGCAGACAGGATGATAACTCTGGCCTCTAGCTCTTTGGCTTCCTGGAGCAGAGCCGTCAGATTTGTGTCTTGGCTGAACAGGAGCACTTTCTCTGCCTGGGATTAGGACACAACTTTAGTCAAGTAGTTGACACATTCCCACCATGAACCATGCTCTTTGAGCGCTTGCGGTTTTTTCCCTCTCCTTTTTTTTCTTTTTGGGAGGGGGAGGAGGGGGTTTAAAAAAATGAAGTAAAAAAAGTTTCTGAGATAAACTGCTTAAATAAAAAAAAAAAACATAAGTAAGCTTGGAGCAGGTAAAAAAAAGTTCTGCATTTTCGCATGCAAACTCAGGGGAATCAAGATTCCAAGGAAAAACGTGCATGTTACAGGAAAAGGAGAAGAAGATTGATGCAACCGGAAAGCAAAAAACTGGTGAAGGAAGATGGTGGTGGTGGCTTCTTTCCCAACAAAAAAAATAAAAAAAAAACAACAAAAAAGAAGAAATGCTGCAGAAAGGTGGGAGTAACATCTGGACAGTGCCTGTCCCACACGACCAGATCTCCACGCACGGTGTCAAAAAGAATAGACTTGCAATCTTGCTGGCTTCAATACATGCATTCTTTTACACAAAAATAAAAAAGTGACAGGTGGGGCAGCGAGTTTTTGTATACGCTTTAACAGAAAAGAATAACCCATTCTCGATTGAAATCATAAAAGGAATCCAAACAAATAGACGTGCTGGCAGGATAAGAATCTCTGGAATCGGTTTGTTTGATTGTTTGACTGTTTTCTAGTGGCTACTTTCATATAACGTTTGGGGCGGCGTGCATTGACCATGCAAATATACCTTGGGTCCTCGCTTGTTGTCAAAGGACAGTTGGTCGAGGTTTTCATAGTTCCTGTTTTTACTCTGATGAATAATGTGCACAGAGAAAATATGCAGACACAGAATATTATAAACAGTTATATATGGTGCGCAGTAAAGCATTCCAACAAATCTCCACTTTTCTGCTTCAAATTGGGAAACTCTAATCCTGGGGCTTGCAAAAACATCAACAAACTGTATCTATCCTTGCAAATGGTCTAAACCGGTTTAATGAGCTCACCCCCTTTCCCTCTTTTCTCAATATTTCATTTTAATTTAACCTTTTCACCTGGACTCAATTAAAACACCTGCCCTGAGTTCTCCTTGCTTTGCCATAATTAATAATAAATGCTAATGTCTTCTCAACTCTATTTCGTTGTAATGCACAACCTAATCGAGTTCACGTAATCCCATCCATCAATTTAAATTTCTGTCAACCTACTGTAAAAGAACATCAGCTACAGCCCATGAAGCACAGCAAGTTGCTACCACAAGATATGCCCGTCTAGACATGGCCCGAAATAACATATTTTAGGCACTTCATCACGATAATACACATTCATCATCAGAGCCACAGAATCTGATATGTATACAGTCTGTCAAGAATTTGTTGCTTTTGCAGAGCAGAAGTAAAATTAAAGAGTACAATTTTGCTACATTAAATTGATAGACATGGATTATTTGAGTTTCTTTTTATGCATATACATATTTGTATTTTATGCATATATATTTGTATTTTTCACAGAAGAATTTACAAAATATTTTTTTGTGCAGTCAGAATATGCAACTGTATACTGTATTAGGCTAGCTGGATATATTGATATATTTACTATATATATATATATATATAGATATATAGATAGATAGAAATATAGATATAGATATAGATATATAGAGAGATCTAGATATACAAATATAGATATAGATATATATGGCCCAATGGTTAGAGAGTCAGACTGGTAACCCGAAGGTTATATCTTATATAAACAGTATATCAGCGAAAATCTGTTCAAAACTGTATCACAAAAAGCTTTGATTTGCAGTGATCCAACCCTGCAGACAATGTGCAGGCAAAGTTTTCCTGTAACAGATGCAACTGAAAGACTTTCATAAACCCTTTGTGATTCCCAAAACAGTCTGGGCATGTGCATATAAAAACAGCTGGCCTTGGGGCTGCCATTACTGAACATGACATTGCAACGACATTGCGGGTGTCCTAAAAATACAGCGCCGTGCTAATGGATTCAGATCCTGAAGAAATATCTCTTTTTACTAAAATACAATTTTTTTGGGGGGGAATTACACACATACATGATACGAGTATAATTGCAAACGTTCACAGTGTGTAACTACCCTTACATTCAAATATATTTTGAACTACTTTCTTATATAATGTAAAATATTTAACAGTGCAAATCTACACACAAAGAAAACCAATAAATCAGTCACAGTCTGTTGCTGGGAAGAATTTCTCACAGAGTCACAAAAAACTCAAAGCAAACCAAATCCTCTGCTGGATGTTTTTGGTTGATTTTTTGCACAGCCCCAGGCTAAGTCCCTCATTTTGCTCCTGTTGTGGATAGACAAATAGGAGAATCTGACTATGGTAAAAAAAGCAATGTGAGATGAGTAGAAAAGTACAAAGTTTTGCAGATAAACCACTTAAGACGCTGCTGATGTCTCTGGCATAAATAATGTTAGCCAATGGAAAGAAATGTGTTTACACAACAGAAAAAAGGAAACATTTAACATAGAGGACCTCTGAGATATTGATTACAGGAACACACGCTGACTTACACGCACACTGTTGTATAATGCTGGACCGTGTGAGTCTCACCTTCGTCTCCCTCTCCTCCAGCAGGGTTTCCAGTCTTTTCTGTGCCGCTCTGCCCTCATGGTCATCACTCACAATCAGGATGATGTGATTCCACTGAAACTCACGCATCATGTCAAACCACACCTGGGCTTGGTGGGAATAGGGCGGTACCGTGCGCAGGAAGGAGAGGTGGATGCTCTAAATGGACGGTTGGGGAAAAAAAACTGGTGAATCTCAAGGGCCCAAGGCAATTTCAGTTCATTAGGATTTAATCACTTTAACTGTAATTAATTTACAGATGAATACCAACATTACTCCTTTAGCACGCCAAGATGCCATAAGGCAAAGAGTTTAAGTGAATCTAAAAGAGGAAATCGATCATAACGCTATGTATAGTATTTATGAGAGTTTTTAATTGAATGTCTGAAGAAAGGTCCACACTAGAACTGAAACTGAGTAAACATTTATCACATTATTCTGTCCTGATGCAGAAAGAGAAAACCATCGTGGAGGAGGAGCGTCATGCAAAAATACATTTTCATTTATAGGCCTATTTATCCTCCAGAAAAGGTTTCAAAGCTCCAAACAAAGCATTTTTTCAAGAAAAGGACAGATGACAATCTACAGTAAAATGCATAGAATCTGTCTGAACTATACTGAGCTGCAGTCAAAGGCCAGCATCTGGTGGTCTCCCACACTCACCTTATCGGAGTAGATGGACATGCGGGTGGTGAGGCCCACAACAGGGATACGGTAAAAACCAGCCGTGTAGGACACTGGAGTGGGAGTCAGATGGTCGTTGGACTGGGGTGGGTGGCTGACCAAGATCGCATACACCTGAGGATCATAGTGAGGAGAGAAATCTGAGAAAGCTTTGACACAAACACTTCTAAAATAACAATAACCTTCAATGCTTGTTTGATACCTATATATTTTATTATGCACATATAAATTATTAAATTATTAAATGATACAATTTACATACAAACATACTTGACCTAATAAAATCTGCTGTGTAGGCTACTAGAAAATTAGCCTATTGATATAACAACCATAAAACAGGTGGTAAACTGGAAGACCATAATAATAAATATTGGATTTGTTACCAAACAAAAGGCCACCACGCTAACAAACACGATAATACTATAATGGCATAAACATTAACTAAACAACATGAAATGTAAAAATAATTCTAATTAAAAATTATATCACCTTAAAAATTATATCACATTATAATTATTATCACCTTATCACGTGACTTAGGCTTGGTCAATCGCGACGTGTGGCAGTCAAACCTTTAATAGGTTGTGTTATGATTCCTTATAACGTTACGCATTGTTCAAATAGCTTGACTTTATGCGTTCATTCGGAACGCCCTGTTGCGTCATCGAACCGCACACTCAGCACAAAAGAAATTGTAGTTGCGCTGTAACGAGATGAATAGTTGGTAAATTTTCCCTCATTGCTTCCTGTGAAGAGACAGCCTACTTTATATTCATGTAGGCTACCCTTGTTCCCTATAGCTACAGTTTGCAGTGTCGTTCTATCGTGTCGTTTGGACTGAACATAAATGCGTCTGCGATCATTTAGCATGAGGAGGCACTATCTCTGTTGTTGATGGAAGCTGTGCATCATTCCGCTCATCCGGGTTACTGAAACTGGCGCGACGCTATTTTCAATGTATCGTTTTTGCACGCTTTCTTGTTACAAAAAAATCTGCGCCATCTTGCGTTTCACTTTATCGTTTAGCGAGGAACTCAGAAATATTGTTGCAGGGGGTGCTTGTTCGTAACCCGATTTACGTGGCCTATTCTTTGAACTTTTTTCCCTTAATACACAAATTAAGAAAAACACGTCAGAATGGAACATCTTGGTTTTTCACTGAAAATGATAAGGGTGCTCGATATGCACTGTAGCCTACCTTACATGTTAAGGTAACTTGCATTTAACCTTTTTTCTTGTAGCATTTTTACATTTCTTTTCCATTTGAACAACATTTTTGCAATATGAGGGGTTGTAACTTCACACAACACATGAGTGTTTTTGTTAGTTCCCTCTATTTGTTGGCATTTCTAAATCGTGAAGCAATTATTTAACCTTGCCAGACGAGCCAGTTGACAGTAAAAAGTCAAGGAGTTGATCTAACATCAGCAGTTTGCAGGTTGGTTGCCATGCATGCACGCTTGTGTCTGTGGCTGCGCGTGCAAGCGTTTGAGAGAGGGCTAGCGCAAAATGCGGCATCGGCATCTCGAAGCGGCACTTCCGGCGGCATCTCCAGCGGTCACGAGTGTAGCGGCATCTCCAGCGGCCATCAGTGCAGTGGCATCTCCAGCGGCCATCAGTGAGCGGCATCTCCAGCGGCCACAAGTGCCGCGGCATCTCCAGCGGCCATTAGTCAGCGGCATCTCCAGCGGCCATCAGTGAGTTAATGATTTAGTTGATGAGTTAGTTATGAAACATGACTATAAACAACAGGATATTTACAACAGGACAAAAGTTAAACCGAGAATAAAACACAAGGACAAACAGTAGATAAATAAATGCTACATTTTAATAAGAAATTACATGATATGGGGCCTTTGGGAACAGAAGAATGAACAGGGCGCCATATGGATAACGTTATTATGTACAAAATATAAAACATGAATTGGCTCTATGCACAGCTACACTATTTCCTGAACTCAAGCCAGCTCATTTGTTTACTGTTGAGCAGGACTCACCCCTCCTCAAATCTCGCAAAGACTTTGACCTTTCTTTTATTAACTCATGAACTTTTCAAAGTCCTGTCTTGTTGTTTTAAAGGCAAAAGTAAAAAATTTGTAAAGTAAAAAAATGTTTTCATAAATTGCACTTAAACACAAACATAGACAAAAAATAGAGAAATAGACAAAAATGCAGAGGAGACAGAAGAGAACAATAACATGTAAAAAAAAAAAAGATAAACTATGGAGCAAGAAACAACAACAAACAAACAAACAATAAACACTGCACAGAACACATAGCATGTCACATATAAACACAAATCACCACAACAGAACATCATAAGCCTTTTAAAAATGTCATATTTTACAATAAAATTTTGTATTTATTCAAAGAAAAATAGTGGAAACAATGAATGCTGTATACTACCTTTTTATCAGCTGCAATACCTGCAGGAGATACTGTAGATATTGTGAAAATAAGACAGTCAGGTTCCATGTTTATATGTTATGCCATCAAGTGTTTTTATTTTAATTGTTGTTTTTTTATTTATCAAAATGCCCATGCTAGTTTAAATTATATGGAAAACAAAGTTTTCTATGTAATTTCCGGCTTCTCGCAGACCAGCACAAGACGAACAATTGTGGTCAAAAGTAAATAAATGTTTGTTTGTTTGTTTGTTTGTTTTTTTAGAAAGTGACCGATGGTTTTGCTATAAGACCCTTATTTCTCGACTGGGATTCTGTAGAGTCTCTTTAGCTGCAGACATGGACATTTGAACCTTCTTTGAACCTTGGAATAGTTGAGTACCATTACAGTCAATTTTGGGTAGAAAAATACTGAAATGTTTTCATCAAAAATCTTAATTTCTTTTCCAATGAAGTTAGAAGGACATGCATATCTTCGATGACATCAGTGTGGGCAAATTATTAGGAAATTTTATGAACTTATCCTTTAATGCTAATTTGAATAGCTGTATTTTTCTAAACTATCATTAACTAAGAGTAATAAACACTGTAACAAATGTGTAGTTCATGTTAGTTAATAATACATTAACTAATGTTAAAAAATGAAACCGAATTGTAAAAAGTGTTACCATTTGTATAATGCCCTGTCAATAAAAACACATGAAGAGTTCAGATGCAAAAGCCTCTAAGTGCCATTTGAAATTTTCTTCTAGAATGATACTTTTTATCAAGCTTGTATTTTTAAGTTCAGTGATTTCACTTAAATGGCAATGATAATTACCTATTAATTGTTATTTAAGTGAAATTACTGAACTTAAATATACAAGTTTGATAAAAAAAATCATCATTAAAGAAGAACATTTCAAATGGCATTTAGAGGCTTTTGCATCTGAACTCTTCACATTAGCATAATTACTCCTACGATTGTCTGTCCCTCTGTAACGTTCTTTGGGTGGGTTTAATACTTGGTGATGTTAAAGATGAATATGGTACAAGATGCCACAGTAACAACCTACCATGTATGCATTTCAAATATTTTATTAAGTTGGATGACCATGCAAAAGTTTTAAATCTACAAAGTGGGCAATGGTAATAAGTCAATGAATGGTTAAATAAGTCAATGAAATTCATGAAATGCATTATATAACCAATTTAAAAATACAAAATCTCAGAAGACATCTCTCTGTAGTTCAGCTTTAGTGCATACCTTGGTTGTTTTCTGAAAAGTATATGGCATCTCTGAGATGTCTTCTGTAAAGATGGTTCTTATTCGCAAGTTCCTTTTCTTGACAAAACACACATTCATAATGTCACAACAAACACACAAAATGTTAGGGTCCAAGTGCAGTGGTATTTATTGGGGTAATCCAAAATTGTAGTCACCAGGCAAAGCTTCAAAATCATGCAAAGGCAGTCCAGAAACAGGAAACAAAACAAGAACAGATCTCCGAAGTGCAGTAACATTAAACAAGGATTTGACGACAATCACAGAAACAAACAGGGTATATACATGTATACACACAGATGATGGGAAACAGCTATGTGCAATAATCAATGAGTGGTTGAGGATGAGTGGTTCGCAATCAATGAGGATGATGGGAATTGTAGTCTGAGTGAAAGACACCGTAGTGGAAGAGGACCTCTAGTGGACACCAGGGAACATTGTGACATAACCCCCCCCCCCCCCCCCCCCACCCCCTCTACGGAGCGGCTACCAGATGCTCCAAGTCATGGAAACAAACAAAACAAGAGTCCAGGCTGGAGGTGGAATGGTGGAGGCTCAGGGGGCGGGATGGGGGGCCAGGTCCATGAAGGGGAACAGGAGCAGCAGTTGACGGCTTAGCCAACGGCGAGGGCGAAGCAGACAGTCCATCGAGCGACCAAGGCGAAGCAGACAACCCATGGGGCGGCCAGAGCAGAGAACTTCCTTCAGGTGGCCAGGGCAGATCTGGCTGTGCAGGCGGCTGGACGGGGCAGTCTCTTGGGGCAGGCATGACGGAGACGGCCAGGGCGAAGACGACCACTCGGGCGGCCACGGCGGAGATCTTCCCTCAGGCGCCCAGGGCAGATCTTGCTGTGCAAGCGACAGCGACCACTCTGACGGCCACGGCGCAGAAACAGAACAGACACCGGCTCAGGAACAGCAACAGACGCCGGCTCAGGAAAAGAAACACACCTTAGGTCTGCGGTGGCCATCTTGTCCGGAGACCCTGGATCGGCAGATGTGACGTGAACAGTCTCTGAATCGGCAGACGTGACGTGAGCAGTCTCTGAATCGGCAGACGTGTGCTTCCTCCATGCATGCAGAATCGACAACACATAAAAAAAGAAGACCGCTCTCTTGGCCGTGGTAGGACTGATAGGGCTGCTCGGGTATGTCCTCGGGGAAGACAGCAGGCTGCTCGGGGACGGCCTTTGGGCCTTTAGGGAAGGTGGATGCCGATCTCCTTCTCCTTCTTTGGTGATGAGGTGGTTGGCCTTACGGTTGGCTGCCATGGTCTCCTTAGTCCTATGAGCAGCCAAGGCAAAATAATAAAATAAAGTTTCCAGAGGCCCCATTCTGCTGGATCCATTCATGGTTGAGTCCTTCTGTCATGACACACACACAAAAGGTTAGGGTCCAAGTGCATAAACCAACACTGCAACACAGAACCAGCACAGGACAATTAATGAATCTACATCGGAGTGATGTAAACCTGTGCAGAACTATAACATTGTTGTTTCCCAATCCAATACCCCCGACAGACACCCCCCCCCTCCCCTTACTGTTTCAATTATTTTGAAATGTAACTCACACAGGGAACGCCATCGTCGATATTCGTTTTGATCGAAAACAGTGATAACTTTTACAATATAGCTAGTTGGTGCCCTCTAGGGTTGGAATTTGGTGGCAGGTGGGCTAATGATCAAAACGCAAAATCTGCCTATAAAAGTGGTTCCGCTTATCTTCTGACAAACTAATCTGATAACTATGTAGTTGCAATTTCCAACAATCAGTGTTGATATTTATGAGGAAGGGGAAACAATAATGTAATGATTTTAACATGATTAAATAAAAATCGGAGATTGCAAGTATTCTGATTATTTATAATAGGCCAACATAATTATTAAATAGCATATTCCTTACTAATTATAGCCTAATATAAAAGACACATATTTATTAAAAACATATGTTGTTCAATTGTAGGCTACAGTAGGCCTATATATGTTTTTAATAAATGTTTAATAAATTTAATAGCTAAAACGATTTAATTTGAAGAATAACAAATGTTAAATAAAATTACAATTAGGCTATATTTTGGTGAGTTTCTAATTCATTAGCTGTTCTCTATGTAAAAACCTTTAAAATGAGTAATTATAATTTTTCACGTGAGTAAGATGTTCAGTAGCCCAAGTTTTTATAAAAAAAAAAAACTATTTGGATTTAATAATTTCCTCTGCACAGAAACAACTAATTAATCAGAAAGTTTTATCATCACACTTACTTTGGCAGCAGCCACAGCTGGACAACGTTTTGGCTGTTTGAGATGCCGCTACGAGTCACTGGCTGCTGGAGATGCCGCTACGAAGCACTGGCAGCTGGAGATGCCGCTACGAGACACTGGCTGCTGGAGATGCCGCTACGAGACACTGGCTGCTGGAGATGCCGCTACGAGACACTGGCTGCTGGAGATGCCGCTACGAGACACTGGCTGCTGGAGATGCCGCTACGAGGCACTGGCTGCTGGAGATGCCGGTACGAGTCACTGGCTGCTGGAGATGCCGCTACGAGTCACTGGCTGCTGGAGATGCCGCTACGAAGCACTGGCAGCTGGAGATGCCGCTACGAGGCACTGGCAGCTGGAGATGCCGCTACGAGTCACTGGCTGCTGGAGATGCCGGTACGAGTCACTGGCTGCTGGAGATGCCGCTACGAGTCACTGGCTGCTGGAGATGCCGCTACGAGACACTGGCTGCTGGAGATGCCGCTACGAGACACTGGCTGCTGGAGATGCCGCTACGAGACACTGGCTGCTGGAGATGCCGCTACGAGACACTGGCAGCTGGAGATGCCGCTACGAGGCACTGGCTGCTGGAGATGCCGGTACGAGTCACTGGCTGCTGGAGATGCCGCTACGAGTCACTGGCTGCTGGAGATGCCGCTACGAGACACTGGCTGCTGGAGATGCCGCTACGAAGCACTGGCAGCTGGAGATGCCGCTACGAGGCACTGGCAGCTGGAGATGCCGCTACGAGACACTGGCAGCTGGAGATGCCGCTACGAGGCACTGGCTGCTGGAGATGCCGCTACGAGGCACTGGCTTTTGGAGATGCCGCTACGAGACACTGGCTGTTGGAGATGCTGCTACGAAGCACTGGCTTCTGGAGATGCCGCTACGAGGCACTGGCTGTTGGAGATGCCGCCGCAATTTCAGCTTTGTATGCCTACAGCTTATTTGTATTAATATCAGAATTTTGCAGCACACCATAAACAAATTTCTGTGTTAACTGGACGCATTTCTGTATTAACAGAATAACAGTTTATATTCTTATTTAATAAAATGTCAAATTAATATTTAATAAACAGCCTTTTCTGAAACATTATATTGATTTTGACACTTCTTGCTGGAAACCTATAGCCTGTCTCATTAGGCTACTAGGACATGCCTGTTTTCACGTCCTGTCTGTTTTTTTTTTTTGTTTTTTTTTTTTTATAAAGTGATGAAAATGTCCTGGTTTTCAAAAAACTGCTGGGAAAGATCAGCTCTACTGCAAAATATAGATGGACAAACAAGGAGGATGAGGAAGAAAAACAGGATGAAGAGGAAGAAAAAAGATATAAAAATATATATTTTAGTTCGTTTTTGTGAGTTTGTGAGAGCTATTTTCGTTCAATTTGGAGACATTTCTTATAGTTATTTATTATAGGCTATATTATATATTTATTTTTCTAATACAGAAGAGACATTATTTTATATCATTATTTTATTAATTATTATGAAAACCTCTGAGTAACCTCTGAGAAGCCTATCTGAATTTATGTCTCGTATATAACAATTTTCTATCCATACGGAGGAGGCATAGCCAACTTTAAATATATTGAAATTAATAAGTCATCTTTGAGTAAACTTCGAGTATCATTTGAGTGTCTGGCCGCTGGAGATGCCGCTCACTTATGGCCGCTGCAGATGCCGCTGCACTCGTGGCCGCTGGAGATGCCGCTCACTGATGGCCGCTGGAGATGCCACTGCACTGATGGCCGCTGGAGATGCCGCTACACTCGTGACCGCTGGAGATGCCGCCGGAAGTGCCGCTTCGAGATGCCGATGCCGCATTTTGCGCTAGCCCTTACTGAAGCGTTTAGGGTTTAGGGTGTGTGGATGGTAATCCGTGTTACAGCGTTGAAGTCTATAATCTCTGCCTCCGTCGCTGCAATATTCTGATAGAGCTTTCCCTTACAGAACAAAGCAGCTGTTATGAGTCTGGCGCCATGTTGGCCTCGTTTTTCATTAAAATAGAGGCGGGGGCCAGCGGTGAAGCCATGGCGCCTCGTAGAGCTTAATGCTTGGATTTGTATTATTTATATGACACCACATGAATCACAGGTTGTCACATATCTTATCCATATGTGCATTATTTCAATCTCAGTTCATGTAACCTCTGAGCATTCTGCTCACTCATTGGTATGTCAAAATGGTCCCCCGGATCCTGTTGAATGTTTTCACATGCAACAAATAAAAATCGAGATTCGCGACAGCGCTTGACCTTGGAGAAAACAAAGTTACAGTAACTAAATCTGGCTGAAAATGACTGTCCTTGAATGAATGCACGTAGCCTATTCATAATTTTGAAGATTTTGTATAAATAAATAGCCTGTAGGCTATATATTATTTTTTTCTCGCGTTCACCAGAAATAATTAGCCTAGTTCAAGCTGAAAAACTAACAAAAAACACAATACAAAATATGTTAAAAATAAATGAATAAAATGAAAGCTTGATTTAAGCCTCTGATATAAAGTAGCTATAGCCTAAATTTACAGTAGTCATCCGAAACGGTAACGTTTAACATAATAGATAGAGATAGATCCATATAGAAATTTACTAGCAATTAAGTGAAATATAACTAGTCTAATAAAAAGATAATATTATAGCGTTATTTAGCCAAGATAGATTGGCATCGGTGTTTCTAAACGTGTTTTCTTAATTTATTATTAATACTATTAGTATTAGCCTAATATTAGCATGTTAATATTATTTTCAAAAAAATAGAAAACTATAGCGCATGCCACATTAACATTTTATTACAAATGTATTCGGTTGTTTTCCTGATATAATGAGTTGGACTGGTTTACGATTGTTACCTGGTTAGAGATGAGATCTTCACAGACGGAGAGTGCCATCTGGATGGCGTTTGGCTTATGGGTGACTGAAATAGCGTTCATCTTGAACTTATCTTTGCCGTATAAATTGTTGGCTTGAGTGACAGCGTCTTTGAACACTTGTTCATATCTCTTCTGGCTCAGGACAGCCCCGATATTCACAGTCTTTGGTTCGCATCCTCCTCTGGCACAGGAGCACGAGATGAGGAAGGCGAACAGAACCAGACGCATTTTGCCCTGGATGGCAGAGGAGTCAATCTGAGTGGCCCGTGGAGGATGCGTGTCGATGTCCGTTGATGAGACAGATCCGCTCTCACTGCGTCCTCTTCAGCAGCACTGGAATGCGATCGCCTCAGTCTAGTCCGCTAAGGAATGGGCTTCACTTATTGAGTCCGCTCGTGAAACCCGTGCATGTTCAAGAAAACCATGTCAACACGCCTTTTTAGAAAATCTTGATAGTCTCCTCACATAAGCACTCTCTCGCTCTCTCTTGGGAAAAGGTGGAGAACTCAGTTTTGCAGTAATGTTGTAGTCATCACCTGCGTTCACTTCTCCCGCTCCGGTTGTGAGTGAATCATAGTCAAGGTTTTGTCAAGGGTGACCTGATGCTCTGTGAGAGACGCTGTCCTTGGTGCTGAGAACTGTGCTCGCGCACTGATGCGCGCGCATTCACAGATTACTGATATTACGGAGCTGTCACGTTTGAATAGACTTCAAAACAATTGCGTTAATGCGAGGAAAATCTCAGGTCATCACAGTAACGTGTGATTGAACTGATTGGACATCGTTGATAAGATGTAGGTAGGCTACGTATTAGTTTTGTGTGATTTTTTTTTTTTAGATAAAAGAGAATAGTAGCTTTAAAAAGATTATCTTTTTCATATTTTGTAGACTGTTTGTTTTGTTAATCTATTGTCATTACTTTTCTCACACTGAGGCAACCAGCCTATTTAACACTGACTGCATGGTTTATTATGGAATATTATCATTTATACTTTCATATTAATCTGTTGGTGACATTTAGGTTAGGCTATCGTTAGTTTTCCTTAACTGGAAGCCCTGCTTGCGTCAAAAAAAAAATCAATTTATGGCATTCTTATTCATTAGCCTAAATTATCGTCTAAATGCCGAACTGTCGATAAACTTGTTTTCCATTCATTTAAAACAGAGACAGGGATGAAACATTTTCTAAAAAATAATCAATGAGAGCTTGTCTCCATCTATCACCCGTAGATATAGCTGCAGAACGCAGAACTGGCGCGTTCAAGTGCCGTGCATACATGGGGAAATTCATCGAGACCCCCGTTACCAAGGAAACAAGCATCTACGGCTTGAGGTGTAAGTGTTTTTTTCCCAGACACAGTTGCAATTGCAAATCGCAGTCTCAACTTGCAATTATGAAAATTGCTTTTTACAAAACACATCTAACATACAGTATGAAGGCTTCTTCTAAAAAAAAAAAGTGTATAAGAAAAATGAAATAAAATCTAGAAATCAAAAATGCTAGTGTCACAGGAAAGAAATGCTTCATTTTGATATTGCACTTAGAATAGGCTAGCTCATTACTGGTCCTGTCTAAGAGGACATCACTCATTATCACAATTATAAAAACTGCAACTTAAGGCAGACATGGATGGAATTTTGATGTAGCTCTTGTTTGGGTACAGCAAGTGCTATCCTTGCCATAGGTTATTCTTTATCAAGATTGTTGTTGGCAACCTTTACAACCATGCAATTGCATTCTTTTGTATTATTATTTAACCATTTAAGTCACTTAAGAACAATTGTTTTCAATAAAGACACATACATATACATACACACTCAATTAAAACATCTACAGGCTGTGATAAAAATATACTCCCTGGTATTTTTTTAAATGCAGGGATTGAAAGATATGTCTCTAAGTTCAATAACATTTCACAATTCAATCATGTGGGGCAGCAAACCTGTTGAACAACCATAAACGGTTTTCTTTCTGCGCTAATCAAAAGAATATGATTAAAAGACCTGGTTGTACTACTAACATGATGTTGCAGCAAATCTTGAATATATTTGTGTAACAAACCTAACAGGACTTAATAAATAAAAATACACCAATGTAGTTCACGTCTAATATACTAATGACGTCCAATTTAAAAGGGAATACAATTCACAATGATGCGTTCTGTAAGGTGCAATAGTAATCTAATAGCTACATGATATAACACATATTGTTCTAGTACATCTTTACGTGCATGTTGTCTCAGGATAGGATTTACAATGAGAAATTGGTTGTGTGCACCAAAAATATAAATACCAACCCTGCTACGTCACATATGGCATGCACACTGTGCTTTGCATATTACACACAAACACACACAGAGGGGGATTAAGACATGACATCATTCGAGTGCAGGCGCAAACAACAGCGTGGCAGGAAATCATGGATCAAGTAAATGGCAGCCTCTTTTCAGATATCTGTTACTTTCACGACACAATGAAGTTATGTGATCCGTGGACTCATTAAAAAGTTAGACAGCAATACACAGAGCACTGAAGTGTGGATCTCTGCAAGACAAGGGAACGTGAATAAGAGGAGATGGCAGCTGAACCACTACTGAGATGCTTCAGGCTCTCAATAAATGATACCAGCAGAGTTAGTCTCAAACTGGCTCTCAGCTCCCAAAGTGTCAGTTTGGATCATGCAGTGCTGATGTACTATAATACATGCCGCTCTGCTGCTTTCTTGTTAGCGTGATTTCAGTGGGGATAACTCTGATATGTATCACACAAAGTCGGATGCAAACAACATAAAACATATATGCAGATCCATTGGAGATATAAGCAAAACACTGTGCAGCTTTGCTACATTATTTGATTTTCAAGAAGATTTAGATTTTTTTAATTTCCTGAGACTCCTGGAAATTGAATAATTGAAACCAAGCATGTTTCAGCCATTCATTGGCTGTTTATCAACTTTTTTTGGAACATGTGAGCCTTTCCATACATAATGGAAATCCTTCTACCTCACACACACACACACACACACAAAACCTTTCCAAAAATGTCTGTTTAATTATTCTCAGCCGTGCTTAATGAAGAGGCTTTTGCGTGTAATTATCCAGTAGCCTACAACAAAAACAGACACAGTCTTGAAATGGTGCTATTAGTGCAGAGGGAAATGGGATTGAGCTGAATGTTTTATCTCTCCTGACATACACATTTTATTAAATCTAAAGGAGGTTATACTTGGAATTAAACCGTGAAGTATAAATGCTGTGCAGGGTTGGAAATACAGTGCATCTGCATGCAACATTTAAAGCCTTTTGGTTTTCTCTTTCACTCAGAATTTAGCAGCTTCAGGGCTGAGGCTTTTGCAACACAATGGATAAGCTGTTTAATTTTCAGTAAATATATCCTTTTTTTTTTTCTTAAGTGTGTAATGCCTATGGGGATATTAAAGGTAAGCAGGGTTGGCATTTGGCATTGTTTATTGTTTTATATTTATTTTTAATTTGTTTTTTTAAGAAAAATCCTTTTATAGGGACCAGAGATGCAAATTAGCATATACTATATTCTCTGTGTACAATGAATATATATATTTAATTGTATTGCTTTTCTTTTTTTCTGGAATCATATTTTGTTTTATTGTCCCTAGTGTTACTTTAATTAATAAATAAATATTTTGAGAATGCCTGAAAGAAAATTGCAGAAGCCGGATTTATTAGGACTCTGGAATAAAGAAAATCAGCTCTCCTTCTGATCCAAATTCAAGATACATGTATTCAAACAATATTTTCCCCAACACACTGATGTTTTATTCATGCCAGATGTGTTGCAACCATTGTGGTGTACTCTGGGAGTGCAAAGCTGTGTGGCAGGAAAATAGCTCCACCTAATGGGTAAATGTGTAATAGTAGGCCTTCCAGTGTGTTTCGAGGATACAAGGCAATCATCCGAGAAATTCGAAATGATATCTGAAGTCCCAGGAGCGCATATTTTGCTCATGATTGAGTTTTCAATTTTATTAAAGTAACATTCATATTTTATCCACGTATTTTGACTATTGCTTTTTAATTGTATTTTAGTTAATTGGAATAATGTTTCATTTGTTAACAGTTCATAACATTTGTTAACATGACCAATGAAAAATACATCTGCAGCATTTATTTATCTTAGATAATGTTGATTTATTGTTTTTTTCCTGTTGTTTCAGAAAGTTGGTTCTGTTAACATTCGTAAATGCACTGTGAACTAATATTAACAAGAGTTTTTATTAACTAACAGGTTAATAAATGCTGAAAAAATATATTGCTTAACCCATATGCATCCTTATGGACATTTTTGTCTTTTTCAGTGTTTTTTTAAAATTTATTTATCATTTTGCCTGTGTAAATGCCAACTACTGGAGGCCGATGTGGCGCCCAGAAGCTCACCGGAACCTTTCCCTCATGCTTCTTTTTCTCCTTCCCCACCCCCTCTCATGGACACGCAGCCTCCGGTTCTCTTACGAGAGGTTCTCTCGTATTGCGTAAGCTAGCTTACGCTACGGGAAAGATTCATCTTTGCTGAGAAGTTGAAGCCAAAAAATTATTCCATAATTTTGTAATCATTGTCAACGCAGTCTCCTCTGAGGCAGACCATGAGCGGGCTAGCTAGCGGCTCATTGGTTCGCTCAGAGAGAATGCACGAACCTATGGGAGAGCGGCGCTGAGTCCGCGGCCAATGAGCGGACGGCGCTCGCTCACTGCGTCACAGCCCGCCAAAAGGGGCGTGGCTACAGTGTATAAAGGTCGCTCTCCCAGCTCGTTCGTTGATTCTTGTTCATTCAGCGAGCTACACGCATCCGCTGTCCTGGGAAGAAGCCGCCGTCGTTGAGAAGGCACCGTCTAGCGAGCTCCGGAGTCTGAGGAAGCCGGCCGTCTGCCACCTTCAGCCGCCCAGCAAGCTAGCGCCATCCGACGCGTATCCTTTTTACTATTCCATATTCCTAAAAGAGCCGAGCGTCTTTTTCAAGATGCCTCGAATTTCCTGCGGCTCATGCCGCTCTTCACTCGAGGAAGGAGACCGCTTCTGCGTTCTCTGTTTCGGAGTGGAACACGCAGAGCTCGCCAACGGAGGATGCGACCACTGCGAGGACCTGCCTCCGTCTTCCCTGCGGGCTCGACTACAGGCAGTCAGAACCGCTCCCGCGCCGCCTCTCACTTCGCCGCGGAAGAAGAAACGCCGCTCCCAGAGGCCGCCGGAGCCCCCTGCGGATCCATGTGGGCCGCCGCCGCCGCCCACCGACCGCTCTCCCTCTCCGCCCCTGCCGGACTTACAGTTGCCGCCGTATGGCCGCTCTGTCGCCTCCGACGACACCGCGGATGAGAAGGACTCTTGTTCGCTGCACCCTTCTGACAGCGAGGATTGGTCGTCGATCGGCTCATCGACGAGAGAGTCTGCGGGGACCCGCGCCGGCATCGAGGAGGATCTATCGCGCCTCCCTTCGCAGGCCTTCAACCGCCTGGGTCTCGAGTGGTCTCCTCCCCCCGAGCAACCACCGAACCGGCGCTCGACCCCCGCCTGCAGCCGGGCTGCACCATTCCTGCCTGAGCTTCACTACGAGCTCACTAAATCCTGGAATGCCCCTCTTTCGGCTCGTATCCGCTCCGAGGGGTCCGCTTCGCTCAGTGGACGGAGCCGCCGAGATGGGTTATACTGCCATGCTGCCCGCGCCTTTGCCGCCGCCGAACAGGCCGCCTCAGCGCTGCATTCCATCCAGGCGCTCCAGAGCGACATCTTGTGCGAGATGGCGAACAGCGGTAGGAACCCGCCCATCCTTTCGGATCTGAGAAGCGCGACGGATCTTTCCCTTCGCGCCACTAAAGCCGCCGCACAAGCCCTGGGAAAATGCATGGCCGCCCTCGTTGTCACTGAGAGACACTTGTGGCTCACGCTCACCGATATGGGAGATTCAGAACGCGCCCTGTTCCTCAACGCGCCTATTTCTCCCACCGGGCTCTTCGGATCTGCCGTCACGGGCATCGTTGACCGCTTCTCCGAGGTTCAGAAAGCGACTCAGCCCATGAATCTGTTCTTGCCCCGCCGCTCTAGTTCTTCGACAGGCCGCTCTCACGAGCCTCCTGCCAGAACCCCACAGCAGCGCCCGCCTCAGCAAGCTCAGCAGCCCCAGCGTAGACAGGGCGGCCGCTCTCGCTCAGATAGCCGCCGCAGACAGCCTCCTCCCAGGGGGCCTCGACCCAAGATCGCGCTGAAGCCCGATCAACAGAAGTCTGCCTAGCACAGCTGAGAAAAGGACGGCTTCTCCCGCTGCGGCCGGATCGCCGTAAAAGCCTCGCCCACTGTTAGTCCCCGTCTCACCGCTGACTGCAGTAGTGTTTACCGCCACAAACAAGCCGGTTTCCCTGCCCGCTTGCGAGCGTCTAAAAGCCGTTTTCACGGCTATCCAGAGAGTTCACAAAAGAGCATAAAAGCCTCAAGTGTAATAAATGTGCCCACAAGCATGTGCTCACATACACACTCAAGCACCTTATGCCCAGGGTCTCTCACAGAGCCCATTCTCACGGAGCGTGCACTTTCCGCTCCAGCAGCAGAGAACATAAGCACGCCCACGAGCCCGTGCGCGTGTCCCCCCTCTGCCCGCTCTGTCACACGGCCCATAAAACTCCTCTCTGAGTGTAAGTCCCGTTGCCACCCACATTATGAGCGTGCCCACACACAGTGTCCAGCCCGCGATGTGCAGCTATCAGGGCAAAATCGCCATTCAACCGCTTACGAAGCGTGGGAAGCCATCCCTGGCATCTCCCCGTGGGTTTAAGCATAATAAAAGAATGGTTATCGATTACAGTTTCGTCGCCGCCCGCCACGCTCGCGCGTGCGGCTCGAATCCACTGTCAGCCGCCCGCTATGAACACGCTTCGCTTAGAAATAGCCAAGCTACTGCAGAAGGGCGCTATAGAGAGAGTCCCACCATCTATGACCGAGTCGGGGTTTTACGGCCGTTATTTTCTGGTTCCCAAGAAAGACGGCGGCCTCAGGCCGATCTTAGATCTCAGGGCTTTGAACAAAGCGCTCATGAAGAGACCGTTCAAAATGCTCACAGTCAGGAAACTCCTCGCGCACGTCCGCCAGGGGGACTGGTTCATCTCTCTAGACCTGAAAGACACCTATTTTCAGATCCAGATAAACCCTCATCACAGGCCATTCCTACGTTTCGCCTTCGAGGGCCAAGTTTACCAGTATGCCGTTCTCCCGTTCGGCTATCCTTAGCACCCCGTACGTTCACGAAGTGCATGGATACAGCGCTCGCCCCCCTGCGAAGTCAGGGGCTGCGCATACTGAATTATCTGGACGACTGGCTGATGCTAGCAGATTCCCAGACGGAGCTGCTGTCGCACCGCACAGTTCTCCTCAACCATCTGGAAGCGCTGGGACTCTCTGTCAACTGGACAAAGAGCTCTCTCCAGCCCAGTCAAACTATTTCGTTCCTTGGAATAGATTTGAACTCTATCACTATGACGGCTCGCTTATCCACACAGCGCGCGCGCCGTGTTCAGCGCCTAGCCGCCTCGTTCAGATGGGTACCCATACATCCCTGAAATCGCTTCAGAGGATGCTGGGTCATATGGCTTCAGCCTCCGCTGTGCTACAGCTGGGTCTTCTGCACATGCGCCCCCTTCAACTCTGGTTATAGAGCCGCGTATCCCACCACGAGTGGACGACGGGCCGCCAGATGATCAGGATTACTCAGACACGTATCACTGCACTGCAGCCATGGGCAGTAAGCGAGTGGTTTCAGAGGGGCGTTACCATGGGAACCTTCTCTCGCCGGAAAGTTATCTCGACAGACGCATCCAACTCGGGTTGGGGAGCGGTTTGCGAGGGCTCACCGGCCGCCGGCCAGTGGTCGAGCCACGAGAGTTCCCTACACATAAACTGTCTGTATATGATCGCGGTCGAGAACGCGCTGCTATGCTTCCTCCCGCGCATAAACGGTCACCACGTCCTGATTCGCTCCGACAATATGGCCGTGGTATCATACATCAACCGTCAGGGCGGCGTCAGATCCAAGAATCTCTTTCATCTGACACGCCGCATCCTATTGTGGTCCCAGAGTCACCTGCTCTCGCTCAGAGCGACGCACGTGCCGGGCCATCTGAGCGACGGTCCAGACAGCCTGTCCAGGAACCTGGTCTCCCCCGGAGAATGGTCCCTGCACACTCAAACAGTCCAAACACTGTGGCGCCTATTCGGCAGAGCGGAGATAGATCTTTTCGCTTCAGAAGAGAACGCTCACTGCCCAATATTCTTTTCAAAGAGCGAGGACGCGCTAGCCCAGGATTGGCCCCGCCGCCCGCTCTATGCTTTTCCCCCGATTTCTCTGCTACCGCAGGTCATTCAGAGAATCAGGGACTCACGCCACTCGGTGCTCCTCATAGCCCCGCGCTGGGAGAATCAGATTGGTTCCCGGAGCTAACGCGGCTGTCACAGACAGCCCCGTGGCCCATTCCAATCAGAGCAGATCTCCTCACTCAAGCCCGCGGCTCGATCTGGCATCCCCATCCACAGCGCTGGGCGCTTCATGCATGGGTGACCAACGACTACGCGTCGAATTGCCAGAAGGGGTTTTGAACACGATCAAACACGCCAGAGCGGATTCTACCAGAAAGCTCTATGCTGCAAAATGGTCTGTGTTCTCCAAATGGTGCACCGACAAGAATTTGGACCCACGGACGTGCGAGGTTTCGTCTTTGCTAGTGTTCCTTCAGGAGATGCTGGATAAAGGCAGGTCCCCATCCACTCTTAAGGTTTACGTGGCAGCCGTCGCGGCGTTCGTTGAACCCCGGCGCGCCCAGTCTCTGGGCAAAGACGAGCTAATCATCCGCTTCCTCAGGGGAGCCAGAAGGATGAACCCCCCTCGCCCCCTACGGTGCCGGTCTGGGATCTTTCTATAGTTCTAGAAGCTCTGAAAGCCCCACCGTTTGAACCACTTGAGTCCGTGGAACTAAAATACCTCTCGTTAAAAACCGTTCTTCTGACGGCTCTCGCTTCAGTAAAACGTGTGGGGGACATTCACGCGCTGTCTTCGAGCGCCGCGTGCCTAGAGTTTGGACCGAGTGACTCCATAGTCATTCTAAAGCCTAGACACGGTTATGTTCCAAAAGCGATTGGTACCCCTTTCAGGGCGCAAGTGATCTCTCTATCGGCGCTGCCTGCATCCGATAGCGAACGAGACGCTGACCGCCTCTGCCCGGTTCGGGCTATCAGAGTGCACACTACACGCGTTGCCGCGTTCAGACGCTCGGAGCAGCTGTTGTGTCGTTCGGTGGCCGCACCAAGGGACTAGCCGCCTCGAAACAGACCCTAGCCAGGTGGATAGTAGACGCGATTGCCTCTGCTTATGCCGCTAAAGACCTGCCTCGCCCTCTGGGCATCAGGGCTCATTCCACCAGAGGCATGGCCTCGTCGTGGGCATGGTCCTGCGGGATTTCCATCCATGACATT